ACAAATAGCATGCGACTCACCAATGATGACTTGAAGTCCCCGAAGTCATCCATCAGTCAGCATGGTCCTGCTGATTAGATTCAGGTCCAGAGACTGTAAGAAAGGCGCAAGAAAACAATTAGAATCTATTGTGAAAATTATAGAGATTTTTAATTAACAAATTTCAAAGTATAAAATACTTACGTTGTTCGCTCGTGGTCCACAGCCCGATACCCCCCCGGGTACTGCTACTGGTTCCCAGGATCATGCTCAGAAACTGTAAGAAAACTGTAAGAAAACAATTAGAATCGTTACAATTATAGAGATTTTTAATTAAAAATTTTTAAGTATAAATTTTTACTTACATTGTTTGCTCGTGGAGCATCGCCTAATAATCCTCTTCGGTGATGCACTGACTCTAATACCGGTAACGAGGAGTTTATTTCAAATTGAGAAAGTAATTAATATGATTAGGAAGTATTAAATTAGATTACCGCGACCGAAGATTGAAATCGGCGAACAAATGATTCTATTATCGCGATTCAGAAAACAGAAAGAGCCACGATGCTCTGTAAATAATTTAATACTGCGTAAGAAACACTGGCTCTATTCTCGCGTTTCCCTAACATGTAAACGACAACCTACTCGAGGTGACTTTGCCCCAACAAACAACTCTTACTACGCACAATCACCGAAGCTACCGGCCGCATTGCGCTCGGCCAACAAATTCCCTGAAAAGATAACAGATAAAGGACACAAACAATAATACACAGTAAGCACACCCGTGTTTTCCTATTTTTCTTCTTTCTTCTTTCTTCTGCTGTAACTTAATAAAATGATAAGAATATTGAAATAATATATAAATGTCATTTGTATATGTATTTTTTACCAATCTTTATTTGACCATTTAACGCTGGCGCCATTTGAATATTTCCAAGTGTAATGGCGTCCATTTTGTGCCGGTAGCTTGCCTCGACTTTGAATTCCAATCGGAGGTTGCTACAGAAATAAAGTGCAGAAACAAATGCATTACAGCAAACATATCTAATCGCAATTAAACAGTAATTTATGTATATGATACGTAATTTCGTGTTGGGAGATATAATGAATCGACGCCGGTTAGATATCGAAGAAAACGCACGAAACCCGATTTAGTTTTCGTCAGAATTCCGACTCAATTTGTAGTATAAACGTATTAATATTACACGAAAGCACCGTTAGAGAGTAAACACGTGTAATAATAATGATGATTAAATATCAAAAGGTTAGAAATACGTGCCTTGTTATTCGCGAAACGGCAGCACGTCTTGATATGTCGGGGAGCAGGTTCAAACACGTCTTACTACGCCAATCGTACAGCACAAAATGGCGCCCCCTCGCTGCACTCAGCAACACTCGCAAATTGGGAGGGGAGGGGAGGGATTTCCGCTGTTGTCAAAGCTTGTGCATATTTCGAAAAGAAATCCCTTGATTTCGAATTCCAGTAAGAGACTGTCAAAGAAACGAAAGAAAAATGCATTAAAGTACATGAACGATTATTATAATCAAGTGTATAAGATACATGTTAACAATTAACACCGGTCGAATGTCAGAGAAAACGTACGAAACCGATTCAATATTTGTCGCGTTGTCGATTGAATTAAGAATCAACCATGTATTAATATTACGTGAAAGCATCGATAGAATGTAAACGCGGGTAGTAATAATGACGAAATATCAACAGGTTAGAAATACGGACCTCGTCCTGTAAAGTTTCAACACGTCTTACTATTTCAGTTTTCAGAGTACGAATGAAGGTCCCCTTGCGGTAAACAGTAACACTCGCGAACTAGGTGGGGAGATGGGGGAAGCTCCGATACCTCGCGAAGCTTGTATTTTGAAAAGGAAGGTTAGACCTTGTTTACTCAATTCGCGGAACGAACGATGCCTCAGAAACCGCGGATACAAAATAAACGAACGACACTTCTCATCTCGTAACGCTCACTGTATCTAGATTACACGGTTTGACATAAATATACCTTTTAAAATCACAGGCGAGATATACGAGTAGACCTTTCGTCTTATGGACTTTCGCGGTCCAATCTGACTGCCATACCGACCTGAAAATTCGGAGGTGACTTTAGCGGCCTCTTCTCATGGATGACGGTCTGTTGAGAAACTATTCACTGAATTAGGTCTGGCTATCAATACTAATTCAGTGAAATTCGGCCGCGAAAATTCATAAGGTCAAAGGTCTACTCGTATTCCTTGTCTGTGGTTTAATCAACAATTAGATATTATCTACACCACCGAAATGCTGAATACGTATATAATCGGTGCCTTTACAGTGCACTCTATGTTTAAGCATAATGACTCTGGAAATCAAATTTAACCCGATCATCGGTAACGTTAGCAAATTCACGGATTTTGCTTCCTATGCGATATCGACAAAATCTTTAGTTTATTATTCACGCATTGTACAAAGCTAATTTTTATAATAAAAAAAGAAGAAATGCACCGATGTACAAATGATTGCACCACCATCTACGGCAAAGCGTCCAAACTCTTTGAGAAATAGTTCGGTGCATTCGACATTAGATGGCCCCTACAGTATGTGTCATTTTTTGCGCATCGTTTTTTCGTATTTCGAACCGTTTTAAAGATACACATTTCCCAATTGAGTGAAATACCCTGTATAATGAGATAAAACAACAACTCATACATAAAGTATGATGTTTTCATTAATTTATTATATATTGCTACACGAAAGGCAATCAAACAATACAATTTTCATGTTCTTATAGATCCCCAGTCGTCTTTCCTTTTTTCTCCCAATCCTCTTTGCACCGCATTCGAACGTTAAAAAAATATTTAAGCATTACCTCCAAGAAGAGAGGAAGATTGGGAGATTTGATACCATTTATATTCCGGGAATTGATCTTTTTTATCTCCAACTGCTGGTATACCTTGTCCGTGCCCTTCAACGAGGAAAGTAAACGGAAAAGTGAATCTTTTTATTAACATAATATAGAGTATTATTATGGACAAACAGATTAAATAAATTGCTGTAAATTTTCGTTCTGAAATTGTTTCGGACCGCAAAGGGTTAAACGTTAACATGGCGAGATTTTGGTCGGCTATCTTAAAACTTTTATTCGTTATTCGTGAATAAAATTTGTCCGACTCTGCGGGAGATGTCGGACAACAGGTGGAACGAGAGCTATTAATATAATACAACATCGCGCCGCTTCGTGTTCTGCGTGACACTGTAGAAGACTTTATTTAAAGGCGCGGGCTGGTACGTTACATATTTGCGTATTTACATAATACGAATTCCTATCGCACGTGAACCTCGTAAATCCGCGACTACGCTCGCAGATTTCAAGAATCGAACGTTTGTTAAATCTGTAGTCAATGTTCAAAATGTTAGTTACACGAATAAAAAGACAAATCGATGAATAAATTAAAATCTATGGTAAATTGATTAGAACTATATTTATTTACAAAATTATTACTTCGTGTATACCTTTTTACAAATACATGTACATATCGTGTTAATTTTTGTTATTATAAAATGTTTTCGTTTCTGAAATGAATTTCAAACACTGTATCTTTTACTTGCTCACGCGTAGCAAAACGTCATTGAACGTGATTGTACCATCACGTTATTTTACGTACGTCGGATAATGGTGGTGATAAAATTGGAACGTGATTAATCGAGATCACAATGTATAACGACGACACGAGACAATGTCTGGAGATATCGGTCACAATGAAAATGAAAAATATGGCTTTTCACGGTTCACAACATAAAAGGAATATTAATACAAATAAACGATTGCAGCGTAACTCGATGCATATCTCTTTAAAATTATGTCGATGTATAGTTCTAGATAGAAATATACATAAATATCTTTTATTATGATAATCGACATTCCGCTTTATACTTTCAAGAAATAACATTTCAAGTTATCGATTCAATCGCAATTACTTAATTACAAAACAACGAGTATCGTCGTATAATGGTCTGTTAATATGGCACGCGTTTGGAATTATTTTTACCTTTCGTCGCATCAGTGCCAATTTTATAATACTGTTCCACGCGATCGTATACATTAACCGAGGCACCGTGTTCATATTTCAAAATGTACAGATCAGAACACTCTAAACTCTAAATTTCATCTCGTGAAAAATAAAACGTTTCGTATACTTTCAATACGGATTTCATTACACGTACGAATGTTTTGCTTGTTATAATACGAACAATGGAAAATACTAATACTTTATTATATCTGCACTAAGCTATGCTTAATTTATTCTAATCCAAGCTTGTTCAAACACTTGTATTTGATATTTCGCCCAGAAATTCGTCGACTACTTTTAATAGCAACGCGCTCGTAAAACGTTTGGCCTAATTATTAATTTAGTAATTAAAGAATAAAATGTCAGACTAAAGCTACGTCTAAATGGGCGCCCATTCGTTTCAACGCAAGTATAGTGTTTACCGCTTTTACCCATCTTCTCTTGATGACATACCGCTTTAATCTAACTTTACAGATCGGATTCTCCAAAGCCATCTCCAACCAACGATGCTCTAACAGTTGACCCGCAGTTGGTCTTTTCCTGAAGCAAACCAACGAATACAACATTCTGTAATTCCTTTCAGTATCGATTCCATAAGCAATAGTTACTGGAATGAACTAGTCCATACGAGGATTATAGAATACAGAAGGAACCACTATAAAAATTCCTTTGTTAAGGCGTGTTAATCTAAAGTATATCAAACTAGATCCTGATTAAATCTGAGCTAGATAACAATAGATCTTGATAAAGCAATTCGATCTGCGATCTCTATTTATCTATTCTATAACTACAAGCTTCATGCATGTTATTTTCACTTCCGAATTTATGAAGAAAATAAAAATTTGTTGGCAAGAGACAATAATTTAAAACTCCATGCATTCACATACTAAACAGTGTAGAACGAAACAATAACCACCGTTATATAAACATTAAAGATACTCTTATTAAAGGATTTGCAGAAAATAGTCCTAGCTGCAACAGGTACTCGTGAAATGAAATTGTCCACAGCTTTAATTTCATGATCTTTTGTATTAAATATATAGTATAAATAAGACAATAAAGCAAGGGTATACGCACAGACACGCGAACACGATTTCTCTACAATCTCGATAGGAAGATTGTATTATCGTATTATATTATCGTACGAATAAGGTTTTACAAGTGTGCACATTCGCATGTATTATACATAATAAGTCGCGGTCGAACTTCTAACCACATCCCTTATTTGATATGCTCCCTCTTTCGTTGTCCACGAAAATATACGTATGTATACCAAATATATTATTCTATTACATTTCAAAGAATATTTTAAACAAATATCAACCCCTGTGCTTCTCGTTAAAGAGAGTGCATCATATGTGCAGCATATATCCTATTTACAACCCTCAAAGAAAAAGGAAACGACGATGCATATAAAATAATCCAATTGTCCCCGTAAATCATGCTTCCCGCATTGCTCCGAGTGCTTCACTGTCGCGAGCAATGCCAAGCAAATACAACGTTGGTCCCCGTCTCGATACCGGAAGCTGACTCAACGATGTATCGAGTCCGACGCCGTCGAGTTGATTGCAGACGTCGGTTTCTGTTGCTTCGACTGAAAATACTCGGCCAGAGAGTTCATAGTTTTCCTGCCCACGGATTCCTCTCCGCCCCAATCGACGCTCACGGACTTCCTTCCCACGCCGGAAGGCCTCGTGGCAACTTCGTCCCATTCCTCGAGCAGATGCAGCAGCAGATCCTTGGTGCTGGTCGGTTCGTCGAGGTTCAGATTTTTATGGACGTTGTGCAGTCCCGAAATTCGAGGAACGTCCCGACTGGTCTCCCCGAACATGTGTTTGACGCGTGGTCGTCGCCATGGTGGCGTCAGGTCCATCTCACCGTCGATGTTCTCCAGTATCCGAGTTGCCTCGTTGCCCGCGGCAGAGTTCTCCGCCGTTCGTTCGAACGGCGGTATATACAAAGAAGGATACCTAGCAGAATTGTCGGGTTCGCTGGCAGTTTCCTCCCGAGACGTTCTGTCGTCCCTCTTCGTCGCTGAGCTCGACCCATTGGCGTTCTGCTTCTTCTTCAACGACGCGAACATGTTCCCAGAACTCGTCTCCGGGTGTTTTTCGAAACTACGGCTGCTGTGGAAGGTCGTTCCGTTCAGTTTCCTGTGACGCGCTATGCTCGAGAGCTTCTCTGTGATCTCGTTGCTCTTGGTACTCTCGGACGATACCATTCCGTTGGATCTCGAGTGGACGCCGTTTCTGTTGCTCTTCGTTCTTCCGTCGGTTCTGTCGGACTTTTTGCTCGACTGCTCGTCCTCCTCGTTCGACTGTGCACACGTGCCCATCGCTATGGAGCGCAGATGCTCGGACAGTTTGATGATCTCCTCGGCTAGAACGATCTGACTGGCTGGATCGGCTCGAGACTTCTCCGCGGCGACACCTTCGGAGGCTCTCCTCTCGAAGTTCACGAAACTTGGTACCGAGAGGAAGCTGTGATTCTCTCGAGGCGGTGTGTCCGCCGTTTCGGAAGGTGTGCTGCAAATGCTGGCGCACGGGGACGGACTGTGCCCCATCAGCGACACCACGTCGTCGGGGTCGCGAAACGAGCTCAGCTGGGCCAGAGTGCCTGGCGGGAAGTCGATCATGTAAGGACTGTCCGGGTGCTCGCGCCAACGTTCGACGAACAGCCTCAAGTTGTCCTTGGTCACGTCCAGCTCCTCCACGTTGTTCTCCACCCGTGAAACATCCACGATCTGATCGGGGATTTCGGGTTTCTCGTTCAGCTCCATCGCCGTTTGCTCGACCTGCTGCTTGATCGGCTTTCTGGCCAGCCACCGGTGCTCCCTGCATTGCGCGGCCGACATTCGTTTTCTGAAAGATTCGACAGCTCCTTCGTGAGGCTGACCCCGGCTCGGATTGCGAGTTTTTCTTTAGTTCTTTCTCTCTTTCCCCTCCTCGTACAGAGGTATACGATAGTGATGGGCCTTCAAGTGTCTTGCTTGCAAGCTTTCGTGATTCTGGGTATCTTGAGTCGGTTCGAGCCTCTCTTCGCACCGAAAGTAAGCGTAAAAAACTTGAAACTTTAGTAACGAATCGAATGGTGCACCAAGTGATATTATTTAATAATGTTTATAATTTTTCTTTACAATTCCAATGCACGTGAACGAGAGTCAGTGTGGATATTTTGTTAACGATAGAAGCACACTTCTTTCAAGGTGATAGCCGCCTTTAGAAGATGGATACAAAATTATAACAGTTTTCATGCGTTTAAACCCATGGTCTCTAGTTTATATCCATATTGGTTAAACGTATTATGTTTAAACGAGAACGAATGTTTGAATTGTCACGAGAAAAAGCTTATTTTACGTCTTGAGACTGCTTGAATCCCATCACTAGTGTACGGTTCACGCGCAATTGTTCAGCAATGGGAGCGAATGGTGGGCGGGTGGTGTGATGGAAACGTACGGTGCAGTGTGTTCCACGGGGCTTGAACCGGAGTTATTGGTGCTGGACCGAGTGAGAAATTAAACGATGGATCAGCTTCCTTCGTCGAACATGGCCAGGATGCTCTTTCGAGGTTGCGAGACTGTTCGTGAACACACACACGTGCGCGATGGGCAGTTTCTCCCCTCGGAACACACAAACTCTCGATGAATCGACGAAAAAGAGACCTCGATTCGATTCGTCGCACTCGGTGCGTAGAATTTTACAGCAAAAAACCCAACGTCACTTGGCACTTGAAATTTCTTTGTTGATAATTAAATTTCTTGTTTCGAGGCAACTGATACGTTAGAACCAACCTTGTATATCGATGTATTATTGTTTCGAGTGACAAACAAAGTGTCGACAATGAAGAAAGCATGCTTGGGATTAATCAGGCACAGAGGGAGAGAGAGAAAGTCGAAGAATAACCGCGGAAGAGTCGCGCGAACAACGTTGAACAACCACCCAGATAACGTCCAAGAAGAGAATATATTTAACTCTGGCCGTAATACGCCATCGGAAACTGCCTTTGAGCGATCAGTTGATTTTATTTCGTCTCTAGCGAAAGACAGAGCTCGTTCCACTCACGCATTTTCTCAAATTAAATCCGTATTATTCGACACGAGGGTTGTACGCCGTAGTCGGAACTGTTTATTACCGACCACGCCATTTGACGTAATGCAAATAAATTGGAGCGACGGATTATTTGATCCAATGGATGAAATAAGCTGATCGATTCGAAATCTAAACGTAAACGAAAATTATCGTCGAATTTTCTTGGCAACGTGTCCGCGTTTGTCGGCAACGACGTTTCTATATTTCGTTATCTGGGCAGTTATATCGTTAATCTTGCGTCAAAGCCATCAATGTCCATCGGTCGACTTCTGTCCATCGCCGGGACATATCGTAATTGGTGACCTACAGTGACGAGCATATACATAAATAGAGGAACAATTTTGTCAGTATATAACTATCTCTTCGCGCTAGAATCATCGATAACTCGTCTTCGAAGTTACATAAATATATTCTTTATGTTATAAAATAAAATAGTTTTATAAGTAATACATTATAGCAACTTTAGAGCAATGTATTATATTTAAACAAAAAAGCTTTTCCCTATTTATATGCTCGCCGCTGTATACAGCGGATATTTTTGCACAAGTCCTCCGCGTCACCTTATTACCGTGTAATCTCTATCGGAAATAACAAGCAGTACGTACTCTTTGTCTTTCACTAGAAGACCGCGGATAAAGTCTTTCGCGTCCTCGGATATGTCGGCGAAGGCGTCGTGGTCAAAGTCGTACTTGGCGATGGTGACGTTCGCCATTGTCTCGATGTCCGTGTCCCCCATGAATGGAGACAAACCGGACAACCTGAAAATCAATATGTATAAAAAAATTACTGCACTATGCAATATACATATGTATACTAAATATACTGTTCCACAGTCCCTGGATACCGACAGTGTCAAATTTAAAATATTTTACATACAGTCTAAACACGACAAGTTCCTACTCTTCTTCTTTAGATAATAATAAATACGAGATCAAAACATCGTTGCAATTTTCAATACGAAACAGAGTAATCGCAGTGGCCATATATTTTTAAATAAATCCAAGCCGAAGGTAAACTTACAGTACGTAACAGATGACGCCTATACTCCACATGTCGGTACCAAAACCAATCTGATCGAAATTTACGACTTCCGGTGCAACGAACTCGGGCGTGCCAAATAGAACCTGCAGTTTCTTCTTCGGATCGTATTCCCTCGCCAGGCCGAAGTCTATGATCTTAATCCTGTTTCCCTCCTTCGTCAAGCACAATATGTTCTCAGGCTGCGAGCAGAGAATTTGTCCGATTATAGCTCGGTTCCGAAAATATTTAAAACCCCCGACCAATTGCCTTTCACCTTAATCTGAAATTTAACCCTCGACTGGAAAAAGAGAATCATCCATATTGTTCTTTCAAAGCATCGTACATGATTGGCGATATGTAGTTGTCATGTACTTGAAACTACCTACACTTAATCTTCGGTCTGTTGTTGAACTTTGGGTGGATTGCCAAAAACAATATGTTAAAAGATAAAATCCACGGTTTCATAACAAATTATTCGAGCATTAACGTAAGTTACGTTATTGTTCTTTACCTGGCATCGACTATCACCGATCATTATCTAGGTCATTAACGCGTGTTTGATGAAACAACGTTTAGTTAACTAGTAATGTACTAAGGATGTTTCGACAAAAACGTATCGTGCAAGAGGTGAATGTACTATAACCAGAAAAAGAACAAATATTGAGTTCCTGTCTCTGATGGATTAACATTGTTAGTGCATGTACAATAATTCTGATGTTTCACCTTTAAGTCAAGATGCAGAATGTTCTGGCGATGAATGAATTCTATGCCCTCGCAGATTTGTCGCATGAAAACCGCACAACTGCGCTCGGTCAACACGAAATCGTCGTCTATCACCCTCTCGAATAACTCGCCACCTTCGATCCTTGAATCACAAAAAATAACTATAGTTTCCTCGTGATTTATCGCGGTCGAACGTACTTATCAGAATTGGGCATTATTCGAATAGCTGCAAAAGCCAATACGATAAAGTTTAACATTAGAACGTAATTCGAATAAAATATTGCCCGACTCTGACACTTATGGCACTAGGTGCTTACAGTTCTAAAATAACGTAGATCTGCCTGCTCGTGTCGATGGCATCGTAGAGCTGAATAAGTCGTGGATGCTGAAGCCGTCTCATGATTTCAACTTCCCGTTCCACGGACCGTCTGTCCTCTTTCTTCACAGTGTTCACCACCTTCACGGCTAGCATCAAACCACTTGCTTTCTCCTTGCATCGATACACGGTGCCAAATTTTCCCCTGCAAATATAGTAACATTCTCGGTTCACCTACTCGCAACACTCGAGTCTGTCCAACGAAAGAAGACTGGTCGTCTTTCGCTATCGTCGAACAATTAACATCACAATGCTCGAACACACAAACAGATTTAGAAATTACAGCCATGTTTACTCGACGCTACAAGAATTCGAATGTTATCGTCGGTCTAATCCCGTCCAGCTGTAAATTTCTACGCTGTTTGCTTGTATAGGTGGCATCAACGCGTTCGAATCAAATTCTTGAACAATTTACGAATGCATTAGCCCTCGCTGATGCAAGTTAATTTGAACAAAACCTGTTTATGAAAATTAATATTGTCAGACTCTGCATTTTAACTCTAGTATACAACAATTTCGTTTGAACGTAAACGAATGTTGCGACTAACATGTAAACGTTACGTCCGCACTTGCACAAACCCGAGGATTTATTCCGCCTTGTTGTGCCAAACAACGCAAAACGTAAAATACCGTCCATAAGCATACAGTTTCTCTTTTAACGTTAAAACTTTCCCGCGAGCAACGCGCCAAAAATAATTTCGGGAATGCATGTAAAGAAGTAAATTCCAGTTCTTTTTGTTTTGAATCTCCGTTCGTGCGATAAAATTCGCCTCGTGGCCGCGTTTACGTGCGTCGAGCGAGGATGACGCCAGTCCACCAACCTTGATAAGAGAACTTTTCATGGACAAGAAAAAATACCACGCGCAACGACAAAAGACCAGAGGAAGTGCCAAGCTGCCTCCTTGGCCTGCTAGAACGCAGTCGTGTAACCTGTAACACGTCTGTCACGACGCCAAGTTAGTGAGTCAGTAAGTTAGTAGAGCATTCCATAGACAACAGGGTCGGGACAGAGCGAATTATCAAAGCTGCACGTCTGCCAAAAAACTCTGTAGCGCCATGAGAAAACTTCACCTGCGATCAAACGAATCTACCGACTCTATAAAATCATTAACGATTCGGCAAACAGCGTTTCTTTAACTCGATGAGTGAAACGTGGTTCGATCCAGGGATGATCCAAGCTCTTGATCGATTAAAAATTTAACTGTTTATATGTTTGAACGCGCCGTGACGTTCGACGTCCGAACAACGTCCGGCTACTCTACGCACCAACGTCAGTCACTACGAAAAATGCATTATTTATAGACATGCGAGGACCTTGATTACACGACGAACGCATGCAACACCGACTGCATGCCGACGTTATCAAGCTGCAAGCCACTTGGATGCATTCGTTACGAGGGAGGGTGCAACGGTTACTTTTGTTACAAACATCCATTTTTTAACCCCTTAATCCGTCCATAAATATCCAAGCGAATAAAGAGAATTATGTTATCGTTGGTTACCTTCTCCAATTATGAATAACATCAAATAAACTCTTTCTTTATCCTCTCTAAGGAAGTTTAGTTGCACGTGATACGCGCGGAATCACACCCGATGGAAAGCAGCCAATTCGATAACACGATTGGCGTGAAACGGTGGCGAAAATTTAATTGGAGAACATAATTTATGAGAACGACTAACGTGTTGGTGTATTGGTGAATGGTTCGCGAGGTAACAGGTGTTTAAAATATAAGTGTGCGATCGATGCATCATTGAGGAGGAAAACGTTTAACGCGTTGGAGGGGGGATTATAAATGATTCATAATCGGAGGCGGTTACTTGGAATTTTCAGATATGAATGAAATGTTAATATTAGGAACGCGAAACCTTAAGTGGACCAATTTCCGGTTCGACGATGTTAAATGGTACAGTTCTTACTATTGGCGCTACTTCGTTTTATTTGTCATTCCAACACCGATGCTTTGAGGAAGATTAGCCAGTTGTATGATAATAATAATTTACCATGCTGTTGGTATGCAAACGAGGAACACGATGATTCGTTTTTATCGAACTATAAATCTCCTATATGTATATCTATGTACACTACGAATTGCTGATCACGTAGAGCCACTTTTCTGCATATCAGAAAGACAATGAAAACAAGTATTACAGTATCTTTTTCAGAAACAAGATAATGTATGTTTTACTTGTTATTGTGCTGCCCACTGTTTTAATACGTTTTGTTCTTGATTATTTGTTTATACGAGATAAGAAAACAATGATGTTTTAAAGAGTGGCTCCGATAGCAACGCTACGTTATAATTCTATCTGTTAGGTATCACAACACGTGTGTGTGTTGCACAAGCAGTAGGTCACCGGACCATTATTTCGAGTTTCAGAATTCCACGAGCCACCGTCGCGTCGGCCAGTTATCCGCAGCTTCGATTCAAAAATACCATTAGGATAAACAAAAGTTAATTTCCGTCCAACGTGTGGGAAATACGTCCGCTGTGGAATTTCTGCATGCTTAAAGAAATTATTTATCGAGTGGTTCCTGCGTGTCAGTCATTTATTTTTGTCGCGCTAAGAATGAATTCTGGCCGACTGTGCGACGGACTCGATCGAAAATTTGATTCGCGTTCGCGTTGTTTCGAAAATCGTAAATATATCGCGAATATTTCGAATAGATACAGTTGATATTAAAGGGAGCATCTTGTGTCTCGTATCAAACCATTGACCTACGCGATTCGTTCGATCAAGGGTGACCATTGAGCGATGGTTCACTAATAGTTTGTCATTGACATTCAGATCTTACCATTGGCATCGATCCATTCGTCAATACCTTTGATCGAACAACCGATACGCGATTGCTATTGTGTCGGCATTCGGTTTGAATTAAAAATAAAAATCTTATCCTTCGAATTGCGTACTCCTGACACGTATTTTGTAATTTATGTCTCGATAATGCCTTTTCCTTCGCTCGAAACACGGCGTGTTTGCTGAAATATTTCGCAATGTTTACGCGAAACAATGACAACGCGAGGCAACGTCAAACACGAAAACTAAACGTTCTCAGCGGTTTGTTTCGTATCAGCCGCTTCGGGCGAAAAGATCATTCAAGTTCGAGTCTCATTCATAATGGCGGACCTCGCATAGTAACTGAAAGATTACGATGTATACAAGACGAGAATACTACGTTCGCCGGAAGGTATAAACACGTCAGGGTTCTCAAACGTTTTCCTTCCTTCCTTACTTTCTCGATCTAGGAAGCAATGCAATCGTTTTTTTCAACCCTCCAACCATACTTGCAACACATTTCGAACATGAACTTGACACGAAGCCTACGATTTTAAAATTCGCATTCCTAGTTAGTTGCGGAAACATACGTTCGATTTTCTTCCGTCTAAGACGCGTATTAGAATTCCGAGACGGCTTGTATAATCGTTGCGCAATGTTAGCACGCATATCGTGTCAAATTCAGGAACAGCATGGCCAGCCCTGCGGCTCGCCGCGATATTTGCAACGATCGGGCTCGGTCGTGCATAAACAACCGTCCATGGAGCTTGCATTACGCGAATGTCAGTCCCAGAATGCCACCGACGCGAATTTTTCGCGTTATTCCATCGTCGGCGAAAATCATGCCAATCCGGGCTTCGAACTGCAATTAGTTGTGGATCGACGAACGATCGAGAACTTCATTGGCACGAAATATTCGCCAGCGATAAAAATAAAGAGAAACAACACACTCACCGTCCGATCTCCGACTGGATCTCGTAATGATCCTTGAACTCTACGTTGCGACGTATCGTCACATCCTGATACGGAAAAGTCGGCTCGATCTCTGAAAAATACATAAAAATTAAACAATGAAATGCGAATTAAAAGGTGAAAACTATCGAGTATAAAATGCTATGTTGCTGGCAGTAAGATATCGATTGTTCGAATACTTTTTAAAATCCATTTCGTTAATATCCGTGGGTACGTGACTTGGAGTCACACGAGATTCTAAACAGGAAAAGATCAATCGAAAATACAATCGGCGTCGTGACACGCGAGCTTCGCGCGAACTTGGTCGATCGAATCGGAAGCTGATTACGCTGAAACTCGACTCGTTTCCCTTTACAAGCATTAATTTCTAGCGACGATCGTTGCACATCCGTGGAAATAATCGCAACGAGTGGTTTATTGCGCATCGTTTAAATACAACATCGAATGCCTCGTTAATCGTCTATTTTTTGATGATCCTAAGTTACAAGGGAACCTGGCCAACTAAGTGGATTCTGACATTCAGGAAGCTGCACGGATGTACCGAATTGTCTCGCGCATAAATTTAGCAATTTTTGCCATTTGACCGCAAACTGACTTTAATATTAAACCGCCATTGGCCGCCCGTGTAGCGCGCGAAGCGCAAAAACAAGCCGAAGATTGTTGGCTCCTCGCTTCGCGCGAGAACGATGAAAGAAATGCTGCGATTTTTTACAATTGCAAGAGCATTCTATCGTTAGCGGCTGATAATAATGCCTCCGAGAGTTATTTTTTATTAAAACGATTTGAAACGAGTGAAATTTGATGTATAAAGAACGTTTAAACAGTAAGAAAGATATTCGATTCTCAATGGAAAGATCAAGACACGCGTCCCTTGATCCGCGACGCGACGAGCGCATCGTTTCGCGCCGGCCACGACCTCATTTCACCCTTTTGTACGGGACAGCTGGTACGAACGGCGACCTCCAGTCGAGCCGACGAAAGAGAAACCTCTTCCGATGTTCAGCGGAACCGATCGCGAGATATTTAAACGCCAGGCGACGGTGTTCTTTCATCGTCCCAAATTCCAATGAATCACTGGCATTTATTTAAAGAAGAATCACGATCGAAGCACTGCACCACTCCCCCGCGTCGAGGAGGGAGTCACCGAAACGGTGGCCGCTGGAGAGCTCGAACTCGATCGGAACCGGTGGATCGACGATCGTCCTGGCACGATTTCTGACGGTAAAAGTGGATCGAGATAAGGTCTGGTTTTCCCTTCCGCGATCCACGCGTGACAACATGGGCTTGCACGGTGCTTCCTTACCGCCCACCGGGTCAGTCTCGTCCACGCGTATCATCCTCCCCTAGGTTGCCACCCTCTCGGCGTTGAACCACGAGGTTCGTGGTTTGCGTTCTCCGGCGTGTCGGTCGTCAGTCGGTCGTTGCACGTTGGCCACGGTCGCGCTCTCTCCGAACCGATCCGGTGCACCCCAAAGGCAATTATTGACTATCGCGTCTGTGGTCTCGGACGGCGAGTCCCGGTTGCCGACGGCGGGTGCCTCTTCTTCGCGGCTCGGACGGATTTAGATTTTCGGCGGACGCCGCGGATTCTGCTGGCGGGTCACGTGGCCAGTGGCGTTCCACGGGCGAACCCTCTTGCCCCCGCGCCACGCGACCGACCAACCTTCGATCGGCTTCGTCTCCTTCTGGCACTTCTTTCCTCGTCCCTCCATCGGCGGCCTCGATATATTGACTACAGATCGACAATAGACTCCCTTCGTTCGCGGACCTCATGGGGCCTGGAGATCGCGTCCCGTGGTCGCACAGAATCCTGAATTAACTGGCCAAACCCTAATTACTTCAAATACAGAATATAATTAACACGAGTTTAATAATCGGATCGAGAAATTAACGACTACTTTGCTAGTCTCATATCGAAGCTCTACTACCTAATCTTTCTGCTGTTTCTTCGGTAGTTGGTCAAGGTACCTCGATTAAAACTTTTGCTGCCTCAACGTCAAACGTCGTTGGCCAACCGATGGTTTTCGCTCGCACTTGTTTAACATTTCTTTTTTAATGATGAATATCGGATTAAACTGCTTCGAACGCACGTTGTAAACTGTCGTGTGAGATATAAGAATAAGTTCCTTCTATAACGTATCTGCATGGAGCAGACGTAATCAAAGATTTAATAGTTCCCATAGGTTAGGATAGATTTTGAGAACATCGTAGGAAGAAGAATAAGAGTGTTAGAAATTGTATAAATTACCAGTTTTATGACTTTACTTGTGTAATAAAGAATTATTGTCCACGATCCAACCACTGTGCATCGCCTAGCACGGGTTGAGAACCACGTGGACGCGAACGTCGCGTCTATTGAGGTTTTAGGGTGAACCAGTTTTAACTCTCGCGCCCGATCGCGCAGTGAACTGTAACTGAGAAAACCTGGCCATAGCCCTAAAATGAAAAGTCACCAAATACGCTTTTTAGACGTCTTCGTTGCTTTTATCAACTATTTGGCTAACAATTGCCAGCAACTAGGAACAAGTAAATGGTACTTTAAAGTGTTGACGATGCCACTGGATTCTGAAGCCATCAAAAATGAAAACGTATACATCTCATTGTCGACCTCGTGTATTCCTCCTGTAAAAGATAAATAACAAAGTGAGCAAAACATTTGAAGGAACAGTTTCTTTTGACACTACAGCTATCTGCCCATCGAACTAATTCACTGAATAGTTTCTCAACTGACCGCCATCCGTGAGCAGAGGGCGCTAAAATCACCTCCGAATTTCGGTCGGTATGGCAGTCACGAGAGTCCGCAAGGTGAAAGGTGCCAAACTGCACAGACGAGATTCGTCTTTGATACGATACGATGATTTTCTGAATTAGTGTGATCAAAATTATTAAAAATGGCAGGTAGAATAAGACAATTGGACGAACGACAACTTCCAGCGGAAGTAACAAAAATGCAATGGTCGCCAAAAATGGACCTTTTAGCGATTGCTAACGTGAAAGGTTAGCAGTAAACAACACTCGGAAATCTTAAACGTCTTTCTGTATTATGATCATAACACGCTATTGTCTTGTTCACTTGTTATAGGAGAAGTTACACTTCATAGATTAACGTGGCAAAGAGTATGGTTGTTGAGTCCGCAAGAAGAATCTGATACTTTAGTAAACTTAGCATGGAGACCGGATGGAAAACTTCTTGCTGTTTGTTACGAAGCTTCCAAAGTAGTGTGTCTCGTAGATATTGAAAATAAAAATATTATTCATAGAACAAAACTTAACTTGCACAATGGAATTACATGCATGACATGGTTGCCATTGACGAATCTAGAAAATGACAGTCAGTTAGGCGCCAACAAGCCAAGTATGCTCCCAACAGGAGAATTTCTTCCACCTTTGCCAAGTTTAAATAGAAGTTTTGGACAAGAACTTGAACGCAAAGAATTCTTATTTCAAACATTAGATATACTTTTTGTAGGTTCATTTAAAACAAACATACAAATGTCTGAAACTGTTAACTATATGATTATTATAAACAATTATGTTATTTCTAGCTTGGTTTAGATAATGGAAATATTGCAATGTATGTATTTGGAATGTTTTACTGTGGTACAATTTCAGTCGGTCATGGTCGAATATTAGAAATTAGCGGTGGATTTAGTAAACCAATATGGATCACATGGAAAGATAATTGTGGCATTAAAGTAAACAGATTATGGTGCCTTTTACTAGAACAAAATGCAGCATTCTTAAAGGTTCTTTGCATAATAAAGTTAATAATTTCTCTTTCAAATGCGATACATTACAACAATTTTTTTCATTTAAATAAGGTAGCGCAAGCTCAAGCTAATATAGAATATTTGATGGATTATCTTTCGCGTACGTTAATGGCAATTTCTGAAGCATGGGAAACGATTCTTTTGGAAATGGATGAAAAAATTGCACGATACGCAGAAAAAATTCCACATGGTGGAGTTGCCGCAGATTTTTTGGAACTGTTAATGATTGGTATACCAACTCGACATTTGCAAACTTATCTATTACGAGATTTGACTGAAAAGGGATTAAAAAAATTAGGGCACAGTATTGAAATGTGCTATAGTAATATACAGGTACCATATAGAACTTTCAGTTTTTTGTAAAATGTAACATGTTGTAGCAATGGATTATTATTTTACAGAAATTAGTCTTAAAAAACTTAACTAGTGTTGGAATGGCATTGGTGTATCAATTGGCTGAAATGAGAGGAATGGTAAGATTGGGTGGTCCGTATGAATTATTGGGACTTACTAATGAAAGTGTCATAACTAATGCTCTTCATGCATCGGAAGCTTTTTTAGCAAAATCGTCCGAAATTCAACAAGTAATAGATCACAGCATGCGCGATTATAAAGCATTTTTCCGGTATGTTTCAAAAACTGAAAATGCCATTGACGATGTCTTTACTATTTGGATTTTCTTTTTATTTAAGGTGGTTATATGTGGTAATTCTAAGACTAACTGATGAAAGAATACCATCCGAAGTCAGTCGAGTTAGTCAACAAGAATTGACATTTATTGCCGAATTCTTGCGGGGTTTTGACAAAACTAATCCAAACGTTGGAAGTAGAAAAGGAGTAAATTTAGAAAAATTAGGCCAGTATTTACGGCGTGAAAATTTACAAACTTGCTTAACCTCCAAAGGAAGCGAATGGGCGGCTATGCTTGATGAAAATCATTGTTTCCATGAACATCCACTTATTGTGAAACAAGATCTTAATCTTTCATTATTGCAATCCCATGCAAAATTAATTTCCGCTATACATAATGTTTTTGGAGAGGCTTATCAAGGCTTGGTTGATCAGTTTACTATTTCAAGCATTGCTTTAGCACCCTCTATAGCATTTACATCTTCTCAAATTGTAACAAGCAATGATGGTCTATTGGTAACCACATGTGATATTGATCATAAAATATTACGAATATTCAAAATTGAATGTTCGTGTACAGAGCCTGCGATGCTCAGCTTTAAAGTGGGTACAATAGATGTAGATTACAGATCAGGTTTGTGGATTCGTTATAAACATATAAATAATAATTTCATCTCTAAATCTAATCATAATATAATATTTTATTCGGCAGAACCTTACTCAAAAACTTACATGGATGGTACTATAATTGATCTACAGTTTTATTCTCAGGAGTATGTCAGTTTATTGTTGCTCAACAAACATACTCACGCATCGTATCTTATTCAGTTGCCATTGAATCATTCTCGAATTTTTGAAAATCAAGATAAGAATACAATTACTTTAGCCGACCTTTTAGGCAACAATTGGCCACGACCTTTTCAAGGTATTTCTGCTAGGCGAATAGCAATCAGTGGCGCACGAAAAGTAGCTGCTGTTTTAAGTGAAAGCAATAGGAAAATAAGATTACTAGAAACTGAAGTAGAACCTGAGGAAGATGAAGATGAAGAAGACGAAGACGATGGAACTAACGATAGTATGTTAGATACTTCACATGGAACAACTTCAAATATTCCTCTATGAACTTGCATATACATGCACAGAGGTAAGCAACGTTTAACCTCTAATAAAAGTAATGGTTGCCAATAAAAGCATCATAAATACAGAAATGTTTCCTGAAAATATTAAAGTGAGAAATACAGCGGAAAATAGTATTATTTTATACTTGCTAAAATGATTAAATAATCGACTAAAGAATTTAATAACTATTTATATATATTATATATATAAATATATGTACAGTAATGTATTACGAATTTTAATCTAAGAAGTATTAGTTACAATTATATTATTAAGAAATATGCCTTTCGTGTCTTAATGGTACGATTGAAAGTTCTATACATGTATGTAAAAATAAACGATTTATGATTCTATGAGTCTTTCTGATAAGATATATTATAATCTACTATAAAAAAATTGCTTTATATAATATATCACAATGGTTATTATTTCTGCATTTGCCTTAATACTCTCGGAAAATCAATATCAAGGGCTTCATTATCAATGCCGCCTTCTTCAACTATTGGTGTAGGTAGTGTAGGAGCAACACTAACATTTGGTGTGTATTTTGCTGGTGAATTTTCCCTTGATTCTTCGAAATCTGTAATAACAATTTTTTATATTAATTAAATACATAACTAGATTTTTTATTTATTTTTCAATTACATTCAAATATTTACGCATATATACCGAAAAATCTGCGATTACGTCGTCTTCTTGATGTGATGATAAAAAGAACAACTGCTATTGTAACGATTACAACCATAGCAGCAGCCATTCCTCGTAACAAATTCGTCTACAGAAAGATATATATATATTTAAATTAAAACTTAAGCGGGTATTTATTAAACAAAAATACTTTAATATACCTCAAAATCGTTTTCCCAAACATCTTCCCAATCTTTTTTAACAATCAATTCAACAACATGAATATTGATAGTAGAGTGATCTGATATGCCTTTTGAGGCACACTTATAGAAACCAGATTCAGCTGTTGATACGCCCTGTCACAAAGGCCATTATTTATTAAAACAAAGAATGTGTAACTTTATATAAATTTGAATGTATTCGCGGTTATTAATTACCCTAATAAAGAGTTTTCCAGTCAATACTTCATAATTGTACTTGTTTTCATCCATGGGGTTGCCAGGCCCAATAATGCGTCTATCATCTGTAAGTTGCCAAAACATAAAACGATGATGATCATCACTGCTTAAACATGGAAGTTCAGCCAAATGACCAGCTGGAACCTCTACTACTGTAATAGTGCCATCAACAAATCCATTTTTCAATAATAACAGCGATAAACAGAAAAATATAAAAGATCTCAAACTCATCTGTAAAATAAAATAAAACGTAATTTAAAAATTATTAATAGCAAACGAAGTGTATAAATCCAAACCGAATCAATTTTTCAGATATTCTTCTACTTTCTAATTTAATGATTGTTAATTTGTAAAAAATATTAAATATAAAATCTTGAAATATAGATTTTACTATTCTACCTGTTGTATGTTAGTTATGTCCATACTTTCAAATATGATACACATGTATTTCTGTTAAATTGTTATTAATTTAAATTATTGTAACTGTACACTCGTGATATATTATATTTTCACTTGCACAAATTAGATGTTCAGTCACAAAACTAATTTCATAATGGAAATATAAAAATTCTATATTTGTGCCACAGAACTCTTTCTATCGTCAACTTTACTAGCAAAGTGCCTTGGGTAGTTAGCGGATCTTGTTCTTGTATGCAATTATATTCTAATTTTACCTTTAAGATAAGAATTTCAGTATCATAGAACAGGTCTCAAATGTGACAGATGGATGCTAGAACAATTATTCTATGCACAATGGAAGCAGGAGTCACTTGTCAATGAACCTTGTTGCATAACTGTGAAGGTAACTGTACATAGTCCCTCACTATTTGTATATTATGTACTTTAATATTTAAATGCACTAATAATAATTAATAATAAATATGAAAATCACTGATTGTAAATGATGATAGTGGTATGAACTAATGAGAAAGCTTTGATAATGAAGCTGCTGTACAGTTACTTATTTATATCTTTGTCCTATTCATCCTTGTGCAATAGAGTATTTATAGTAAGCTAGACTGGCATCTTGTGACTACCATACCATCTGAAAGTACAGTACATATTTCATCGTTTTAACTATTGAGAAAACATAGACATGTAAAATAAAACCCAATGCCAAGGCAGTATTTGCATACATTCAATCCTTTTATCGTTATATAATATACATACACGTACAAGTTACAAGGTGTAACAAAAGTAATCGAATGAAGTTATTATTTAGAGATATAGATAGTATAAATTATTACCGTCACAAATTGTAACTGTTATGGAGACAACTTACACAATTAATTTTCATATAAAAATGGATTTATATAAAATATGGTAACCATTGTAGATGCATGGAAATCTTTAAAATGTGTGTAATCTGGTCATTATCAAAACCGGTGCTGTTGTATCAGATGTATGAAAACATCAACTGCTAATGCTGGAAGAAGAATCCAAAATGGTGCCAAGACAACTTTTGCCGGTAGAAACCAATGAGGTGCTTCTAATTTCAAGCATATCAAAATTTGGGCACTTAATTTCATAAATACAGCCGTCATATACCATACCTAAAAGGAAACTGTCTTCAACTCTTATAAAGTGAAATTGATATCCAGTTTCATAAAAATTATTTATTATATTCAATAATATCAAGCTCCAATTTTATTACAATGTAAGTTTCTAGGTATAAGCCATGTCATTTGATAGAAATGTTTTAATATTTTGCCAACATTACACCTAGCTTCTTTGATGGTCAAATAACATCGATATTGATATTAAAATTTCTAATCTCAATCAATATTAATTGTCAAAACCAAAGTCATAAAAGCCTTAAATACTAGTCTTCGTTAAAACTTTTATACTTTTAATTGTTTGTTGTTATCAGGAAAGTAACACACAATAAAGCAAACATACGATGTAATAATAATTTAACAAAAAGTGTATTCATCAAATTTATTTATATACTAATCGATAGAAGTATGTACAACTTATACAATTAAGAGTAAATTTCCAACAATAAATTAATTCTTGATGAAACTGGATATGTGTAACAGGAATAAGTTCATAAATTTGTTTAAATTTATGCTATCTCATACAACTTACTTCCCGACGTAATTTAATAACACGTCCATTTTTGCAATGTGAGATCATATGAAAAACTATAAAAATTAGAAGGATATGATCATACAACCACATCGGAATGAAAACTATGAACCAATTCCATTGTATCCTCTGATCGAGTTTCAAGTCAAGTAGAATCAGAGAAATCAACAGACTGAACCACGTAAATAATGTACGATGCACAACTGCCATTAAAACATAAATGCGTAAGAAATCACGAGACAAAACGTGATCGTGGGACTATACGATCATATTGCAAATTTACCGATCTGTTTACATCAACACACCATATACCTAACCCTCAATATCGAGTCGATAGTATCAACTAACCTATAATCCTATAATATATAAAAAGTTTCTAGATGTCGCCACTTATTAAAGAAATGTATTTATATATACATGCATAATTAGTATTATGCAAATAAGTATATAGATATAACATGCGACGCATTTAAATATTTTTTAAACATAAAATATATTGTTTCTTTATAATTATGTATAGATGTACAAATGAAAATTGATTTTGTTAGATTCAATTAGATTACATTTTGAATATCGAATAATATGTAAATGGAAAAATACCCGATTACAAAATTTTTGTTTTATTGTTTTATAGGTCCGTGTCTCTTACATAATATTCTACAAGTTAATAATATTAGTAATTTTACATGTATATATTTATTCTAACTTATACATTAAAACAAATTGTTTATTAATTTAATTATTTATCAGTTAAATTATCAGAAATCTTATTGCATGCTATAAATGATATAATCATTAATTTTTCAGGCCACTCTTAAATAACATCTTTTTAATTAAAACAGTTACAAAATAAGTCTATATTGTTATAATATCTTTAGTCATAGATTGCAATATATATTCAATGCAAATACGTGTTTATGTTAAATTAAAATAAGATTAGATATTATTTATAACCCGTAATCTGTTATCAGCGTCTTTGCGATACGATTATTTCATCACCCGATAGAAAAATGCCAAAGTCAAACTGGACAACCGTCCAGTCAAACCTCAGTTCCAGAGACGGTGCAAACATTAAGATTTTTCTGTGATACAATTTAGTCAAAGTTTCTATTAGTTAATCATTTAAAAATAAAAATTATTTATACTTCGAAATTTAATAATATAACAGGTGGTTATCAAGTGCAACATTCGTGAAGATATTATAAATATTGTATAACAACTATTATGTCTGAATCACTGAATGATACAACGCCGAATGGATCATATGTGCGTATATTTTACACAACAAAATATGAATTTTTATATTTTAATTCAAACCCTGTCAAAACATTCAAAAGACATACTCTATCATTATCATTAAATCATATTACAAATATTTGTACATGGTGTCCTAAAGGTCTGTTCTTTTCTTGAGAAGTAGAATAGGTTCAAGAACTTACATTTGTGTAAAAATATTTAGTTAATATTATCATTTTAGATACTCTTTACGTTTATTCGAAAAATTTGTATCAATTAATCATTCGATTATTTATAGAATCAGCTATTTATTCGAAACAAAAAAAAGATCCAAGCGGGGATACATCGATAAATACATACTAATCGAAGCAAATGTAATCGGTGCTGCTTCAGTATTACGAATGATCTCATAACTATGTAGAAGCTACATGTAGTTCACAATGTATGTATTCGTTAATCGTTTCAATCACCGGATATGGATGTTTTATTTATTTCAATTCAATGAACATGTATTAAGCAACGTAAAAACACGATTTACGATGTAATATTTATTGTTTTACATTTATACGATGTTCTTACATGATATAGTTATCTGTAATTTATATAACTTTCTTAATACAAGTATGCGATTTAAAAACTGATTAAACGAGTTCTTCGTTAATGAAAAGTGTAAAAGATATGCAATTCTTTCGTGTAATTTCATTGTGTCGTCTGTGCATAGGTAAGGAACTCGTTTACCTTGTATGTGTAATGCCTCTGGTAATATAGCTATAAATACGTTGAAATAGTAGTATGTAACTGTTCTTAGACTGAGGGAAGTAAGATCTATTTTAAAGGGTAGCGCCCTGTATCTGACCCCGTGTAAATACCTAGAAGCCGGTGATATCTCGAGGCGTGCGTGTAAAAATTCTTTTTAAGCCGGTGACAAGTCAAAGACGTTTCATGTGAAATTTTTCAATAAGTGAACAGCCCTGGAATCGGTGCTCGTTTTTCCTAGAAAATATTTATTTTTTATTTACTCCCACCGTTTCTTCCTACGGCTACGACCTTAACCTCGTTCTCAGCATTCTTTTGCAAAGATTCTAACCACTTGCGATTTGAGTTACGATGCCAAATTTACGTTCGTTGGTAAGTTCACTTAAGTGGAAAAAGAAATTTTTAAACAATGTTAGATGACATTTTTAAATTATATGGTTTGATTTCGAAGAATGATCAATGATGAAGGGTTAATGAATAACCTTCTTGAAAAATGGTTTCACACGCTACGTGTTATTATTTTGCATTACACGGAAAGTTTGTTCGTTTCTTTATACGCTCGGAAAGAGCGATTGGATTCTAAAATAGATCGCAGTATTAATTATAAGTTGACATGTACGTCTCGATGGATTAACTTATTCGGAAACTGAGGTCCCATTTCACTTTAGGAGTCATGAATTTTTTTATGAACAATAAGAAAATTTTCGAATTTTACTTCTAGTTGTATTATTAGTTGCAATGAAAATGACTAGTAAATTTGTTTTTCTTTGTAATATACTGATTATATTGTTTATATATTTTTCCATAGGTTTTACCAATTTTGGCTGCTGTGGGAACCATAGCTGTGGTAGGATTAGCAGTCAAGGTTTACAAATGCTGGAACAGCGAGAAGAAAAAGAAATCTCCAATTTTATTAGTTGATCCAGTTGTTAAATATAGTTTACCGTTAATTCAGAGAGAGTTAATAAGTCGTGATACAAGAAAGTTAACATTCGGTTTGCCAACACCGGATCATGTTCTAGGATTGCCGATTGGTCAACATGTACATTTAACGGCAAATATCAATAAAGAAGTTATTATACGTTCTTACACACCTGTTTCAAGCGACGATGATCATGGTCATGTAGATCTTGTTGTTAAAGTAAGTTAAAAATAACATACAATAATGAATTTACACTCTGATGCAGAAATTTAATATTAAAAATTTGTGGAAAGGTATATTTCAAAAATGAACACCCAGAATTCCCAGAAGGAGGAAAATTATCTCAGCATTTAAATAACTTGTACATTGGCGATACTATAGATTTTAGGGGACCGTCTGGTCGGCTTATCTATAAAGGTAATGGAAAATTTTCTATAAAAACTTTAAGGAAAGATCCACCTTCGGAATACAATGTTAAAAAGGTATGTATTATATAAATTTATGTGCGTAGGTATATTTTATATTTATAAAATTTGAGGTATAAATAAATAATCTTCTGTCTTAATAAAGGTTGTAATGCTGGCTGGTGGCACAGGAATCACACCGATGCTACAATTAATTCGTGCTATAGTAAAAGACACCACGGATAAAACTCAATGTTCTTTACTTTTTGCTAACCAAACGGAAAAAGGCATAGTGCTTAAAGAGGAGTTAGATGATATTGCAAAAAATAATCCTAATAAATTAAAAGTTTGGTATACGTTAGATACTAGTGGCGAAAATTGGCCTTACAGTACTGGTCACATAAATGCAGAAATGATAGAGGAGCACATGTTTCCTCCATCGCCTGATACAATTGTTCTTATGTGCGGTCCGCCTCCAATGATCAATCATGCTTGCAATCCTAACCTCGATAAACTTCAATATGATCAAAAATTACGATTTGTATATTAAAGGAATTTATTTCTTGTTGCACTGAAATATAGAGTGTATTCATTGTCGTTAGTATGTCTTTATTAAATAAGACACATGGGCCTCTATGCAAAGACAGCATTTTATAGGTATATTTATATTAACCGTGTATTAAATGTGCAGTGGCAGTTTAAATCTTATGTGTATAGTATCAATTTACGTAATAATATAGTGCGCATGAAGTCGTTCAGTATTTATTTTAAGTATCCAATCTCGTCAAAGGAACGTTTTAATTTATAATGTATATTCAAATATACAAGGTAATCTTTAGTTATTCGTTATGGAGTAAAAACAGTAATATTTGGATTTTTTAATTCTATATTTTCTATAAATGCAATTATTAATGGTTTTCAATTTAATTTTTTTATAAAATACATCGCCAGTGCAGAGCTTCATTGAGAAACACTATACAGGTTAAAACATTTATCGATGTTAAACCTATTGTATTGCTATAAAAAAAAATGATGATCGTAAGTTGTTTTACAAATTTCTTCCATATTTCCTATTTAATTGTTAAGTTAAGATTCGTAGTGCAAGATGACAGTATATGTTGCATAATTCAATGGACAATTAGGGTATTGATATCAATTAATATTTATATTCGTTAACAAAATGGATGAAGCAAAGTTATTGATAACGTAATCATAATTCGTATCATGGGAAAAGCACAATGCAAACAAATTAAAAATAGTGGAAGAGTCACAGTGGCTGTGACTAACAATGTCCACGGTCTTTCACGCGTTTTCTGGGCGCCGCTCGTAAGATATTATCCACCCGTAAAATCATTTCTGCTGCTTCTGCCGCGCTAAGTAAAACTTGCCTCTTCACAACCCAAGACTCCGTTACTCCCAATTGTTTCATGCACCCTAATTTTCCTTCTTGCATATCTAATAAAATAAAAATAAAGATATTATTTACCGTTTAATATTTTGATAAATAATTACTAACGGTAATACATCTTTGCAACAACCAAATTGACAAAAAAAAGAATGTAAGTACAGTATCAGAGCTATACTGGTATGAACTTACCGAGACCCATTGAACATGTGCCAAAATTGTGCGCAGCTCGAAGTTCACTGATTAGCTGAGCTGAATCATAACCTGCATTATCAGCAATAACAGTGGGTAATTGTTGCAGAGCTCGAGCAAAGGATTCCATTGCGACTGCTTCCTTTCCGGGAGTGGCAACCGCCGCATTCATGACAGCACAAGCCATTACCATCTCGCTGCATCCTCCGCCATAAACAATTCTAGATTCACGCACTGTAGCTGCTAATACGCACAGAGCATCGTGCAATGATCGTTCTGCTTCGTCGAGGATTTGTTGCGTGGCACCTCTAAGTACTACCGTACAAGCTTCTCCCAAAGGAACTCCAGAGAATTTTAACAGTACATCTTCACCTATCATTACCTGCGAAAACGTGTTGATTTTTAAAAGTGGTGCATGATCTTAATTAAGTTTACGACATACCTGTTCAATGGTATCACACTTTCCAAGTTTCACCATTTCAGGGTTGTCAAAAGTACTAACTATTTCTCCACCAGTAACAAGAGCAAGTCTTTCAATACCATCAAAATCAGCATGCTCAATAGCCATAATGTTGGCATCAGCAAACAATTGTTCTGGATAATTATAGATCAACTGTCTGTTAATGAAAACGTTGCAGCCATGTTTTATGATCTTTTCAACTTTATCCTGTGTTAAATATAATCATTAAATAATTTTTGATAATTGAACACAATTTTCATACTTGTGCTTGACAGTTTATATAATTACCTTCATCTTCTCTTTCTCTGCTACTTCTAATTCTGCAATTTTTGCCATTGAATCGACTCGAACTCTAGATCCAAACACCTGCAAACCAATTCACGCGTGAGTATTGCCGCCGAATTTAAATGTCATTATTGTAAATTTACGTTTTTATTCTCTTTACTTTAATTTTATCTGTGTCCATAGGGGTATTAGCTAGAAGTATACGAGCATCTGTGACTTTTTGCGGTTGATGTACACCGGGCTTCTTATCCAGTAAAAATCCATCATCGAGGAAAGAAGAATACAAGGTTCCTCCACGTTTTTTGATCACTTGAATAGCCGACAAATTGCCGGACCCTTTAAGGCGCAATACAGCATCCACTGCAAGCTTACTGAAATGCTCTTTGTATTGTGATAAAATTTTTGAGCTTAAAGTTGTACGTGCAATATTTAATAGATCTTCGCGGAAACACTCAGTATCTGCAGAATTATCAATCGCTGTATTCTTTAAAGCCTCTTGTGCTACATTAGTTGCTTTTCTCCAACCAGCAATTATAGTTTGTGGATGAATCTTTTGATCAATTAATTTCTCTGCTTCTCTTAATAATTCAGCAGCTGAAATAATAATAATTAACTATATTATGTTTAATTTGAAATAATAAATTTCTACAGAGTATCATCAAATTTCAATTAATCAGTATGTACAAACCAAGGACAGTTACAGAAGTAGTGCCATCCCCAACTTCATCATCTTGCACACGTGACATATCTACCAAAATTTTAGCAGCTGGATTATCCACACCAACATTTTTTAGAATAGTTGCTCCATCATTAGTTACTTGAACTTGTCCTGCGGATCGGCCAAAAGATACCATTAACTTATCCATACCCTTTGGTCCAAGTGTAGACTTTACTAAATCACCAATGGCTATTGCGCCTACAAATAAACTTAGCCTGGCAATTTCTGCCTTCTCTTCCTCCGCATCGTTCTTGAGGATCCTAACAGGATTCAAGGAAACCTATAAATGCGTATTTAAATTTCGTTAGATCCGTTAGATCCGTTAATTCAGATATTTTATTCATAGAAACAATTTCATTGCATCTTTATTTCGTGTTGTTTAATAAAGCAAAGCAATACTTGAAATGCTTATTTGATGCAATTATTAATATATGAAAATCTTATACGCTAATAAGTTTGTTCGAACCTCGAAAGCATAATTTTATAAAACTACTTTTTATTAAAAGAAATTAATAACAAATTATTAATAAAAAAGAGCATTTGACACACGTGCGCCATTTGTCACACCTTCATATACGAAACCGGGCAATGAAAGTTGATTCGTTGCTATTCTGATATCTAATAGTATTTCAGTAGTATTGCTTTACGATAAACCGTAGGATATTGAAATCGATTAATTACCATTCTGAATCACTGTTAAAATAACCGATCAATTTACAAGCAAATAACGTTACTTTAACTTCACAGGAAAGTGCAATTACAAGATGTTACCGTTCTCAAGATGGCGCTTCTACTGGGAACTTCAAGCATACATTTTGTATGTGTTTTCCATTGTAACGCTTTCTGATTGGTCACTGAGAATGATGACGACTGTTCAAAACGAATCAGTAAGATCTTTGGGAAATAAAATGTGCCCACTCATAATGGAGTTACAAAGGAAAACATCGAGAATATTCTTTAGCGATGGATATTTGTATTATTTGTAGATGGCGCCATTGCTCAACGCACAATCCTTACGATTCCGAATTTAATTCCTTTTAAGGTTCGTGAAAGGTATGATAATAAAAATTAAATATACATGTTTCTCTTTATTAAAATTAACAGTTGTATTTTTGAAAACATTGTACAGAGTTAAAAAGATACTTGAAATGTTATAGCACTTACGATGAAAATATCTTTCTAAGCCGTGTTTGACAAAAATATTGCGTACAGAAAGTACTCTCGAAATTTGTTCGATGATACATTCAATATTAGTAGTTTTGTATTGAAAGTAATACTTCTTCTTGTCCATCTATGCGCGGATATCAAGTTACCAGGCGTTAAATTCACTTAAGAGCGCGCTAAGGTATGAAAGTTTGCCAATATTGTTATCGTGACTGATTGTGAACATATAGCGTGTTGCCAGCTGTATGGTTTGATTGCACACTTTATTACAGCCATGATAATATCTTATAGTATTTATAAATTCATTCAATTTCTTATAAGAAATCTTCATATGCATTTACGGAGAAAACGACAAAAGAATTATTTAAAAAATATCTAATATCGTTGTTTTTTTTAAGCGGGAAGAACGGAATATTTCGTTATCCAATAATCAATGACCTATGCCTCTGCAAGTACGAAATGTATCAGGAAAATCCGTTTTGAGCAGTCGTTTATGGAAAACGAATGTCTCCTCACATACGAATCTGGTCAACGCGTGCTCGAGCTCGCGCGCGCACCTTTAAATAACGGTCTACACCCAGCTGTCCCCTATTTCGTTTGGATCTCTGCGTACAATAGGGGTCGTACAGACCCTTTGACGCTTTTGTACGATGTCTAACTGCAGACTTTCTCGGGCATATGCGGTGTTTCGAGACAATACCGTGGGGCACCGGTCGTTTCGGAATACTAAGTGTCCAAGATTCTCGATAATGAACGAGTGTACCCACACGTATATCGATTATTGTTTCTTTCATGTCTCTAAAGGCCTTTGTAGTTTCTTCGTTTCGAAATGATCTTTAAAGGGAAAACCGAGGAACGAACGTGTCTCGGAGTTAAAAAAATAATTTGGTAAATATCATATTGTGTAGAATATACGTATATGTTATGTTATTTAATATTTAATATTGGAGCTTCAGAAATCTAGTCACATTGATCGATCGAATTGTATCGGTGACTAAGGTTGCAAAAACGACGAGCGAAGTGAATCATTCGTGTGCACAGATGCTCGCGACACTCATCACTGGAAGCATTTTACGCAGATGTCCGGAGCGGCGCGTGCCCCTGGATCCGGTGCTGGTGGAAATGCCTCTACGGCCCCCTTTTATCGAGCGAGCCCGACCCCCGCGCGTGTACTCGCGCACACACGAGAACGATATGGAACCGGAGTCACACCTGGCCCTTAAAAATAGCATTGGCGTGATTTTGTGACGTCTCTCTTGGCGCACGCACTGCATTCGTGATGACGATATTCCTGCGCTCTCGGAGAACTGATAAATAATTACATATCATTGTTCTGTTTTGCATATTTTATAAATATTCTGGTAAGATTCCAGTATGTTATACTCACAGTATTGTAGAAATATTAATACAAAATATCGTCTTAAAAATTGTATAGCGATGGTTCATGTTTACGTAGAAATATAAGTTTCTTCAGGTAAATAGGAATAACGAACTTTTTTGTTTTATTAAATGCAGGATGATCGTTAAATAAATACCAATATTCTAGAAAATATATCTGAAGTACAAAGAAAGCAAGCGATCCACTTGATCACCTCGGTTTGAAATATTGATTGGATTTTCTATTTACGCCACTGCACGTCTTGCGTGAAGAATGCACCTAGTTACGCTGTGGCGGTTACACATGGATCACACATGCCGGGGAACACGGGGGTACGTGTAGCATTCGATAGAGGTATGCACCCCGTGGAAGCGACAAAAGAGAAGGGGAGGAGCTCCTGTTTTGGCTTACGAGCTTCGGGGCGGGGAGGGAGCGCGACTTACGGGTGGAAGTCGGAAGCGACCCGATCCAAGTCAGTCGTTCGCGAAGCATCAATTCGTTTGGATCGATCGATGCCTACGAGAAACAAATCACTCGTGATCTCATTATAATATAGTAAAACACAATTGCATATAGAAAATGTAAATTGATAATGTAAATTAATAACAACTAATTTGAGAATTTCGCCGATCAACCGATACATTTTTTAAGTATCCAAACTGAAGATAATATTGTGCAATTAATATATTTTAATATTTTTGCCGCATTAAGGTGCGTTTAAAGTAAAACCTATTATGAAGAACGGTTGAGTGAAAAGAAAAAGCATTAATTTATCGAAAGTGTAGGCTTAAACGAGAGTGTTTTCGATCGGATCTCCGTGGGGGTTTCGATGGACACCATAAGGTTCTCCGGGCACGCGACCTGTGAGAGGGTCGTTACGCTCTGTTGAGTCGTGAAACCACCCCGGTGTGTCGTCGCATTATTCTGCTACTCATCTTCGTTGTACCATCGAACGAGAAATTACGAAGGGATTCTTCCAAGTATCTTTAACTCTCGCGAAATTTGAATCGAATCGAGACGTGGTTCGAAAAGTGACTGAAAAATGAGTGCGTTTAAAAGAAATCAGAGCAAAGTGTTCTGGAGCCACATGGCTTCGCAGGATCTAGAAAGCGTGGATCATTTTGCCGCGCGGAACGATCTCGCGAAGGTCAAGCAGAATCCTCGGCGCGAGTTCACGATCCTCGAAGAGGAAGCGGAGGAACGGTCGACCAGTATCAATGAAAGCGATACGATCGACGGTGAAAATATCACGGCAATACACATCTGTCCTGGCGAGAACGTGAATCAACAATATTCCGTTGCGTCGATTTGCGATGGAGACGTAATGACTCAGATGTGAGTGAAGTTGAAATCGGGATGTCGAACGCGTTCATTTGTCCCGTTATCGGCTATTTTTCTTATCGCATTGACATACAACGCTGTTTGTATTTCACTAAATACTTTAGTTTTTCTAACTGGAACGATACGCCTCCGGTTATTACAACCGTGGCTAGTTTAGCGATGAATTTCTCGGGAGACATCGATGCTTTTACTTTTGTACGAATTCAGTCGATGGTAGACTTTGGCAAAACGTAATCTGATTTGTAATCGAACCGATGGTTGCTTCAATTTAAGTTATTTTCATAAGACAAAGCGATATTATATTATGGTAATTTCTGGAAATGTTTGCAGAGCCACGATGGACATAAAAGACGAAGATAAAGAGGACGAGGGTAACATCGTTTTGGCGAATCGATCGTGTAGTCCTGTGAGTCACGACCTGCGAAGCCTGGATTCTGGCTTCTCCGATTCAGAGCGATCAAACTGCTCCGAATTATACGAGAACGAAACGCCGAGGCGTCGTAGGAGACGCAGAAGATTTAAGGATCGACGACACGGTGCGCATTCTAAGCTGGATTCTAATTGGTTAGAAGATGAAACTCTTTTAAATCCCACGTGCACATCGACACCCAAAGGTTCAAGAATTGTATCTCGAAGTGTCTCTAACGCATATGTTGAACGAAGTGCGTCAAAAAAGAAAAGGTAATTTAAATTAAAAAAAAACTTCATTAAAAGACAATGCAATGAAAGAAGAGTTAGATGATTCAGATCAGATATAATGTATTGGATTGATCTGACTCGTGTTAAGATTTACTTGACGCAGTAATGCTTCTACTAGATATCTAACTTACGAAATTAAGACATCTCGCATTAAGAGGTACGAAGTTATTATCTCTGAAACTGAGCCACACCTTGTAGCATTCGATAAGGTGCGAAGAATGTATGTTTTAAAAACATGAATCGTCACGATTGTGTCCCTATGCTGAGCCAAGCGATAGGAATGCAACGCGTAAGGCACTTCCCATGTTGTTCTCCCGACGTTTCGTAAACTTTCGTCAACCCCTATAGAATGATTGAACACCTTGCACGCGCACAGGCGCGTAAATTGGTCATCGTACACCAGATACACTGAAAGTTAACATGTTGACCATTGAAATATCAATTTTATCAAATCGCATATCGAATAGTTTAAAGCAATGACTTGCATACGTAGATCACATCGTTAATATTCAGTCGAACAAGAAATTGTTATGTGCGACGAGTACGGAAATCGTACAGCCGATATTCCTTATAAAACTTATACGGGATCTCGATGACGCGAATGAAATAGGCAGGAAAATTCCGTAGCATGTCGTCAATTAACATCGATTAAGAATCTACGACGCAAATTAAGCTCGATCTATAAGAGCGGAACAATTAACAGATTTTACAATACCATTGCAAAGTACATACTACGAACAAGATGATCGATTTACATACTTGTCTTTGTAATATTTACATACTGATAGTCGATGCTACTCGAGTATAAAAATATTGATACTCTACTCGAATATAAATACAGCTTATTTTTATCTTCGCTTTGTCCATCGTGTTATCTACCTTCGATTCGGATCCACGATTGGCGTTCGATAGATCCTCCCATTGCGGGCGCGGGATGCGTTTTTTTTCAACGCCCTGTAGAATTGACGCGCGCCAGTACGTGATTCAATGCAACGTGCCACACGAGGAATACGTAAATGAAAGACCGACGACAAGGTTTGAGTCAACCGGCTGAGGTCCCAGGCGACAGCGAACTTACCAAGAATCCAAGCTACCGCGGATCGTGTACAGGTGATCGCGTACAACGAGCTTAGTCGAAAGAAACAGAATGATATTAGTCATCGTGTCCGTGAGAAAACGATTCTAGTTCCGGAGGTGACCGATTAGTCAGCGTTTGCCGTGTACCGTTTCGCGTCGATTTTCATTGTTCCGGAAGGGAATCATGTGCACCTGGTTATGCTGAATGGAATGGACAATTGTTAAGCCTTAGCTATGTCGTGACGACATTAGTCGAGACTTCTGTCTCGTTATGGCGCGCCTCAGGTACTGTAGATTCCAATAACGATACACAGTGGTCCTTTCGGAGCTCTTAAACTGATAAGATACAGCGGCGGAAGGAAGTTCAAGAATTCGTAGTTGGACTTACTTGCCCTTCTGTAAACATCGATGTCGTAAATTGCTTAACTATGTCAAGCAATTTAACCGATATCACCGATTTGTTGCGAAGCAAGCGCATATTTTTGCGCAATGAACCTTTGCAACACATGTATAGTATATACATACATTCTGCGAAAAATTTATTTACATAATTTAAAAATTCTTACAATATTTCGACCGTGATTAAAAGAGAGGTGTCCGTTTCACAGACCTGAGGACGACCAAGTAGATGCATCGGCGATTCCACCGTCTATTTCCATAGAGGACGAATGTTTGGGCGATTTTCTGTACGCGGCCGAACCACCCGAGGATGCAGCAAAACCGCGTATCGCGAACGCCTCGATAACAACCAACTGCACCGAGACAGAACCGACCTGCAGGTCTTTGCAGCACTCCAGAATATACAGACAATCTTCTTCGGTCAGAGAATGGCTTGGTAATCTCGCATCAAACACCGAAAACGAGTGCACCAATACTCTTCAAAGCAAAGCTCTACCGCGGAGAAAAGTCCACGAGTTTTTCTCCGAGAAGGACGACATGAAGGATCTAAAGACCCTGTCGTCCTTGGCTACCGCTGCCGCTAACAAGCTGCTTGTAAGAGCAGAGCAGTTTGATCGACATTATCAGTACATATTCGAGTAAGTAACGAGTTTTTTCAATAATACATCTTCAATAGTCGTTACGCAAATGTCTATGAACATAGCAGATATTGACGAGTATGTGTTATATTTCAGTAAAGTGGCACATCTAGAAGGTGGCAGATCCGAGAAGGACCTTCTACGTGCCATCGAGGACGATGCTTTTTCCGTCTTGTCAGAACTCGGTGCTCCGCCACCGCGTAGAATTCAGCAAAGTAGCTTGAAAGGAATATTGGCGCAGCTTGAAAGTATGAAGACTTATGTCGACAGCGCTGTGAATACTCGTTTGGACTTCTATATCGAAGTGCGTGAAATTTCTATATACGGTGGGGTAAATTAATAAATAATAAATTAGTAAATTATAAATTAATAATCTTTTGCAGAGAGTGGTCAGAGGATTGGAAGAAGCGCCAAAGGATGACACCACGGTAGCCAGAGGTGCTTTGGCAGCTTTGACCGCCCTGGGTTTGGCAGGGCCACGAGCTGGAAGCAGTATTACCAGATGTTCGGGTATCAGAGCGCTCTTAACGTCTCTGATCTCAGCCGGAAGAACATCGAAAGACTTTGTCGCGGCTTCGTTGCGCGCTTTAGCAAGCGTGTGTTGTTCCGCAATAGCGATAGATCAGTTCGTTAAAGACGACGGTCCGGAAATATTAACGGATCTCTTGGTCGCAGAAAGTTCGTCCGAGAAGGAGAAAATGGAGGCAACGGCATTGGTTGTGCAAATAACAGCGCCGTGGGTTAATGCGGTGGGATTACCATACTTGGAACCATTTGCAAAAGATTTAATACCGCCCTTGAATCGTCTAGTCGAGACTACCAATTGCGGGCAGACTTTGTTATTGGTCGCAGCCGCGTTCAACCACCTGTCCAAGTCCCGAACATGTGCACTCGTGATATTGGACCACAACACTGTGAAAAAGTTGCTGAAAAGCGTGAAGAAATCGTCTGGCAAAAATGTCTGGCTGATGGAGCAGGTGGCGGCCCTCGTCAGCGAATTAGCTCGCATCCCTGAAGCTTGGTCGCATTTGGCAGAAGCTCGCGCGTCCATTGCGCTGGTCTCCTTCCTCAGAATGAGGCCGCCAGGTTTAGAAGAAGCCTATAAACGCTTAGAAATTACCGCCGCGGCCGCGCTCACGAGGCTCTGCGTAGATCCAGAAATCGCGAGGCAGGTTGTCGCAGTTGGGGGGGCGGATTGTCTTCCATCGTGTAGGGTCGACGACCTTCTGACAGAGGACGAAGAGCAGATCGAGGCTGGGTTATTGAGGTATACGAAGTCTTTGAGAAGAGCGTGCAAAAGAGCTGCGAAAGAAATTGATATTGCTAAAGCCAGCGACTATAGTACTTTGAGTTAAAATAAACGCACGGAGTTTCGAAGTTGTACATAAGTACATGGTGCATAATATTTCAGATACGATGCAAAAATCATATGTTTATAAAAATAATTTCACTATATGTACATACAATATACTGTAAACTTCGTTATGATGTATATACATATATACTGCATAAATAAAAATATTGTATTAGAATCCTTAGTGTAGGTACAATTAAAAGACAAACACAAAAAATATTTGAAAAAATAATATATTTTGTTGCATGATAGTTTAAGTACATCGTAGATCGTACAGTAAAAGTGTAAATAAAAATATATGCTACATTATGACGTAAAAATTGTATGTATAATATTTTAATGAAATGATCACATCAAAATGTTTTGTTTATTTCCAAATCGATCGAATTTAATTTGCTATGTATCATCATTTTTTAATTGACTTCTGTGAAATATGTCTACGGTTGTTTCTAGACAAGGTCTTAATTCAAGGTCACAAGCACCCAGTGCAAACTTTCCATTGGATGGTTTAAAATAGTCTAAGCCACGTCCTATCTTAATTACCCAACCATTACTGAGTCTGGAACAGTATTAAGACAAAGATAAAATATTTTAAATTTTAATGGATGTAATTATGTCTAAAAAAAATATAAATACTCTTACAATATTTGTCTGTCATGTAAAGTGTCAGAAAATATAAATTCAAAGCTAATTAGATGAGATGCTAAACTCTGTTTCAACTCTTGCAATCTTGCTATTTGATTCTTATCCTGTGTATCAAGAGTTGTAACTAATGATATTTTTGACAATGCGCAACATTTTGTCACAAGTAATTCGCATAGCCTCACAAAATTTTGACACTAAAAATCAATTGTAATTTTAGTAACAACAAGAGTATTATCATATATATAAATTATATCTTATTAAAATTTGTATAGAAATACAGTAGTGCCCACTTAAGTGTCCGCGGTCGCTTAAATGGACAAAAGTGCGGTCATTTAGGTGGGCACTACTGTAATACCTGATGAAATGTTCTTATATATGGATCCTCAATGTGAACATATGTAACTGTCGCATCTAAGAATCTGCCAAACACAGAAGCATAACCATGCCCTGTACTACCATTTTCAATTTTACTGAATTCCCTGTATATTCCAGAAGCCTTTTTGTTGTCAATTAAATCCTTCAACTTTTCCGCTCTATCTAAATATTCTGATGCTTTGGTAGCAAAATGTTTTTGCCTAGTCCGCTCCTTTGTTTCTATATTGTTTTATTACTAATGAGTAAAAATGAAGTGGTATGTAAAGTATTAGAACGAAGTATAAAAAGATTCAGTACATGTAAACAATGCTTGTAAAATGAGAAGGAATAGATGATATTTATAAGACACAATTACGATCACAGAAGATTGTTAAATAGTACCGGAAAAAAAACAAAGAATATACCTTTCATGGAATCAAGAAGCATCTTCACGCCTTCTTGATACATTACAAAAGCCAATGTATACTGTTCATTCTTGTCCATTTCTACTGCTCGCTTTAAAATCGAAGCAGCTGCACTTTCCATTATATGTTTATTCTATATAATGATTTATCCTAAATTATTTTTATATTCGAAAAGTATGACAGTCTTCCATATTACATAGATGATGTTCTTGCAGAATTACTCTTAGAGTACATGATGCACTGTAGTGAAAAACTAAAATTTTCCTCATTTTTATGAACAGTATAACATATGAAGCATTGTTTTAATATTATTTCAAAACAATGTCACTCCAAGCATTATCATTCTGATTATTGATCTAAAATACAATTTTGTTGGTTATAGTTACCAACCTCTTCATTCGCATTTATTCTTTTAGGAAAGAAGAATGCACAATTATTTGTAGAAAAGCAAATATGGTCTAATGAAATTTTTTAATTCTGGTAGTTATTATTACTTTAATCATACTATTCTTATATACATGTATCATTAACATGATTTTAATTTTAACTACTACATTTTTCGTTGCCGTTATGGAATACTGTAAAAGTGTAAATCAATCTACATTAGACTATACTTTCATATTGTTTTCATAATAATTAAAAAACAAAAATACTTGAATCAACACTCTTTTTCAATAATTTTTTCACACATAATAACAGTTCATATGATTCTTTTGAATTATTTACAAGCAAATAACATTCATTTTAAAAACATTTCTTGAGAATTATATTGTACGGTTAATGTTTGCGATTTAGGTAGTAAATATGTAATTATACCGGACGTTCGAATGCTTAAAAAACATACTATTTTATAGATCATACGATAATACGAAGCATATGCACAAATGATATTATTTGAACGAATAATATCGTCTACGAATTTTTTACAACGTCTATATTGTTTCAATATGCTTTATAATTCAAAAACGAAACATACTTTGGATATCAGGTGTGATAAGATAATCGAATACTGTTGTCAACAATTAATATATTCAAATAATTGATAATTATAGCAAATTGCTTAGTATAACAAAGAAATTCCCGCGGATGAACAAAAAAACTTTTGAAAAACTAAAATCATTGAAAGCGTTTTGTTAAAATTTTATATTAGGTTTGACGACTTACTTGATATTTCTTGATAAATTCTATAACTGTCAGAGATAAAATCTGCTTTTTATTAATCAACTATATAAATTGCACAACTGTATGCTTGAAATATTATCGATTATCGAATGTATCGAAACTCGCTTTGATAGAGTGTGTAATAGTGTAATCGATGTAAGTCACGCAATAGTAGAATTATGGCGGCCAAGAATTATATGATTCTAACCTAGCAAATATTTATGTCAAGTTCAAGCGAATCAACCGAGATATAATGTTAAACGAAATTTTAATTCCATTCGCGTAAAATTCTCCTTTGGAGTAATTTTTTTAAAAATAATCTATTATTAGGTAAGACAAACCTGGAGTCCTTTTTAAAACGTACAATTTTTTGATTACAGGTTCTTAACAAAAATACAATGACGTTACACTACTACTACGTAGCACGTGATCGCTGTATGGATGTGCGTGCGCGGGATTTTGAATAGAAAAATCAATTTTTTTTTTATTGTACTTTTATATATGTTGTATTGTTTTGTGTTAAGTTGTAAACAAACCAATATGTAAATAATTTACTTTGTTTTGACTCTAGTAAACTATAAAAATAAGCTTTCATATGAAAACTACTTTTATTACAATTTTGAAATGTACATTACATTATGTGTGATTTAGGAGTTAAGATTATTGTTATTTTTGCTATATAACTGTGTTATAGTTTTTATTATGAAGTCTACTAAAAACATTGGGACTGGTTTATTATGGGGAGAATTACCAGCAAGAGAAACTCTCAAGCCAGAAGTCATAACTCCAGATATCATAGAAAATGTTTGGAGACAAGTTATGGAAGACTCGAATAATGTAGATTGTGATTTTCAAATTGATAGGCAACCTGAATATATACAGTAATTATTTACTATTTATGAATTGAATTAAATTTTGTATAATTTGATACATCTTTTTATTTATAGGCTACCTGTGGGAAATCTTCATGTGTTGAATACTATAAACTTTCATCAACAGTTACGGATGATGGTAATATCAGAATAATTATAAAAAATAATGCATATACAGTAGTGGCCACATAGGTGACCACATTTTTGCCCACTTACTTATATGGGCACTACTGTAGGTCTTTTATTTGTAGGAGGAAGGAATGGTATTGGGAAACATGACTACAATCGAGGAACAAGACTTACAAGATGTGAAAGAGACACAAAATTCGTTTCATTTTTTGCCTGTACAGAAAGAAAGGTATCAAAATTGAGAAATCTACACAATGTATTCTATTTATAAAATTATAAATACATTGTATTCTTTTAGAACTGCCTTCAAAGATTCTTCTACAGTGCATTATCTCACACCAGAAACAGCACGTTCCATATTGAGGCATGCAGTGATTATTCTCTTAGCTCACAGTGGATATGAAGAGTCATCGGATATAGCTATAGAGACGCTTACAGATATTGTGGATCATTTTTTAAGAAGAATGACGCTTTTAATGAAGGTGGCATACGAACAAAGAGATCACGGTTTTCCTGTAAAATATGATACATTAAAAATTGTTTACTTTAATTTCATTCTATGTATTTCTTCTTACTAGTAATATTATTATTCAATATATTACTTTTCTAGGATATAGCAGAAAGAGTTTTGTTGGAAACAGGTGTTGGTGGTGTAGCTGCTCTTCACGATTACTATCAAGAATATGTTCTGAAGTTTGAAGAAAACATGAGAAAGAAGGTTGAAGCAATGATGGAAAAACAGAGGTAATCTAAACTTAATGCTTGTGGTATTTCAAAAAATGAATGTCTCTGTCAATGTTTTCTCAATCTTTAGAATGGTCTTGGACGAAGCAGCCAATAAATTGCAATTTGAGGAACTCGATGAATTTGGTAATGTCTATCGGGAGGTACCGACTCTTCAATTACTAGATCCTGAAATGGGCTTTCCCCCTAGTCTTGATGCTGGGTTTCAAATGTTATATAGTCTTGAACAGGATGAGTAAGTTATTTGTATAAATTTTATTTTTAATAAACAGCGTTGTAACATTAACAATTGTAGATTGAACAGCTTGGAGGTTGAAGAAGAAGAAGTAAATGTTAGCGATTCTCCGAGTACTGGACAACGATCTGATACATCGACGGATAAAAAAAAATGTTGATATAATCGATAATCGTACAAGTTTAGTTTGTTCTACTTTCTTGTCGTATGAGGAAGAAAGTTATAATAAATTCTTAATATAATTCATGTTTCTTAAAATCATTGCGTTATTTGATTATACAATAATAGTTCAGAAATATTATAGTATGTGAACATATGTTTAAAGGTCACTCTTTCACATTTTGTGCACATTAAATAATTAAAAAATATTTTAAACAAAATCCATTTTTATGGACTAAATAGTAGCAATTAATAATTTATAGCTAGTTAAATGGCATTAACGTTTACTGGATCTCAAGGTAAATTAGATTTTAAATCGTAAGTAAGCGACCTCTATCCATAGTGTAGTACCCGTCGCCACGCGTCCCAGAATACTTTGCGAGGCCGTTGACAACACGTCAAAAATGGCAGATCTAGCCCCAAGTAAAAGTGATATCGAAGACATTTTCAAAAGATTACGAGCTATTCCAACAAACAAGGTTTGCTTCTTTATACGCTACTTCCTTCTATGATGTAGAATACCGAAATAATAACAAAATATGTAAAATGATAACTGACAATAATTTTAAAGCCTACGTCATAATTTTATTTTCCAACCTGTAATTTTCTGTGAAACTTTCTTTTTGTCGTTGTACGTATCACAGGAAGATATGTGTCCACTTTTATTTCAGAAATGTTTGCACAAAATGATCAATTCTTACGCAAAAAGTAAGTTTAAAATCGTTAATTAAAGTTATGATTTATAATTGAACATACGTTTTGCTTTGCTATACGCATTGAAATTGTATTTGGACGTTTTACTCTCCGATATATAAGACAAAATTGTATTGTAATCGAGAAAAAATATTTCTTTTTACGGAAAACCACGTTTTAAGATCTGTTAATCATGTTTTAACTATTAAAAATAACTTTTTTAAACGTGCGTATGTACGTCTATGTGTTACAAATATACGTTGGAATGTATATCTGTTAACACCATTGTGTCTAAATGGCTCCATAGATTTTAATGAAAATTTATATTTTAATCTTAAGATCTGATTCAATTTTGAGTAAAATGGGTCAATAGATAACTATGGTTATAAATGTATTTGTTATTTGTAAAAAGTCTAAATAATCTTTTAAAAAATCTTAGAGAAAATTGAATTTTATTAAAAAAATGTTGAGCGAATATTTTCCCTATTCTTTGTGTATTTAAACTACATATATTAGTCTCAATTAAAATAGTATTGAAATGATGTGTCAGAAAGTATTGCTACATATTTGCCTCTATTAATCTTTTAGGCATGTTTCGATTGCAATGCAAAAAATCCAGCATGGGCCAGCGTGACTTATGGCGTCTTCCTATGTATCGATTGCTCTGCAGTGCATCGAGGATTAGGAGTTCATTTGACGTTTGTACGATCAACTCAACTTGATACAAACTGGACTTGGCTACAATTAAGGAACATGCAACTAGGTGGAAATGCAAATGCTGTTAGTTTCTTTGTTTGTTACTGTTGTTATAATAATAATAATTTCATTATTATTTCATGGAGCATTTAAAGTAATTATCAATAATAATGTAATCTTTGAATTGTACATTTCAGAGAAAATACTTTGCACAACACAATTATACAACCGATGCACAACAAAAATATAATTCGCGTACTGCCATGCAGTACAGAGAAAAACTCGCGCAGGCATCTGCTCAAGCAATGCGACGTTATGGAACAAAGGTAAAACTTAGGGTCTCTATGGATATGAACCATAAAGAACACTTTAGTTAATCAAAAATTTTGTAACTGTAAATGTGGTAATTATAGGTTTTTCTTCCTTCGACAAAAAATAAGAAAATGGTGAGCTGTAAAACTGCTTTTACAAGGCAATATCTTGAAATTACTAACGTTCGCTTGGTACTTTATTTTTCACAAAATAGCTTTTTAAAATTGATAAGTGGTTATCTTCATATTTTGTTTCTTCTCAATGGTTGTAAAAACTGCACAATTTTTTCTACAGAGTTGTTTCCTTGTTACCATATATTTCATTTTACACATTATCATACGCTCAATAATTACTTCAAACCAGTTCTATTATGTAACTAACTCACCTAATAACATGTATTTTAAATGAAATATAGTATAAATGCGATTATATCTAAATTCACTGTCAGAACAATTGAATTCTTGTTTAAATGGTATTTGTTCATAGTTGCATTTAGATGAGAATTCTGCATCAATGTCCGAGGAACAAAGTGAAATCGACTTCTTTAAGGAACATGAAAACTTTGAATTAGATCATACCGAATCTATAACAAATATTGAAGGAAATTCAATTACAACTGCCAATCTTGTACCAAACAATGACAATTTTGAAAAAAACAATCAAAAAGTTATATCAGAAGTCACTTCTCAATTTTTGGGACCTACTGTTAAATTATCTGATACCACTGTAAATTCATTATCTGAAAGGAAACCTACCATAGGAGGCAGGAAAGTTCAAAACAAACGATCTGGTGTAAGTATATAAATATTTGTTTATTCATTAATCATTTATATTCAATACAGTACAGTTTAGTACTGCATTACATGAAACATTTTTAAGTCGAACTTTGTAATATATTACTATAATATAGTTTTATGCTACTAATATAATTTTAGCGAAGAAAAGTATTACAGTATTTTTTATATTAGTTAGGGAAAAAAACTGGAGGTTTAGGCGCACAAAGGGTTAAAACAAATTTTGAAGAGTTGGAAAAAAATGTTGCTGAAACTGGTAAAGAGTCGCAGGAGATGGTTCGCCAGGAAAACACAAAAGAGGAACAGGAAGAAATTGCTACCCGTCTTGCCTATAGATACGAGCAGAATTTAAGTGAACAAGCTAAAAAAGTAGAAGAGAGAACAAAACACTTAGATCCATCCAAAGCAACACAAGCAGAGCGCCTTGGTATGGGATTCAATACACGAAGGTAATATTTGTACTTTTTGTATAAATTCATTTATTAAAATTGCATACTGCTCTTCTTTTTTTTAATAGTTTTGTATAGATATTTTTAAAGCCTATATTTATTATACCTTCGAGTATTAATACTTAAAAAAGAAAAAATATAAGTCCTTTAATTATGCGGTTTCGAGTTATGCGAAATATCGAAATATCGAAACGAATTAACCGCATAAATAGAGGATTTATTATATTGCAGCAACAATTTAATATAATATATTAAAGCATGTGTGATAAATAATTTACAGTGGTGCAAGCCATTCTGCACTTGGCGATATGCGGTCAATAACGCAAGAAACATCATCAAAGACTATAACTGCATCTGAACCGAGAATTTTTGATGTCGAACGAGGTCTTTCCATTACATTAGACGAATTTTATGAGGCCTTATCAATTCCATTCAATAGTAATAGCAACGATAAGCCTCGCAGTGAGGATGTTTTTGTTATGTCAGAGCCAGAACCGCCGAAACGAGTAGCTCCGTCGAGCCGTCCAAACAGTACCAAGAGCGACAGTAAAATAATAACTGCAGAAGGAGAAGCACAAAAGAAATTTGGTAGTGCCAAGGCTATTAGTTCAGATCAGTATTTTCAAGACAGCAAAGATGATGATTCTGTAAGCTCATATTATTTACTGATAACATTTGTTTCTAATTTCAGATCAAATTTCACATTATTTTAATTACAGTGGGAACGTAAAAGCAATCTGCGTCGTTTCGAAGGTTCATCCAGTATTTCGTCAGCTGACTACTTTGGCACAGGAAATTCTACACAATCTTCCACGTCGTCTTTGTCAATGCGTCTTAGTAGTGGAGGAGCAGGGGTTGTAGATTTAGAGGATGTTAGAGAAAGTGTTCGTCAAGGCGTAAATAAGGTCGCAGGAAGATTAAGTTCTCTTGCTAATGCGGCCGTTACATCTCTACAGGATCGTTGTGGACTTTGAACGAGAATCTACTGCATTTTACTAAGATTGTTATTAAACTTATATCTGGACACTTCTTGTCTATTGTTCGAAATTGTAAATAAAAGCTTATAATTCGGCTTATTTATAATTTTCTCCTTGAAGAGTGAATAAGACACATCGACAATAATGACAAACGGAAATGTTGTACCCTTACAAATGAATTTTGTTTTTAAGAAATTTATGTTGACAAAGTTTAAAAAGGTGAAAGTCCATGATGAAGTTTAACGATAGTAATAATAATGAAGCACGATTGTTTTATTGTGTTGTAAAATGAAATATAAAGAATTTAAAAGGTGATCGAGATAAAATAATAACTTAAATAACTAAGGATTTTCCTTGCAACGCAAAATTAATTGAGAATATGGTTTTCTATGCAGAAAACAAACTAGGACGACTGTCATATTGTCGCAACCAGTGCCCATTAGAGTGTCTGGCGCGAGGCAATGTTTCATAAGGTCTTCACAAATTTCTTCGGGATCCATTGTGACATTTTCTTGGCCAGTGCCGAATTTTGGCTGAACTATACGTGTTCGTACAAAATTAACTACTTCTATGCTTGTCATCACGTCCCAAATACCATCACAGGCCAAAATAACAAACTCCCAGTCTTCAGTTATTTGATACTGTCGAATTTCAGGGAATGCTGTAGATATAAAAATAAATATTTAAGTAAATGTCTTTCAATAATAATTAATTATTTATTAATTTACTATATTTACCAGTCACGATTTGTTCTTGTGGCGATTTACAGCTGTTTTGTTTGAACATAAAATCTCCAAGAGCACGAGATAATGCAAGTTGGCCATTGACTCTGTTAAATTCAACCCAACCACCGGCTGCTTCAATTCGTTCATGTTCATCTTTTAATGTTGGTTTGTGATCCCGACTAAGGGATACCGCATTACCATTAATACTTGCTACCGCTCTGCTATCACCAGCATTTGCCTATAAAAATCTTTTAAGTCAGGAACACACAAAAGAACATTAAATTGATAAAAAAAACTTACGCTATATATGACATTGTCCTTGATAAGGAGTGCTATGACAGTAGTTCCACCCTGCTCGTTTCTAAGCACTGCATCATTTTGCATTGCTTCATCCAATTCCAAGAAACCATTTTGTATAGCTTGAACTATGTTACCAGCCTTATATTCGCTTCTCTTAGTTATGTATTCGTGAAGATATTTTCCAGCGTATTGTGCCATTGCTGCACCTATCAATATTATCTATCACTTCTTTGAGTGCGGAAGCAATTATAGTTATACTTATTTACTATAATTCTTTACTTAATGGTAATAACAGAACCTGAAATTTCCTCTTGAAGTAAATATTTTTAGTTTGCTGTATGTAAATCATTATTTTAACTGAGCAATTCTTTTGATACAAACTGTTAGAAAATGATGATACTTCCGCTTATAATCTTAACATTTTTATTTTTAAATTCTCACCTCCATGGCCATCGTACACTGCAAAGAATGCAGTACCAGGATCGTCTGGTAATGAAAGTATATGTACATGGCAGTCTTCCATTTTAGTACGCCAGCCCTGCATACATGAACTGCCGACACGGTAGTTTGAATTTCTGCAGCATGCTGACTTCTTAGCTGTCACAGGCTCGCTGAGTGTTTGACCCATTATTTCTCTGAAGATTCTGATATTATTCGTAACAAACTGTTAGTCATTTAGAGTAATATAAATTATATTTGTCTGTTCTATTAAATGTGAAATTTTGAACCTATGTAAAATAAAATAATATCTTCGGAAATAATACAATAATACTTTGAAAATTTAAACAATTGATTGATTTACATGAAGTTTAAGTTATGCTTGCTTCTGTAGTTATATTACCGTGTGTAATCTAATAATAAAACAAATTAGCAATATACTTTAAATTGCGCTCATTAGATGTAGATAACTAGAATTAGATCATAACTGTTAATACATTAATGACACACTTCATTATTTGTGTAGTATTTCTTTTCACTATTACTATAATAGATTTGTAATTTTTGTGTCTGCACGTACATTTTATACAAATTCTGCACTTATGTTAGTAAAACCCAAAGAACAAAAATCTAACGTCGAGCACCAAAGATGATCTAACCTCTTGCAGAATTTCATACGCATCGCATCTTCCACAATTTAAGAAATATCCTTTGAAAATAACGTTTCACTCTTATATATATATGTATATTATAATCTATCATTAGCTCTTGAACTATTTACGTGATCTTAATTTGACATTCGATCTCACCTTCGTATGCTGTCAAACGAACATAGGCTAACCTAACCTTCCTGTACACTATTGGTTTCGTAAAATCTGTTACCGAATGCACAAATATCATGGAATTTTAACGACACCGTAATTTTATCCTGCGCGTTTCATATTTACCCACGAAGAAACTTACTAACAATTATGCTGTAAAAATTATTCAAAAAAAAGTACAGTTTTGTCGAAAATATATCAACAGCTGATTACACCATGACGGTTCGTTGATCGGGCATGAAAACTGAAAACATGACCAAAAAAAAAAAACTTCACTAACGATCGACTCGATCAGGCTCGGTGAACAGCTGATTCTCTGCATGTATTTTATGAATTAATAGGGCACATGATAAAACGTGGATAGTGATATTTTGTTGACAGAAAAGTACTTTATGCGTATAAATAGAATGATATCGAATGTCATTTACGTTTAGTGTCATGTATCTATGATAAGGTTCAAGTATTAGAAATAATTAGTGGATGGTACTGTGAGAGGTTAATGTAGAACTTACCAACATCGGACAAATGTATTATATGTATTTCTAGTATCTTACTCTTTTATCCTTAACAGTATTAAACTATCATAAATCGATACGTGTAGTAAAACATTGTTTAAAACACAATGGGACAAGATAAAACTTTAGAGACCAATGGTATTTTGTCTGAAACTGAAAATCGTAATACGATACAGAAATCTGATGTTCCCTTTGCTCAAGCTATGGTAGATGAAAAAAGGTACAAATGTACTTACATTGGCTGCAATGCAGCTTTTGTTAGACCAAACCGATTGGCTAGACACATAAGATTCCATACTGGAGAGGTATTATTCATTTCATATACATTTTGAAACTTTAAACAATTTTTAAGTTTATATTTCCTTTCGATTTTAGAGAAATTATATTTGCACTTATGCAGGATGTGATAAAGCCTACACCAATTCTTCTCACTTAAAACGTCATATGGAAACTCATTGTTTGACAAAGAAAATGTATCAGTGAGTAAAATTTACTTTATGGAACTTGAGCTTTATTGTTTAAACGTATGTTTAATTTTGTTTAATTTAAGATGTCCCGAATGTCCATCGGTTGTTAGTAATCTACATAATTTAAAGCGTCATTATAACTTGATGCACGGTGATCATGGTAAATTGACTTGCACAGAATGCGGTCAGACTTTCACGAAAAAATATCACCTTGCGACACATATGATAACGCATACCGGAGTAAAACATAAATGTGATCAATGTAATAGAAGCTTTACAAATATTAGAACATTTAAGAGACATAAGGAAAATCATGTGACTAGAAAAAAAAGATATTCTTGCACCGTGTCAGGATGTTCTGAAATTTTTGAAAAATGGTTACTTCTTTGTGCCCATTTAAAAACACAGCACGTAATATGTATGTACATTTTGACATCATTTTTTTATGTTTCCTTTTACATATAATCTCCACCAATGATTTTTATTTTTAGATTATCGGTGCAAGGATTGTGATAAAGTATTTTTAAGTAAATATCATTTAAAAGTTCATTCTCAGGTGCACATAGAAAATAGATCAGTAATACCTTGTCCGTACGACAAGTGCCCACGAGTTTATTATTTTAAAAAAAACTTAGATTTTCATATAAAAATTAACCATCTTGGACTAAAATATCAGTGCGATATATGCAAAGTAGAAATTTCATCGAAATTCAGATTATCAGAGCACATTCAGAAATTCCATATGTCAGAGGAAAGGATAAAAAGAACGAAAAAATTACAGCGCAAGAAAAGAAAAGATGCTGGATCGCATAAAAAGAGTGCGGTATCCGCGTTGGTTGGAGTTAATTTACCACCAAAATTAGAAAAAGTAGTATTAAAAAGAAAGGAAAATATTGTATGTTTAGAAGAATTGATAAAAATGCAAAATGATAATTCCAATTTGTAATTTACTAATTTTTATAACATTTAAATTATAAATAAAGTAAATATTCTCCTCTACATTTCCCATTTATTTCTTCATTTTTATAACCCCTTACAACTGTTTCAAATATTACTTTTCTTCGATCATTTCTCTATACATTTTTTTCACTTAATTAGTAAGTTATAAACGATTACTGGAAGCGAGAATTATTTCAATTATAGCGCTAAAAAGTGCCGCAAAACAGTGTCGCCATCTAATATCAGGGATTCGAACTCAAAAAATCGTCCCAGGATCACAGAATGTTAGTGGAGGTATCCGGAGTACAGGTTCCCCCACTCCTGCTACTCCTGTCATGCAGTACCTTGATTATTCATTAATAACTCATTTCCTGGGATTCAAATATGAACTTTTAGAATTTAAGAATATAGTATAGACCCTTGGCAATATTCAAGGATAGTTTTTAGAACCATTCCCCCCGTAATTAACAAGTTATTAACAAATATCGGAAGTCGGAACATTTACGGCTGTGTTACTGTCTTCTTTAATCGATGAATTATCAATTTTTCGCCAATAACACACATAGTTTTGCTATTAGAGAACCAAGTAGACATCCCTGGCAACATTTAAAGACCAATTTTACAACGCTCCTCGTTCTAATTAATTAGTTATTAGCGATAGATCCCCAAGGTGACGCGTTAAAAGTTCGAACACGTGTGCCGACTTCCCGATATTCGTTAATAACTATTTAATAAGGCATGAAATGGTTGCGACAGGTATCCTGGAATATTGTCAAGGGTCTCAGCTATGTTATTAAACTCTAAAAGTTCATAAATTAATGCTAAAAAAGGAGTTATTATTAAATTAACGAGCAGTAGTTAATTACAAGCCAAGAAACACATAGTACGCTGTTTTCGCCACTAGTTGGCGCCACAAGCAAAAATCAATAATTCACTGCTTTCAAGGAACCACTGCTCATTAATTTACTAATTACTCCTTTTCAGAGATTAATTTATGAACTTTTAGAGTTTAATAGCATAGCTGAAACCCTTGACAATATTCAAGGATACCTGCCGCAACCATTTCATGCCTTATTAAATAGTTATTAACGAATATCGGGAAGTCGGCACCGTAAATGTTCCGACTTCCGATATTCGTTAATAACTTGTTAATTACGGGCGGAATGGTTCTAAAAACTATCCTTGAATATTGCCAAGGGTCTATACTATATTCTCAAATTCTAAAAGTTCATATTTGAATCCCAGGAAATGAGTTATTAATGAATAATCAAGGTACTGCATGACAGGAGTAGCAGGAGTGGGGGAACCTGTACTCCGGATACCTCCACTAACATTCTGTGATCCTGGGACGATTTTTTGAGTTCGAATCCCTGATATTAGATGGCGACACTGTTTTGCGGCACTTTTTAGCGCTATAATTGAAATAATTCTCGCTTCCAGTAATCGTTTATAACTTACTAATTATATGAAAAAAATATATAGAGAAATGATTAACGAACATAATTGGATTGGAATACTATTTCGAGTAATTTAAATAAATTAAGGAATTAGTGGGAAAGGTAGAGGAGAATGCAAATAAAAAGTATGGATGTACTGTGATTTTAATTTTTTTATTAATATAAGCACAAGGAATGGTAAAAACAGTGTATAAAAATGAGGTAGTTGATAGTTTCTCAAACTTTTTTAAATTTATATTATTTAGTAATACAATAATATTAATTGTGGCTATGAATTTGATTATCATTGATCAAAAAAATTATTATCTACTATATATTTTACACATTGACAAATTAAATTTCTTTCGTGTTGAATAGACCGTGATAGTAATTTTTCTAATAATTGTGACGTGTACGGTTGTTTCTTATTTACAGTTTGCTTTTGTCTTTTATCTTTTAAATGTCGATTTAACTCTAGACTCTGTTTATTTTTACATTTAGAGTTTATATTTTCAGAAACTAAACTTGCTGGCAATTGTAAACTCGAACATTCGTGTTCATTTGTTCTCGAATTTACAACTGCATTTTTAGGTTTTATATCCTCTGTTCTAATAGAATTCTCCTTTATCCTTTCATCATCATGTGTTTTTATTTTTTTAATTGGTACTTCTTCTGGACTTTCGCCTAAAAATAATATTACTATGAATACATGAAATAAAAATTTCTATTACAATCAACAAACATTACTAATTATACTAATAGACCTCGTACTTACTTTCTTCGGAGGAACTTCCGTAATTTGCTACTAAACTCGGTATGCAAGAGGTAGTAGTAATTACTGGTTTTGCCAATGTAACTGATACCTCTTCTTCGTCAGAAATAAAATTAATATTTTCCGCATTTGCATCTGCATTTGCATTTTCGATAATTTCATTATCACATTGATCTTCCTTTTGTAAATCTGCTTCCCGTAAATTTACTAAAAAGTTGTGTAGAAAACGTTCGTATAAAAAACTTCTTTTAACTATTAACAAAATAATGTAATAAGGCTTACAAGTTCCAGGAAATTCATGTACACCTCTATATGCTTTCTTTTGTTTTACATTATCGCAAAATGTTTGCGTAGGTCGATTTTGCGTTGTTCGTTTTCGATTATGACGTAACACTTTCTTTTTCCTTCGCTTCATAACGTCTTGTTTTTGTTTAATTATTTCTCCTCTTTGTATTTTCTCCACTGCTTCCGCCTTTCGTATATCAATATTAGCTTTTGTAGGATACCTTCTACAATATCATTAAGGATCACAATCATTAATACCATATCATATGTTTTTGTATTTTTACATTGTAACTCTTACTTTTTTCGCTCCGTCAGCCACTTTTCAATATCTTCCGGGGTCGACACATTTTTTATTTTATGATACAATCCACTACTGTGCTGCATAGCAATATGTTTCTCGATAAGCAATGGATGAGCAGAAAATGTACATCCATCGATACCACAGGGTTTATGTTCCTTTTTATGTTCCGACAGAGAATCCTCTGTTAGAAAATCTCTATCACATATCTCGCAATAGTGTGACTCATCATCCTCTGAACTGACATAAAATTCATCTCTTTGATCATACGGTTCTTCATTGCTCGGATAAAGATGAGCCTAAAAATGGTTACTTCAAATATTTCTATACATTATTTATACTCAAATTCAATGTAAAAATACTTCTTGGAGTGTAATCAATATTGAAAATAACTAGTAATGCTTGATTATTAATTTCTGACAATTTCTGTTTCATACCTTTCTTTCTTAAAATATAGTACGTATAAATGTATCGATGGTCGTAGAATTATAGAAGTATTTTTTCAGAATTTTTCATGTATTAACTAACGTTTAAAAAATATTTACATGTACACATAAATATATATGTAAACGATGGTTATTTATGTTGTTATATGACACAGTGAATTATATATTACATATTAACAGTTTCCAGGGTATTCAGAAATTCAGTTTTCAAATTTATAGAAATATTACTAATTCAGATTTTCCGTCCATTTCTTAAATAAATTATCAATCTTCGGTTATTTTTACAATGGCTTGAGAAAATATTTTGTGGTAAACACATAATAGATTCTGTAAAATGTAGTATAATTTGAGTATAGTATAATTTGATCTATGTATAATGTAAGATGCCACTGAAAACATAAGACACCTTAAAATATGTTTATGCATTGAATTCAATTTTTAAGCTTTTTCAAATAAAATAATACATTTAATAACGTAAACTTATTAAATTTATCTATCGTATAATACTGAATAAAACTAGCATATGTTCATTTTGTACTATGAAATACAGTATATGTAAGAATGGATAAAAATTCCAGGAAGACAGTATCTATTCGGAAATTGCTTGACACAGAAAATCTAAAGAGATCAGTTTCATATTTCAGAACGATTATTCGACGGATGTACGTAATTACTTCTCTTAGTGGTTCATAGAGTAATTGGGGACACCAGATTTAGAACTTATAGAAATACGATTTATTCTTACAATACCCATTTTAATTACAAATTTATTTTGTTCTGAATTTATGTTCTCTGGAAGTTATGTATTATAGAAATTAATAAAATGTACTCGATACTACGACACATAATAACAAATGATTACAAAAATTGTCATATCTTGTTACAGAGCCACGAGCTATATAAAATGCATTTAACTTTAATTTATTAAACAAGCCTTAACTTTATGTTTTATGAAACATATCACAATAAATGTAGCAAATAATTAATTGATAATTTGCTTTTACACAACTTGTAATAAGAGAATACTATAGCTCGCAGCACTGCATACCGACCAAGCAACAATTAAAGAACTTTTATAACTAATAGAGGCCAGTGCTTATACATTTTGAGAAAAGAAATTATAGATATCTAACACTAGTTGAAAGTATATAAAATAAGAAATATACAAAATTTTACATTCACAAGTTGTGTGCTAATGAATTAAGAGAAAGAGAAACGATTTAATTTTTTTATAAGTGTTACAAGAAATGATAAAATACCTATTATTCAAATATTAAACTCTACGTTTTCAAAGTAGTTTATCGTGATAGTTTAATAGCATGCACTTACATTATAAATGTTAAAGGAGAATTTATATCGAAATGTAATGATATTTTACAAATGACAAAAAGCGGATAATACAAAATTGTTCCAATTAAAAATGATACAAAATATTTTGAGGGCAGTATTTTCAACATACTGCACTTTAAAATAAGAAACAATCAAATCGTTCTGAAGTTTGAAAACGGAATACTTGTGTTTCAACTGTTCAATTTTTTTATTGGAGGAGTGGCCTGAAGCTTAAGACTGTGCCTGTTCGCTGGAAGGCTGCATCTCCTCCGTTAGCTCCGTTTGCTCAGATTGCACGGTTGCATTCTCAGTTTTCTGAACACCCTCGGATTCAATCATATTCTTATCGTCAGTTTTTTGACCACCCTGTAATCAAAGCAATTTGTCAACCATAATTTAAATAAAGTGTAATAAATTGCATAGTGCCAATTAAATGTAGCGGTGCAAATAATATACACTTTAGATGTAGAGTATATTATAGCAACCATACAAGTTGGTAATAATAGAAACTTTATATCATTAAAAGAACTTGACTTAAAATTATGAGCAATAAGCTACTTAAAAAAATAGACAAAAATTTTTATATTTATTTACATATAATTCTTTTTATTCATTTATTAAAACCAATTCGAATTGTTTATTTAATTTGCACGTGCAAATTATAAACGTGATCCCCAGCTTTACATAAAGCATTTCATGAAGATATAAATACCTAACATTAAACATGTAAATAAAAACTTTACAGAAATAATCATGTTTAATGTATTATATTATTCTTGAACTGTAGAAAATATTTTGAAATACTTACTGCAAATTGCTAAAAAACAGGAAGAGGATGTATTATTTCATACAAGTCATACATGATAAATGATATATCAAATACAGTCCTCACCTATTATATTAATATTAATAAGCAATAGAATAATTTAGACTAAAAATATTAATTATAAGAGAAGCATGTGTAATAACTTTTTTACTTATTTGTACAGGGTGGTCTACTTCTTTCATTACAACCAAACAGACTTTATATTAATAATAACAATAATAATACAAATTTACATACTATACTGGAAATTGTACTCTTTATATGTATAATTTATATACATATAGGTATTTTAAAGAGAATATACAAATTGATAAATTATGTATTAAAGAAATTGTTAGTTAATGAATATAAAATATTAATTTGTATCGTATGCATAAAAGTTAAGTGAAAAAATACCTGTTCAGGGTGTTTTGTAAGATAATCATTTTTGGCATCTCTGATCATCCTTGTTACTTTATTCCTTAGATCCTTAAACTCTTCCCACTCCTTTGCATCTTTGTTCTTTTTTGCTTTAGCATAAAGTTTATTTTTCTTATGTATCTCGCTACGAATTTCATCTGTCATCCATGGCTTCTTTAGTTCTAACTCCTAAATAATAATAATAATAATATTTTAAAGCTTGTATCGATAGATTGGTTTATACAATGTTTACAGATTTTTATAATATAAACATTTCTATTTAAATATAAGAAGTAGAGAATAATTCTAAAAATGATTTTCTTAAAGTAACTAATAAACATACATTGTATAATTGAACGCAAAAGAGTACATAATTTATATTATACGACTTCTATAATAGAAAGAATGAAATTTGCTGATGAGTTCACATTTCATAAATATCAAAAAACTTTTACACTTACTTCGAGTTTGCTCACTTTCTTCAAATTATTTGATCCTTTCCCTTTAACATTGCCGTTTCCTATGGAGAATCGTGGTCTCATATGGGGTAAAATTTGAGGCGGTAAACCTCTTCTGGACCATGGTCTCATAGGTGGTCCTCGTGGTCCTGCACCACGTAGACCCATTGGAGGGATTATCGGAGCCATGCCTCTGACTCTTGGTCCGAACAACGGCATCGGTCCGCTGGGTCTGTTTACTCCAGTTGGTCGTGGCGGAGGCGGTAATCTTTGTCGCATAGGGCCAAAAACTGGACTCATGGGAAGCAGTGGCATTCTTGGAGGTACACCAGGAAGTCTGCCGCCAAATCTCGGGGGTGGAGGAGGCCGTATACCAGCTGGTAGAATTCTAGGTCCTAGTAAAGGACCTCGATTTAACGGACTCATATTTATCTTTTTAATAAGCCCCAATAAATCACTTTTGCGTCTCCGATTAGTCGACTATCAATGTTCCGCCGAACACGAAGCCCTTTTTGCAAGGTTAAAACTGTAATTTCAAACACGCTTTCTATGGTAAAATACGTAATTATACGCCGATGATTTACACTTATCGGTTCTATCGTGAAAAATTCTTATTGATAAGCAAACCGCGATGCTAACTGTAGCCACAAATATCGTACAAACATTACGATTTCGCGTGCAAATAAACTTTGTACACGGCAAAAGGATATCAACGAGCTCAATCCTTATCGTCACAAACTACTAATTTCAAGTTACTCAAACCTATTTGAAATTTCGATATAGAAAATGACCCCCGAATATAAAACGTTTTTTGTGAACACATTACTCATGGGATTATGAGTCAATTAAAATAGTTATTAGAATTATTATAGAAAAATATATTAACAATGGCTTTAGCAATCAACAATTAAGAGACTTATTGTTTAAATTTGCAAATAAATTTCAATTAAGTCACATTCACTGTTAAGCATTCAAGATAAGCAAATTGTAAACGTCAGTATTACAGTATGTACCCCTTGCTTCCTGTAGACATACACGCATACATACAATAAATATTTAAAATATATATACATGTTAATTTTAATATTTTCACTTAATTTAAAGGTTTTCCCAGGAAAAGTAATTTTTGATCGTATATTCCTAACAATATAAGATATGAAAAACCTTTCAAATAAATATTTCTTATTTTTCAAAGAACTGCCCTGACATTATATTATTTCGTTAACAAATTTGAAAAATTATCATTATATAATGACACTTCCTACATACATACATATTAAAAACAAATTTCTTTTAATTTTAATAAAAACAAAAATAATGGTTTTGTATTTTAAAATAACATTGTTTCTTTTATTAAATAAATACAATATTCTTTCGTTGTATACCCGCCCATACTGAAGGATACTTTTAAGAACACAGATTTTATATCACTCATCTGATTGGTGTTCTTACGGTTTATGAAAGGCATCCTTCTTTCATTGGTCTATTCGAGCAACGCTTTTAACGTATCGCCAGCTGTTGAAGTTACGTTTGTTTGAAATCAAACGGCAACTGAAGTTTGGTGGGTTGCTTGGAGCTTCCAAATTTTGTCTGCCATGTATGGACGGTAAATTCATTTCGTTACGACAAGAAGAGGGCATGAGTATTGTCTAAAAACAAGTAATAATAAGTTAGAAAGAAGGAACGCTCAATTTATATATACATCGTTAGCAGAAAAGTTCGAATCTAAATAATGGCTACGATTCGAGTACACGAGGATCAAGAAAATCGTATTGCCGATATTCGTCGTGGCAAAGACAATATTACCGTGCCCCTTCAAGCAACGAAACGTGCAGTTCTAGGCGTTCTTCACAATAATTGTACACGCAACCCGAAAGCAGTACGTATACCACATTTTTTTGCGTTTTTCCTCCCGCGTTTTTTTTGCTCCGTAAATCGACATTTCGCAAGTTTATCATTGCGTTTAGAAGTTGCGCGATCCATTACTTCGTAATAAAAAATAAACGATTGAATTATTCGTGTCGTTTTAATGAGACAATCCTATTTTATTTTGTTCCGTTTTCACAGGAAATTTATAAAGATGAGAAATATCAAAAAACAAAAGCAGTTATACCCACACAATTTGAACCTTTCAAAATCTACGAAGAGAAGAAAGAGGAAGTTATATTTAAAATCTACGAAGACAAGTTAGAAGAAGAAACTTCCGTGGCGCTTAGAGATACAAAGGATAAGAAAGAAACAAAAGAGAAACAAGATGTTAAGTCTGAAAGAGAGAAGCCAAGGTTAGAAGTAAATCCTATTAATATCTCAAATTTGTCAACATTTTGTAACGCTATTCAAGATGTAAATCAAAAGAAACAAAATGAAGTCATTTTTCCCCATGACAGTCCAATGTTTTTGGAAAAATCTATTCCTTATTCTTCTTCAAAAAAAGAACTTCAAAGAAGAAGAGAGTCTGTTAAGGAAATGAGAATTAATTTTTTCGATGTGGACGAATATAGGGCTGATATATATAATTATTTACGCGTAGCAGAGGTATGTTTTAATCGTTTATTCATAATAGAGTATATTACCTCGCTCCTTTTCCCTGCGTACTTATTTTGTGTTAATGTATTGCTTTGATAAAGTGATCATTTTTTTCAGACACAACATAGACCAAAGCCAGGCTATATGAAGAAACAACCTGACATAACATACTCGATGAGATCAATATTAGTAGACTGGCTTGTCGAAGTTGCTGAGGAATATCGGTTACAGACAGAGACACTTTATCTAGCTATTTCGTACATAGACCGTTTTCTATCGTACATGAGTGTTGTAAGAGCAAAATTACAACTTGTTGGTACAGCCGCTATGTTCATTGCTGCGTAAGTATTTTAATGTGCATTGATATACAATTCAAAAATGATTTTTATCATCGTGACAAGTCATTGTATTTTATAGAAAATACGAAGAAATTTATCCACCAGATGTTGGAGAATTTGTATATATCACGGATGATACATATACAAAAAAACAGGTACTACGCATGGAACATTTAATTTTGAGGGTTTTATCTTTGGATCTTACTGTTCCAACACCTCTTGCTTTTCTTATGGAATATTGTATTAGTAATAATCTTCCAGAAAAAATTAAATTTTTAGCAATGGTAAGTACATCAATTTTCATTGCACAGTATTACTATATATTTTCACGTTTTAATCTATGTACACGATCTTATAGTATTTATGTGAATTGTCGATGCTCGAAGGGGATCCGTATCTACAGTTCTTGCCTAGTCATTTAGCTGCATCTGCAGTAGCACTTGCAAGATACACATTGTTAGAAGAAATGTGGCCGCATGAGTTAGAACTGTCGACGGGATATTGTTTAAAGGATCTTAAAGAATGCATTATTTGCTTAAACAAAACTTTCTGTAATGCATTAAATATTCAACAACAAGCTATACAAGACAAATACAAAAACAGCAAGTGAGTTTCAAAATTTAACATTTAATTTAACGTTTTTTTTTTTATTTCTTCGACTGAGTGTTGTATTTGTATTTAGATACGGACACGTAGCATTGTTATTGCCACGACGTATCGATCACATAACACTGACCTCTGAAGATGAAGAAGAAAATGCCTAGTATTTAGCAGGCATTAAGAAAAAATAGAAGAATCTATAAATTTATACATATGTCTAGATAACGAACCTCCCGATATAAATCCCTGTTTTGATAGACAAGGAGGGGATTAGGGCAAGACTGACCTATTGTTTCACAAATGAAATGTATGAGTTATTTCTATTAGCATGTTTAGTCACTATGCTTTGTCGGGCAAACATACTGACTTCACTTTTCACATTTCACCACCACCTATGTTATAGGTTGTAGGTAAATTTTAATAACTGTTTTTAGAGCTCCGTCATTATATTAACGAATGAAGCTCTAAATTATGTTATTTAGGAATTGTATTTTTATACGTATTTTTTAGACGATTGTTAACATTTGCTCTACACATACGATGCCTAAATTTTGTTGCCAGTGACCTGTCATAATAATAGGAATTGTAAGAGTAATAACTGTATTTATTATTGAAATTGTACTAAAAATACACATTATTATGATGGAAACACTCCCACGAGTTAAAATGATTGCAACATTTGTCTATATTTACAGTTCTTGTACAGTTATTTATTCACAATATTCAAAATATCATAAAAAGTATGGCTTATATAAATTAAGGTGTAATGGTTTCGTCTATACGTGTGTAATGTATTGTACAGATATTTCTTAGATCGTAATTCCTAAAAGTGCTCCCGTTTAGATAAGTTTCTGCTACAGAACTTGTCATATATTACGCCATATGCGCAAGTACTCGCATATATGTTTCAATTTTTATTATAGTTGTTTTTGGAATATTTTTTTTTAAACCATATAGTTTATGCATGGCTCTGTAGACATATACTAATATAAACCGAAATATTTAGTTTGACACGATATGTATGTCTATAAAATATAATGTTTGTATTAGGAGACAAATTTACGCAAATTTATTTTCTATGTTTACCATTATGCATGTAATTACAAGTTTATTGTCATTCTTTTAAAATATTTCATTTCTACCTAAAATCTCTGCTAAAAACATAGTCTATAATAATTCAATTATAATTCAAATTATTATAACGATTTAATTACATAAGTAGGTACTTACATACTTTATATATAACGTTATAAAACATTTTATTTTATTGTGTCAGAGTTAAACATTTTGAAGTAGAAACCTTAATGGAATATTATAACTTATTTTTCTCTATTATATCACAAAAGATAAGAAACACGTTACAAGTTTAAACCAAATTTTTTATATATATTTGTTGTATTTATGTAATCTTTAACCTGAATATAACGTATACAAAGAAATATTTTTCGTATCATGACCTACTTTTCTTATATAAAAAATATTGAAAGTTTAACGATACGAATATCAAGGTAGTCTAATGAATGTAGAATGATTGTAAAGAGTTGGTAGTACTGACTTTTATCGTTTAAAACTACACTTTAATTGTGCGCATGTGTACGTTATAAGCCAACTGTATTGACGTTGACAATTTGTGGTGATATTTAGAAGAAATTTAAAGAAACGACAGTTGGGGGTGTTTCCCAAAATTGCAATTTACACATTCTACAATATTAGAAAGGTAAATTTGTCCGATTTATCATTACAAACAATTTGTTTCAAGTAAATAAAATTAGTTTACTTTTTATACATTATTATTGCAAATGCTCTCAATGCACTAAATTAATAAACATTTTTAAATAAATGCGTCCTTTTAGGTTATCTTTTATTATACTACTTATGCAGTTAGAGATATTAACTGTAATTTAGTTTAACCTAGAAGATATAAAGAATACATTAGTGCTATTTACGAAGTTAACGCTATATTAGGATAAAATAGAAGTATCAGTGCCTAAAGTGGTGGTGTATGAGCTGAAAATTATATTGTTACAATACCATGATTTAAAATCAAATTGCAAAATGATATGTAACAATACTACTAATATAGATAGTATTTAACAAGCGTCAATTCTTATGAAGTTTATAAAATTAGCATTACATTCTTTTTTTATTTATGCTTTCCAGACATAATTTTTGAAATTATTTTTCTATATTGAAAATATTGGGTCGTCCTAAAGCTTGTCAATTTGACATTTTTATTAGACAATATGGATGGATTTGGTGACAACTTTGTCATTGAACCAGAAGTAGATCCTGTGGCAGAATTTGTAGCAAGAGAACAGGACCAATTGGCAGGGCTAGAAGATGAAATCCCACCAGTTTCTATGTCTGCTCCTACAATAGGACCTAATATAGATGGTAAATAAATTATAAAAAATTAAAATTACATTTTATGAAAACAATTATGTAAAGAAAACATAGTTTTGCATGAAGCGATTATAATATGTTTATCGATTAAAAATTAACTTACCTGTAGTAAATAATTTACCCAAAAATTTTGAAAATTTTAAAGTTGGTCCAGGTGGCGATGCTGAAAGTAGTTTCGAAATAGTAGATGCAGTTGGACAATCTAATGAAACACAAGCACTACCGGCGACAGGTAAATTATGTTATACTATATTACTTTTAAAGAATCGTTCGGTATTTTTAGTTCTTAAACATAATCATTTTTAGAAACACAAGCTAAGCCTCCTCCTGTTAAAGAGGAACCTGAGAAAATACGAAAATGGAGAGAAGAACAAAAAGCTAGGCTAGAAGAAAAAGGTATCATTTACATCATATGCCTACATGCTTTATAGTAAATAATCTATGAAAATAAGATTATGAGATTGTAAGTTACTATATTTCAAATGTTTTTTAAATTAGATGCGGAAGAAGAGAAGAAGAAGGAAGAGTGGCGAGAGGCTGCAAGAAAAGAGTTAGAAGAATGGTATAAACATCATGCAGAAGCTATTAGTAAAACAAAAACTACAAACAGGTAATATTTACAATTGCCATTTAATTAAATTTTGTTTCGTGCAATATTCTCAGCATATTTTTTACTAATATGCAACTTTTAATTGCACATGTATAGCTGCAGTTAAAAGTTTTGTTCTATATTAAATTATAAATATTAAATTATTTTAAGACATTTACTACATGCAATTATATTATTTTCATTCTACTTCTTAGGGAATCGGCCAAGTAAGTTATACTATATTTTTTTGCATGTATAATTGCATTGCAATGCTGTGTACTATATAGCTTGTTTATATAATTTACAATGCCAATTGCTGTTGATATCGGAAACTTTTGATATTTTCTTGTACGTCAACTGCTTTGTAGGAATGACTTAGTTATACTTTATGCTTGATACAACTATCAGATTTTAATGTTTCTAATTATATTGTATGTGAGCTTAAAATTTTTTTTATACGTGATATTATTTATTAATTACCGTTTCTATCAAATAAATCATAAATCGATTGTCATTTTATTATTCTTCATTTTTTAGTACTTTATCTATTTTTGCAATAAATTTATAATTCATCTATGCATAAAATAAACGTCTTTTCAATTTATAATAATTTATTATTTGTAATAGGTGAAAGTAATGAGTGTAAAAATATTTGTATTAACTTTTGTTACATAAATAGAAATTTTTTTTAAAATTGCTGCATTTTGTGTTGTTACATACGTTATATGTAAGAAACAAAAACAGAAGTGTTGAGTACATACACTGCAATGACATTAATGCATACAATTTACAACTATCACATACTTTCAATGTTGCATATATTTGCATCTTATTTAATTTAACATTTTTATCAATAGGAACGCGGAGAAACAATTCGTTGCAGAAGCTGATGAAGTGGAGCCAGGAACTGAATGGGAACGTATCGCGAAGCTATGTGATTTTAATCCTAAATCTTCGCGCACATCTAAAGATGTTTCTCGGATGCGTTCAATCATTTTACAACTGAAACAAACTCCTCCTGCTCCAGTCAGTCTTTGATTAAATTAATAATTTGGTATGGAATATAGATATACAGAATATCAAACGTATTAAACAAAAGAACAGTGTACACAGGTTACAATGATATAATCGGAAAAAAGATCATAAATGATCTGTTAAGAAAAAATGTAATATTATTGTGAATAAAGATTATTAATAGCAAGTGTCTGCATAAATATCAAATTTAAAAAATAAAATACATAATATAATTATTGATCTGTTGAGAATAAACATATACATAATTGTTTTAGCGTTACGTGCATAAATTCAAATGTAACTGGTAATTTATAGACCGTGTACGAAGTATGTGTTTTTATAGATTATTTTCATTACATATAAAATTTTCTGAAAATATATATTTTTTCGTATACTTAATAAGTTTGAATAAGTTTTCAAGTATACTAATATTACCTATCAGATAAGAATTATTGTGCGTAATATAAAAAGTTCATACAATTTTATTTTTTTTACACTGTTCAATATGTCTTGATGTTTAACGTATCTAGGGGGTCAGAATCAATTTTCTTCTGATTAACCTTATATTGTTAGTTCTGAAAATGATAAAATATTACATTTTGTTATTGATTATAATAAATGTAATAACATGTAACAGAAAAATAACGTAAATGCTATTATATTATAGTGATAAAAGAATAAGAATGTTAGTAATTTGTTGTAACTATTAAATATATAACGATGTAAAAGGAGAAATAATTACCTAGGTAAGTCACGTTTCATAACAAGCTGCATGTTATGTTGCCAACGGTAAATGTTCGGATATGCAGTAGACGTAATTGATGGTACAGCATTATGAACAGCATAATCCTGTTTTGTTGGTAGTGATCTATAATATGAAATATTATACAAAGTACTATATACATGTACAACAATCAAAATGTATTTCGATAAACGTAGTACTTTTACTAAAAAAAAACGATTGAACTATATATTATATTTTACCCCTCAAGAAACGTTGCAGGACCTTCCTCTGCAGTTTCCATTTCATCATCGGAACTGTCTACTATTAATTTTGGAGACGATGGTGGTGTAAAAAATTCTAATTCGTCTAAAAAAAAAGAAGGTGCATAGTGTCATTTTATTAGCAAGTACTTTCCATTGTATACTATAATAGTACAGGAAAAAGATTTTCTATGCTTACCTATACTGCTTGTATCATGATCGTCTGTATTATGCAATGAACACAATTGTAATTTATTGCATAAATAATCTATTTCATCGACCGATTCCAATTTTATTTCTGAATTTGAATTTGTTTTATTATCATTTAAGTTCTGTGAAAAAATTATATAAAAAGTATAATGGTAACTAACTAAAAAACTTGATTATCACATTTATTGTACCTGACAATAAGAAAATAATTGGTCATGAAATTTATCTTCCAAGTATTTTTCAAGTTTCATTAAGCCTTCTGTAGTACGAAAATCTGCAAAATCGTCCAAAAATGGCCAATATTCTTTCCATGATACTTGATATTCTTCTGCCAAATCTCTAAAAATAATGTACTAAATTTCAATTTTAATTTAATTCAAAAAGAATACTTTGAATCAATAATAGTTAGACTTTATAATAAATAGATAATTGAAAATACCTTCCGACTCGTTCAAGTCCCTTTTCTGAATCTTGTAATCTTAACATTAAATTGTTAACACAATTGTTTGTCATGTTAGATTCATCTTCTGTGATTCTTTTAACAGGCGTCATATTAAGACGTGGAGGTGTTTTCCACTTTTTTTTAAACTCTAATGCCCGAGATTTTGTCATTGGTCCGGCAAATGCACGTACTTCTAAACGTGGACTTATTGGGTCTGTGTTTAAACTCTACAAAAATAAAACATATAATATATAAAATTATACATAAACTGAATTAAAGTACGTTAACATACCAATGCGTTAGGTGGAGAGAAAGGTTCCCCAATAAGGGGTTGTAACGTGTTATCATCTGATCTTAATACAGGTACATAATACTGATCTTCCAGTAACATTCGTATCTCTTTTTTTAACTCTTTGTCTTGACAGGTTCTACTACATATTATCTGAAATAATGGCAAATATGCAAGTTAAATAATATTCCTGTATATTAGACATATGCTACTACAAAAATATAAAGAAACTAATAAAAAAGAACATTATGGATAGAAGAAAATAAATGAATTGTGTGTAGATAGAAATATTTAGTATAGTATACAATAATATTCTCTGAACCATATCTTCGAATACTTCATCACGTACATCTATTGGTAGCTGTTTATATTTGTTTGGCAATGTTTTTATGCAACATGGATATGAAACAAGAACTCGAACTACATCTTTTAAACCAAATTTAACAGCAAAGTGTAATGGAGTTTCATTCAGTCCTTTATCAGGTGTATTTAAATATAAATCTAACATAATCTGTGCACGGTCCACATAACTCTTGCATTCATCACCGTAAAGTAACTGTATAAATTTTGCATTTCCAACAGTGTTTAATATTAACTCACACATATCTGGTCTGTCTGCTTTGACTGCAATGTGCAATGCATTATAACGACACCCTTCCTAGAATAAATATATGAAACAGTCTCTATAGCATATAATAAATTTTTTTAAGCATGGTTATAACTTTTATATCTTACTTGCAAAATTGCAGGTGTGTCTCCGCTTCCGATTAAATATCGTGGATTTCCCCACATTGTAGATTTGACAGCATGTAAATTTCCATCCTTAATTAACTTTCTAAAACATACAAGATCTTGCGATCGTGGAACTTTAAAATTATTCGATTTCTCTTCTACTACAGGTACTGTTGTAGATATTGTACTATTGTTAGTATAATTTGTTTTTTCAAAACCAGTCTTAACATATTCTTCAGCTTCTGAAAGATTCTTAAACGATTTTAAACGACCTGTTTTAAATTCCTTGATTACTTTTAATGCTTCCGCTTTGTCCTGATAAATTCTATTTTCTGTAATATATAAATGTACAATATTAAAATTTTTTTAAAAGTATATATAAAATATATAGAACGTGTACAAGATAAAAACATACAAAAGTTTACTAGTGTACTGTTACCTTTTGTATAGCTTTCTGTCGAAGTATCAACATTTTCTTCGGGTATATATACAGCATGGAAAACTGTTCCATTTGACACATTGGAGTTCCCACAAGTCGCATACATCGTTTGTGGCATTTGTTCGTTTTCACTTATCATGATTTCGTGTTATTTTCAATTATGTTTCAAGTTGTATTGATATTTATTGGTTATATGTCAGATTACAGTATGTCAAAAAAGCGTAAAATTGCGCGCCTTTAATGCAATATTTAAAATCTTATATACGACGCTCTATAATTTCTAACAAAACTTAACATATATTATTCACATGTTCTTTCTCGACTAATAAGTAAAACATTCAGAAATCAGTTTTATAATTTTAATTGAAAGTAAACGAAATTCGTGTCATTTCCAAGGAATAAACATTTTACGTATCGATTATCTTTGACTCTTAAATTACTTCAGACTTCAGTATACATACTGCCATTTATAAAATTCGTTATATGTTTTATAAAATGTAAATTTTTGAGAAAATGGAAAACATACGTAACACATTAACTAAATGATTTATTCAAGGTCGATTCTTAAAGCGGCAAACAATTAATAATTTATGAAACTGTTCTGCAGAATTAATAGTTCATAATATAAAACATAAGATTGTTACCAATAGCAAAAATTAGCAAAACAATGTTACCGCAACGTAACCGTCATTTATAAAATCAACCAATCCAAAACAGATTTTGCATTAATGACCAAACATTCAAGTGTTTCCTTTTACTGATGATGTGTTTGAATTTATTATAGATATACATATACAGGTATGATCATTTGCTTGTATGTTTTAATTATTAATAATAATTATAGCACTTTAACAATTTCGATTACGTAGTTGTACACTACGTACTAAAATTACAGTTCTTTATCCCTTAAACTTTTAAAAAATTAATTCGAGATTTTGTAGATAGATGTTCATTAGATGCTGACTATTAGACGAATAGAAATTTCTTGATCATAATTGATATTGTTTATAACAAAGATTACAACTACACAATTGAAATCTGATCTTTTATCGGTCACTAGATTTTCATAGTACGTTGGCGGGTATTTTTAAGTAAATTGTACGTTAAAGTTAATATTTGCAGGTGAAATATACAAGGGGGATATTTACAAGTATTAATATTTATAAAAAATATAATATCGTTTAGTACCAAATTATTACATTATATCCTTCGAAATGTGTTCCATTCAAAAAATGTAAATGTATTTATAGTTTTGATCGTTTTATTGTCAGAATACGCGTGCACACACGTGCACCTGTGGACTATTACACAATGAATGAGTTTAAGAACGTTGAAGTAGGCGGAGCTATCACCACACCATCTCCAGCAACCAATGAAGAATGTAGTATATATTTACAAATCGTACGTCATCAAAACGTGTATTATCGCTTTGGCTGTTTGTAACATGTATTTTTTTCAATCGTACTCAAGATTAGGCTTCAGAGTTTGGGAAGACGGTTGTTGCCTGGAAAGGACTACCGATAGTTCGAACTTGGACGTCGCGCGAACTACGTCGTTTAAAGCGCTTTCCTGGCAAGTGATGTACATAGTGCCGTAGAAAGAAAATCAGTATTTTTCTATTATTTGTACAGTTATCTTTTGACAATCTATAAAAAAAAAAGCAACAGCAAACGATATAGCACATAAGAGGATTCCGAAATGAATTTATCGTTCGCTGGTTGTGGTTTCCTTGGTATTTACCACGTTGGTGTAGCAGTGTGTTTCAAGAAATACGCACCACACTTGCTCTTGGATAAGATTAGTGGTGCATCGGCTGGTGCTATCGCTGCCTGTTGTCTTCTTTGTGACTTACCCCTCGGTGAGTGAACTCCTTTGTTTATATATCTGACAGATATATAGTATCTTAAATAATTAATTTTTTTCTCAATGTTATGGTCCGATTTACGACTACTGATACAATTCATCTCGCGTTTTCTATCCCCTGCGTGCACCGAACAAATTGTTTTGGTGTACCAATGATGTCACTGTTGCTATTAAACTACAAATCTCTTTGGTTCTTTCTTTTTTTAGTATCAATTAACACGATGTTACAATTTTAGTGCACATTCAAAGTATGTTGTCACGATGGAAACAATGTCACTGTCAATTTCATTACATAAATTTTGTAACTTTTATCAACAATATGAAATTTATAACATATAGTTTTAAATTTTTCAAATATGTGTTATTATTAAAGCATCGTATAGTTTAATTAAATAATTACTTATACATGGTTTCTAAATAATAAGTATAAATTGAGCTAGAAGTAAATGTTATGAAGCAATGATTTACTGATATAATATATCGTAACTATCATTTCCCTTGAGACTTAAAATTACTCGTAAAAGTTCTACAAAGTTCATTATCTTGCGAATAAATCTCATAAGTAGGTCAAGCTTAGAATAAGCAAATTGAAAATATGGAGTAGCAAGAGCATTTATCAAATGTTTTTCTTTGTGGGTAAGACAAGCAATGAATATATAACACAATGCGAGCAATTAAAATAGATGTATCGACACGAATAACCTTGTATTGCAAATAATTTTTTATAACAGTTTATCAGTTTATCTAAAAGAGAAATGCTCTTTACTTTAATAATAAATTATCTTGCCTGTTTTTTGTTTTGTAAGAGATATTTGTAAAATACATACGATACGACCATTTTTAGTATAAAAGAAAAACTTAACGAGACAATAAATGAATTAAAATACGATTAAAACATATAAGTAAAATAATCGCACTTGTGTTTTTAATTAGCCATATAAAGTAGTACCGTGGCCAACCAGAAAACTACAATAATTATTTTTTTCATTTCTTTTTTATTTCTTCACATATTATACACGTATAATGTTATTACGATCAAATATATCTATACGTTAATAACAAAACAAAAAGAGATATATACATGTAAGTTAATTTATCATTAAATAGGTAAATATTTACAGATTTTAAATAAAGCTATGTGTATATTTATTGTAGCGTAAACAGTGATTTAAGTGACAAAGTATGAAGCAATCAAGTTCATTCTTATCAAATTCCTTTGTTAATAGACTAAGTAATTTAGAAACATGTACAAGAAATGAATTTTATCTCATAAATAATATTAGTTAAATATTATTAGTATCTAATAAAGCATAATTACAAAGTAAATATTGGGTAGTTAAATGATTCTAGGAATGGGAATCGTGTATATAATTACCTATGTTCGTACACATGGCTTAATTAAAATTGCGATTGAAAAAAAAACTTATAATACGTAATTGCAGTAATTGATACATAATTGCGGTTTATAATTATTTATATAATCTATGACGTAAACGTTTTTGTAACTGGTGTTCTTTTGTTTGTAAACACGCATTTATGAACGTGCGTAGACTCGTCAGTATGTTGCGTTGCGTATGCGCAAACATTTAGCCTAGAAAAACGTTCTCGTTGGTAAAACAAGTAGTGCCTACACACTTGAAAACAGCATGTGATAAAAAAACGAGATACATTCGGTTGCGTGCAACACGCACGACGGATGTTTTTCAGGACTCGAGGAAAAACATGTGCTGCAGTTTATGGATACAAAAAAAACAAATTGAAGTGTAATTATAATTGAAGCATAAACAATTAATTTATAAAATGGCGTAAGTTCACTTTTTATTCCTATAAAATTCTTTCTAATCTTTACTTTTGCATTACCGGTATAAAAATATTTTGCAAGGTCATAAGTATTAATTCCCAAATTAAATACGATAAATTGAAGATTATTTTGAGTCGTATCGAACAGTTATTCTTTTGTAAGATCTTGCTTTAAATTGTATTATGAAGAGTGACCAAGTACATATCAGAATGGTCGAATACCTCTTGCATGTTTTCTAAGTAACGAGTCATAATGAGGCTTTGGTCATAATTAAAATTCAGTTGTTCGTTTGGTTTAATGTCTTGAATGAAAATGGGTGTCCTCCCTGTGGTATACTGGCAATATGGGACAGTTTCATTTCAATTATAAACATGTTTTTGGTCTTGTCGAAGCTTTTTATCACATACATGACCGATGACTCAGCCTACGAGTCATGCACTATCTCACTCGTTTAACCGATGATGTAGTATATGGGCCAGAATGAAACTGGAAAAATGTTTACAGCTACAGGAGACAGTTTTGTAATAATATGTTGGTATTGAATGTGTTAAAACCAAAAAGTAGATGCGCCTCCATGAATAAATTATGTATTCACTTTTCTAATGTTTCAAGTATTTATACTTCACATTTGCTACATATTATGCAATAAAATGTATGACACAGCCAATCACTCAAGATTTTATCATTTTCAATAATTATTTAATTTTAATATTTGACTTTGTATTACTCGATGTTGTTTATTAATATGGTGATCAAAGTCTAGACAGTATCTTTAAAGGTCGATGGATATTGTGATATGATGGTCGAATACAGATATTAATCTAATGATATTAGGAAATTCATGTTTTTCTCTTTTTTGTTCAGAAGAATTATTTTACTACAATATTTTGAAGTTTTCAAGAAGAAAAAACATTGATTAGTAAAATATAGTTAATGTATTTGAATAAATCTTTTTGCCTAATTTTTAAACAATGAAACTGAATGTAAATATTATTTTCAAATATGTACATTTCACATTCTCATATCTATAATGCATTTTTCAGTTTCATGATTAACAGATTCATCTGAAAATTTCATTTTTAGAATCAACTGTATCTGTTTTGATAGTAACATAATTTAAGTCTTTTAATCATAAAGTAAACTCTTTGTGTCTGCTTCTGGTATACCAGTATCGATAAGTGAAGCTGTTATATCTAAAGCAAACAAAGGAATGCTTGTTTTTGTAAAAAGGCAATAATGACTTGTGTGATAAAAGATAAGGCTGAACATATATACATTTCTCAAATCAATACATATTCTGAAATACATCTACATATGTAGATTAAAATCAGTTACCCTTTATAAGTATATGCATACTTATATACACATGTATAAGTATACGTATACATGTGTATATACATCAGATACATGCATAAGTATTGTGTGATTTATGATTGATTGGATATGAAAAACGTTCAAGCTTAAGAGATCTGTTTCTCTTTTCTATTTTCTCTTTGATGTGTGCAATTTAAAATTGTGAGTTTGAAAATTCTATTTCGTTGAAATTGTTAAACTAACGAGAGAAAAATCATTAGCAGAAGGCTTAAATTCCCATAAAACTGGTATGAAGTGATAAAATCTATACTTATGAACTACAAAAATTTGACTAAATATGTCATATGCATAGCGGAAGTATAAATTTTCATTAGATAACGATAAATTCAAGGGTACATCGCTGTATCTTTTTTACCAGCTTAGAAATCAAGAATTAGTAAAAAAGACAGGATTGAATTTTAACATATGATTTGATAATATCTTTAGACCTATTTAGCTGTATATTATGTATCATATTTATAATTTTCGTAGTTTATAAGTATAGACTTACCATCTTATATCCATTTTATTAAAACTAATGCCTTGTACTAATAACGTACCGCTTGTAATAATTAATTGTTAATTAATGAGAACATGGAATGACAAATAGTTTCAGCTATCTATTTATGCTCTTGTTAAATTATTTTTTTGCACAATAATGATATTAATACATATTATTGCAGGGGAGATTACAAGTAATGTATTACGTGTGGCACGCGAAGCGCGACAACGTACTCTTGGCCCGTTTAGTCCATCTTTTAATGTACAGGAAATACTGTTAGAAAGCTTGCAAAAGGTATGTATTGTTGATACTGTTCTATTTGTTGTTATGGTCGTTAATTTTTATTAGCATTGTTAATTAAAATTTTGAAAGTGTTTAAAATTAACTTACATTGATGATGTTTTTCATTCGCTATAGGAGAATTATAATCTTTGTTGCAGTTCCTTCCTAACGACGCTCACATTCGAGTGAGCGGTAAACTCCACGTCTCCTTGACAAGAGTATATGATGGAAAAAATGTAATCGTTTCACAATTCTCTTCTAAGGAAGATTTGCTACAGGTAAGTGAATGATCTACATTTATATTTTAGTTCCCTTTGTTTAGTACGTTTTTTATTAAACAATATCTATGCAACGATAAGTAAAAGGCTAAAAGAATATTTATAAAAGTTTTTACTTGACAATAATATGATATTTTGTATTTCATTCGAGAATTATATGATTATCGCAGTGACGAACGAAATTACAAGCATTGGAAGTCGAACAGAGAAATTATAATAGGTAATTTGTTCTCTTTTTTTTTTCTTTTTGCTTTGTATTGTTAGAGTTATATATTTAATATTGAATTATAAAATATAAACAATAATTCATTGTATTAATAAGTATATTTGTCAAATTTGAGAGAGCTTTTATGATAGCTTTACAATAGCTTTTCCTAAATCTAATCATATCTAATAGAGATGATAATATTAACTAGCCTGCAAGATCTCACAGCCTATACTATATGCATGTGGTTTCTTATGGAAATATCTGAAGTGCTTTCTACACAACATATATCAAAGATTTCATACACGAAAGAAAACAAAAGACGAAATTAAATTATTCTTACGAATATATATTAACATGATTTTAAATGTTAAGGTATAATGGAATTTTATTTTTACAGGCATTATTAGCAAGTGCATTTATTCCACTTTTCTCTGGACTTTTACCACCACGATTTCATGGTATTAGATATATGGATGGTGGTTTTAGTGATAATCTTCCTACGCTCGATGAAAATACAATTACTGTTAGTCCTTTTTGTGGTGAGAGTGATATTTGCCCTAGAGATGTTTCTTCTCAACTTTTCCATGTAAGTGATTTATTATAAATATCATTTATAATAGGCATTGTTATACAGTAAAATGCTGACTATCTAAGTATTAGATAATAGCAATTAATGAACGGTTTTAATTCATAGGTCAATGTTGCAAACACTAGTATAGAACTTTCAAGACAGAACATATATAGGTTTGCAAGAATACTATTTCCACCTAATCCAGAGGTAAAGTTTATATACCCCATCTTTAGAGACAACATACTAATAGCCTCTAATTGTTTTTTAATATTATTAAGAATTGTTTTTTTAGATACTTTCAAGTATGTGCAAGCAAGGATTTGATGATGCATTAAGATTCCTTCATCGTAATAATTTATTAAATTGTACTCGATGTCTTGCTGTACAATCAACATTTGTTGTCTCAGAAACTCTTGATGATAACATGGAATATGATCCCGAGTGTTTGGAATGTAAAATGCATAGACAGGTATACATACATTTTACGTTATATATAGTTTCTTCATATAGGTAAAGTAATGCTTTCCACAAATTCACATACATATATGTATATGTGTATATATTTTGCAGGAAGCATTGGTATCTAAGTTACCTGAGACAGTAATGACGATATTTCAAGATGCGATCGATTCTGCTAATAAAGGTCTTATTAATTGGTTTTTCAAACATCGCAGTGTAAAACTACTTTCATTGCTTAGTCTACCTTACACGTTACCAGCAGATGTAGTGTATGCAACTTTCACCAAGTAAGCATCTTATTAGGTATCTCCTTTTTAAAGTATATATTTTCTAGTTACTGTTATATTAATAATATGTAAAATGTTATTTAAATATATATGTTATGTAAATTATTTATGGTATGACAAATTAACTTGCATCTATTATTGCTCGTTTAACATTGCATGCAATTAAGATAAGTAATATGATTAAAGTTTTTAATTTGTATATATGTGTATATATATTACAAACTAACAACACATTTATAGCCAGACATATTACTTTGCTAATGTAGTTATTGCATGTAATTATTTTTGTATTCTTAATAAAATTATTGTAGCTGATGTCACTTTATAATTTTTAACTGTAATAATATCGTGTTTAACATTATGCATGTGGGTATAGTTTGATTGGTAACAAGATAGAAACTCGTACCTTGGAATATAAAGTAGTTGGAAATTTCCTTCGTACACCCCCGCAGATGATTTCTTGTACTAATCATACGACACCTTCTCGGTAAGCACAAGTTTTCCACTCTTTGTTTTATTGTATAAAATTAATTGAATATAGCGTTGACACTTAATTAAAAATTACAGAATTAAATCGATTTATTTGCTCTGAATAGTGACATTTGTTTGCATATGTAAATACTAAGAGAGAAAAAGTTTTGTTACTTTTCTGTTACAGTGTGAATGATACTAAAACTGAAATATACAGTGTTTAACAATAAGCAATAAATATGTACCATCAAATTTTAATTTTGCTATATTTGTATTTTCAGGTGTGCATGTTTATTTAAATTTGATATAAAGTGCTGCTATTCTTTTTGTATATAGTTATCTTTTCTACATGCTATGTAGACAATGATTTCTTACATAAAAAGGGTATTAATTTTATTTTATTTTATTTTCAGGTTTATTTTAAATGTCCCTAAATTACGAAGAAATTTGTTAGAATTCAGAACATTCTTCTTGGATCAATTAAACATACTGTTTCCCCAAATCACTGTGTATTATCAACGAGTCCCACAAACTATTAAATGTCAATTAGCTATTACAGAATATGGATCAAGTAAGTGTAATTGTTATATTATTAATAATAATAATAATAATAATAATAATAATAATAATTGTTTCTGCAAATTTTTCAGGTATATATAATATGGAAGCAGTAGACGAGACTGACCATTTATACAAAACTAAGAAAAATCTAAATTTAACTTTACAATACGATGAAATGTAAGCCTATTGACTATAATTGATATGTTTTAAATATTGCCAAACATTATTAATTATTTTTCAATCTATACTTTTTAGACAACCATGGACAGATCACAATAAATCAAAATGTGTTATAAACATGTCTGATCTTTCAACTGTCGATGATACTTTTGAGAACATTCTTCAAGTAAGTAGTAAAGATTATTAATTAATCTTGAAATTACAAATTGTACTTCAATTTTGTAAACAAAATTTATAGGTAACTTCAGACCAAGAAGCTGTGATGGCATACTATTATATGGACGATAATAATAAAGTACAAGTAACAGAGATATTCGATGTTACGGATTCAGAATCGCATACGGTGTTATCTATAGAAGAGGTTGAGAATAATAGAAAATTACAGTTCGACGAATGGGATGAACCTACATGGTTGTCATCGCAGCATACGCACAATGATGGTATCCTTTTTTGTTTTAACTATTAATCATTTTACTATATAAAAATTATATTATACAGAATTGGAATTGTTAATAATAATTATGTATGGAAGTTTGAAAATATTGTGTTTCAGTTATTAGTGAATCTCCATACACAGATGACAATCAATTAAGTATGGAAAATTTATCAGATATTTCTCTAGAGGATGATATTATAGGGGGCTCGAATATCTCCTCTGATCCAGAAAGCGAATGGGCAGTGAGTAAAGATCTACCAGTAGTACAAGTTTCCAGTCCCCCAGATAGTCGGCCAGAAGTGGATCAACCATCGTTAAATTTATGAAATAAATAATTTTTTCACGATTGTACACATGAAAAGTGTACATATATTATTGATTTATATTATAACGTTATGAAGTATTTAGATACTTCCATAGTCAATGATATTACATTATAGCAAGAATTGTTAATGATGCTCAACGTTGATAATGTTTTATAAACATTCAAGAACATACTATTTGAAAAGATCAAAGGTATAGATGCAGGCATAATTTCGTAATAAAGAATTATAATTTATAGTCGGTGTTATGCGCTAATAAATATAAGATACAGTAAAAGTAACATGTATAAAAATACGTAACAGAATTATTTTCAACAGAGCATACACAGTATTTTACTGTTAATGAGTTTTGTTAGCAAAAATTTAGCATTGTTATTAATATACTTGCAAGGCAAGTGTTGATAGATCTCCCATAAAACAGACTGATTATGAAAAAAAAATGTATATAATATAATATGAAAGAAATTTGCCTCTGCTCTAATTCCATATTGACTTAATAATGGTGAATATAATAAGCGAAGTTCATTTAAAGGCATCAGATATCTTTTCATTAAGCGAGTTATTACGAGCAGGTTTTTAAGTTATGTCGTTATTATATTTTTATACAAAGAACAGGGATTAAATATTTTGTGCAAATACCTTTATAGTTGTATGGATCGTTATGGAACTGTTTTTACAATTACAATCTTGTGATAAATACTCAAGGGAATGAAGAAATTAGTTATTTAAATTAGGATAGGGAAGATACAATTTGTGATTGCATACAGCTGGAACTGAATGCCAATTAGCATACAAAGTTTTTATAATGTTTATTATTGACACAATCGTTGTTAATGATGACTACCTTAATTCTTAGTGATAAATTAAGTACAATTAAACGATGAGTCATCTCCTATGAGTCAAAAATATAGCGAATGGAATACTGTTGTATGATAAGAGGCTTTTAGCAATAACTTAAAAAATCACATTTTATGTATTTAATTTTACATTAAATTATTTTTCAAAGTAACTACATGCAAAAGTCATACACGATAAATGTTGTTTCAAAAAGTTAGATTTATGCGTGTTCGCATTGTATGATTATGATATATTTATATTGGTTTAGAAAGAAACATAAGAGAAATATGTTGCATATTGAAATTTTATAAATGAAATTCTATGTGTCATATACTATTAAGTTTTGTCTATTTAAACAAAATATGAATTGTCTTCGCAACAATTACTTTATTCATTAGAATTATACTTAAATAATAACTTTTTATAGAATCGAAGATTGTAAATAATTTTATAGCAAGATTGCTTTTTAATTTGAATGATAAATTTTTAATATCTTAATTTATTCATCCATTTTTTAATATTATTTTATTACTTAATTATAGAATGTTATTTATCCATAAATTTGATTACACTTGGTTTTCACAACTATGATTAATATTTTATATTTATTGTGATTGACGAAAAATTTAATTTGAATGCTGTTTCAGTATTTGTAATTATAAAAACTACTGAAAGTAGCTATATAAACTCTCTGTATATTAAATCTTGGAATACTTTGATGAAATAAAAATATTAAGAAGAATTATACTACTTTCATGTGCCGGTAATTATTAAGCATACTAATGTACTATGAGAATGTAATTTTTGTAATTTATGAGTTTAACAATTATGACATAACAAGCTTTTATAATTCGATGAATACATTTTTTTTTTTTGATGGATAAAAATTAAATTGTATCTTTGAATAAACATAGTAGCAACATAAAAAAGGGTAAAGGTCAATAAAAAATAGAATTTATTTATTACATTTTTTAATATAAAACAAATCGTATGTATAAGTTATATATACAATAATTGAAACCGTCCTCTAAGTAATATTTCGAGGCGAATGTTTTTTTTGTAGAAATAATTTATTGCACGTGTGCACAAAGTATGTACTACGCTGATTTTATAAAATCTCTCGTTGTTGATAAACATTAATCGTTCATGAATAAAAATGTCATAATTTATAATTATAATTGCATGCATAATTAAAACTCCAAATGTCACATTAACGTAATATATAAACACCTCATTAAATTTCTTCTAGGCAGGCTCCAATTATTTAAATGTAATGTTGAGACATTATTAATTATTTGAACATGTTCAGGCTGGATCTTCCCCGGGGGTAGATGTAGAATTTCTTTGAGGCTCAATTTGAGTTCTGTTTTGTGTATTGCCGGTCGCAACAGCTACTTTATGTTGCGCAGCTAAACATTGTAACTGTTGGAGCTGTACAGGTTTCACGAGAGTTCTCTGTAACTATAAAATAAACAATTGAAATTTTATTCGTATAATTAACTGATCTTTATTTGTAACGTGATCAAAATTCTTGCGATTTATAGCAATTTTGTGTACATACTTGTTGCTGCGACAATGCTGTTACTCCGAGGCTTTGAGTTTGTTGACTACATTGCCCTGTAGAAGTTCTAGCATGCAAGGATTTTGTCAATAATGTTTGTTTATTTGCAGGTACTACTTGGGAAGAAGGTGTCGTCTGAGACGCCATAAGCACTGGTTTCGTTGCTGCTACAAAACAAAATATTCTTTTTTACTTCTTAGGACAATTAATCTTAACGAGTAAGGGTGTATCTTTTAGAATCACTTTTTGAAAAAAGATTTGCACGTAATTATAACTGTTTACTTTTTGAACAGATGCAGACTCTAACACGACATTTATAGTAACTTACCCATTATAGGAGTTAACACCTGTTTGTTACCAGATAGAATCAACTGACTTGCTGTTACCGTTTTAGCCACAGTTACTAATTGATTCGGCAAAACAGTTGATTTAACTTGATTTGGCTGTACTTGACGAGTCATATGATTAAGTCGTGGCCTTTGAGATCCAACAAGTTGAATTGCTTGCCCACCCTAAAAGAAATACTTGTCTCACCTAGGGGATCTCGGTAATTGTGAATTCTATAAATCAATTTATTCTTCCCTAACTACGTATAAATACCTGCGAAAGAGTGACAGAATTACTGTTACGTATATTTTGTTGCGATAATCCCTTAACTCCAGAAGGTATTATCTGGGCTGAAACATTACATTGGAGTAAATATATTGAATCGTTCTGTATTGTACAATTATTTATTTTATATAAATGTGTAGTATTTACTTATCTTTCTATACTAAACAATATAATTCATTAAACAAAATACCTTGACATAAGAAGAATATCGAAAACAATATACTGTAAATAATTCTTACCAATAGGTAGCGATAAATGAGTATTGGCAGGATTAGCTATTACTACCGTCGGTGTGCTTCCAGCAATGGCTGTTGTAACAACTGTAGTAGCTACCATCTAAAAAAAAAAAACAAGAATCAATTTTTGAATTATCTTTTATATTTTATTTTGCCGTTTTGCTCAATATGTGTAAATGTGCGAAATTGAAAAAACAACTAACACTAGAAACCGTGGTGCAAGTATTGGTTGCAGATGATATAGGCAGGGAAACAATGACTCCTGTAGGTGTAACAGAACCCGTCGTCGCTGACACATTTAGCGACATCGTAATAGGTTGTGATAATCCGGGAAATGATACCTGTCGTACAACGAATAGTACAGTAGTATTTCATCTTCTACGCCATATGTAGAAATAAGCAGCTCTCCACAACCTGAACATTTTGAAGACCGTTGATAGAATTTGGCAGACTAGTAAGATTTACACCCTGCAGATTTACGTTAGTAGACGGTGGAGTGATCATTGGATTCGTAGACTGATTGTTTTGACTGGAAGAAGCAGTTAATCTTTCTAGCAGAGAAGAACCCGAATTTATTCCAGGTATTGGATTATCCGCAGACGGTGTCCCTATTAAGATATAATACAAAGTCTTAATGATGTTGTAATGAAGTTTTTTTGCATTTCTGTACATTATACCTGCTAATAAAGCTGAAAGTCCTGGCATTGATAATCCCAGCGTTGAAGTAGGATCTTGTACGCGAGCTAATCGTACAGCTGTTGCTTTTACTGGTTGCTGTTTACAACCCAACTGTCCTGTTAAAGCAGAACTTAAACTCACCCTTACCTAAACATATATGTTCGCTTGAATTTTATAAGAATTTTAAGGAGCGGATAACGACGAAGTTCTATTTATTTACTTGGCCAGTGGTATTTGGGACATTAATAACATTTCCATGACCAAGGACTCTAGACGGGATGGAAGCATTCAAAGAGATCCTTCGCGGTTGGACTTTCTGTTGAGTTAAATTGGCAGGACTACTATTTAATAAACTAAGAATCGCAGCATTGCTTGACTTGTTTGTAGTCTGTGCATTATTGTTCATAGCAGCAGCTGCCGCATTAGCTGCAAAAGTATTTAATAAATTTCTTATAATATGGTATTACTCTTATGCTTTCTATCAATGGTATTACAAACCTGCAGCTTGTTGTTGAAATTGTTGAGCAGAATTCATGAGGGATGTTACAAGAGCAGTTATAGCTGGATTAGTGGAGTGCTTTTTAAATGGTACTTCGTTTTGGCTCTGATTAACGGTTTCCGTAACACAATTTTGTGTTCCAGCTTGCAACTGAGCTTGCTGGATAACAGTATAGCGTCAAAACATAACGTCTACATATAATTACATTTATATAATTCTTACCAAGACCGGAACATTTGCAGATCCGGGATTGTTAATACTATTGGTGGATTTTTGTTGGAAAACTAAGATTCCAGATCCATTACAAGAGCTACCATCGCTCACTGACATTGCAGAATTATCAATTTGTACAGAGGTGGAAGCATTTGATCCACCATTGGTCAAGGGTTGCCCTGGGCTTACTGATATAGCATCACTTTGGGTAATAACTTGTGGTATATTTGTTGCATCCACACATGTCAGATTATTTTGTGCAGAAGTAGTAGCTTCTGTCATAGCTTTCATCGAAGCCACTTGACCAGCTAATGTATTTAATTGTCCTTGAGCTCGTGATAAGATCTGAAATAATTATTATAAAATACAAAGAACGCAATGGTTTTAATAAAACATTTCACAAACAATTTTTAATCTACCTGCTGTGCAACATGTTGAGATTGAGCTTGCTGTAACTGCTGAGCAACTAGCTGCGCTGCCTTTGCTTGTTGCGCCTAGAACAATGTACTTATTTGAAAATGCATGAACATAAAAGTGATATTTTGATACATTTGTTAAATACAATACTTAGCGAGAGTGCATACCTGTTGATGCGCTCGTTGCATACCAGGTGTACATGTAACGCGAGGGACCTGCCCTGGTACAACATGTTTTATCCGAACATTCTTTCTGCCTTCCTCTGTGAAAATTTCTGTGAATTGTTGGATGTAATGGTTCGCCAGAACTCTTGTACCTAACGTAAATCTATAACAAAAAATTTAACTTCAATTACTTTCAAATATTTTGTGCGACTTAATAAGAGTAAAATAAAATATCGGATTAAAGAAATTGAAATAATTGAATTCAACAATACACACCGACATGCTGATCCATTTTTCTCCCCTTCACGATGATTTTTGTCCATATAAAGCTCTCCCAGGTACTCAGAATTAGAAGGTCTTTGCAGAATTGAGAGCTTTATGTGATCTATTTCACCTTGACTTCCACCAGTTTCTAATATATATTCCTCTATAACTTGTGGCAAACAGTCTTTTGTTTCTCGCGGGCGTTCGTATGCTTTTGCAAATCTATTTATTATGCAGAAAATATTATAACATTAATACGATATACCATATAATGACAAAAAATTATATAAGATGATAACACACCTTAAAACATCGATGGGTGTATTTGGTGGAAGTAAAGGAGGGTTTGTGAGCGAAGGCGGTGGACAGGCAGTGGTTGTAACTACTCCTCTTTTAGCTCTTAGCTTTTGCATTAAATCTTGTATTGTTAGTCCCTCTGGTTGTGCTAATTGCTCCAATTTTCTTTTCCGATTTACTGTAACCTGTAACAGATAAGATATTTTTAATGTTACCGGCACTGATATATGAAAAATATAAACCGATCTAGTTTATGAATATTACCTGAGAAAACTTTTTGGCTTGTCGCATAAGTTGATGATCAGTAAGCAAAGATTTAGACTGTCGTAGTCTTGTTGTAGCTAAACTAGGAATAGGATTTGGATCCAGACACAGTGGTCCTTGGGTAGCTGCAACTAAATGTGATTCTAACATTAATCGTTCTTCGTGACTCCAGTCTCCATCACTAGTTAAAGTTGATACATCCGAGAGTACACTCTAAAAAGTTCAGAAGGTGCATTATATAAATTCATTGAAATTTTCGTAGTTCGCTTATATCATTATATTATTTTTTGTATCATTTACTTGTGTTGTAGGTTTAAGAAGCACATGATGAACTTCAGCTTTAGTATGAGGAAATGCTTTTCGGTAATCTCGAACTTCAGCTATTATACAGCCATCATAAAATAAATGAGAGTGACTGGTTTCTAGTTGCTCCGCTAACATTGCAGGCAACTGACCATTGTCTATACATGAAAGCAATTCACCCTGTTCGTAACCCATCAGTTGTGTTTCAGCTAATATTGTGTTTTTATCATATAGATTTCCCTTATCACTGTTAAATTAAAATCATTTAGTTACATATTTTTATATCTTCACAAATTTCGAACAAATAAAATAACTCTATCTGTTTGGTAATAATTCTTTTCAAAATTACAATTTACTCACTTATTTCTTACAGCTAATGAGTATCCTTTATTACCAGCATAGAGATTAACAATTAATGTGTGCAAACCCTCCCTTTGCACCAACCTTCCCAATAGATCACATTCATTTTCAAGGTTGTTCTGTGCATTTTGGTAAATAAAAATGTTATTATCAAATTAGCTTTGGTTTACTTAATATTTTAAAAGATGCATTAATTAACCGAAAGACACACATACCAAGACTGAATCAGGAGTTGCATGAGGAACTTTAGTAAGTTCTTCAAAATATAATCTAGTTAGTTTGGACTGTATGCTGTGTTTAGAATGATTCTGTTCCTTTTTTTGTGATGATTTATCAGTTGTAAAGTTCAAAGAATTCTGTCCTTGAACATTTTTCCAACACTTAGATACTTGATTAATCATATCCTACGCAAAAAATGTAAATATAAAATACATAAAAACATTAGTATTCTATCAATTCAATTACACAGACCAATCAAACAAATTTTACTTAGGTTAACAATTGCATAAATTATTTGACAACTGTTTGTAAATAATACCTGAGCTTGCCGACACGCATCTTCCAAACTACAGGCTGCACCAATCATTTTAATTCCTGATTACTAACACCAATTAATGTCATATCTGATATAATAATAAATCTTCACAGTCTGAAATAATTTTATCATGTTTTAATATCAAAACTCAAACTACATTAAAAATGATTATTTTATTAAGGCTATGCGGAATAACAAATATAAAATAATTAACCGTTTATTCATTACTTGATACATAAAATTATAATTTGAACTAAAGATCATAAAATTTGATCATGAACAAACAAAAATTTAATAGATGAATCAAAAATTTATTTTATCAGATAAAATTTTGCCAATCTCTGAGCATAGATATTATAATATTTATTAATTAAAAAACCATGTGTTTTGACTATTTCCTGAAAAAATACCTTACAATTAAGTAAATATTAATTATATATTACAACCATTAAATTTACTCTTACTGTAACCCATTTATATATTAAATATAAATGTTTTTTCCAGATTTTCTTCATTGATCTAAACATTATACCAACTTTTTTTATTTTTAATACATACCCAAATACTTTATTTCATATAAATATACTTCACTATCAATGAATCAAGTTTATTACATATTCATACAGATACAGAAGCTACTAAATATAAAACAAAGTTAAGTGAAGTAAAATATAAAATAAATACTTACTATAATGTAAATACAATTGTATATTTATAATAACATCTATATTGTAAATATAAATACTTGTGAGTTAATTAAAGCATACAAACATTTACATTTCATTTATAAAAAAATATAGAATTGTATGAAATGTTATTTAAGATGTGTATTACTAAATAATAAACAGCAAGAAACAATTAATGAGAATGTTGTTAAAAAAAAACTTTTCCAAGTAGAAAGATGTAATACAAATGAAGAATAACATTTATTAAGATATATAACAAACGTTAGTATTGTATATCTTATAAATAAGAATTTGATGTAAATATTGTTTATTGATGAGTCTAGTTAGTTTCTTATCTCATCTATAAAATATTGTAAATATTTGAAATATAATATCGAATCATTTTAATAAAAAACTACCAATGGATGAAAAAATATACAAATAATCTAAATTTCTCGAAAATAGAGGGCTATTTACAATATAGAAGTAAACGTTCGGGAATATGCCTTAACCACAGCGCGAATTTACCGAATGTCAAAACAAGCACGCTATATGAGAGGTTATGTAAATGTTTGAGAAAAGAGCACTACTTATAGTTTAATGTTTCACAGAAAATATAAACAATATACTATTTACCTCCAAGGGATCCAAAAAGTGATCTAATGGTAAACATTGGGCACAGGATGTGACTCAAGTCAATTTCCTTATCATAACCTCACACCGATTGATAAATAATACACAAGTTTACAGATAGTGGGAATACTTGTCAGCGAATCCTAATATCCAACAAAAATTATTTGGCGTCAAATAAATAATATTTACATGTTATAAACGTCATTTTAGGACACAATGTAACCTATTATACAAACACCACACAAGCATAGACTGGAAAACTGACCACATTTCTCTATAGCAAGATATTCAATTTACATTTCACAACTGGTATAGTATTGGGCCAACTAAGGGCGAGTTTGGTATTTCACGTTAAACACTGATTTCTCTTTAAAACAGATACGGTAGAAAACTTATTTGTGAAAAAGAAAAGCGATATTATAGAAATCTAACCAACTTTTCGGGAAGTTTGTAGAAAAAGGCAAATCTCAAATAGCTGCATCCGTTGATTTGTATCTAATAAAAAATACGATTCGTTTTATTGAAAATCATGTTATTCTTATACTGCATTGGTGTTTCGATAATAATGATATAAGTTAAATCATGATTCACAATATATTGTATTTGAGTATCAAGTGAACTTTGGTTAGCAGTGATTTTACATTATAATTTCGTTACCATTAATACCCATAGGACTCCGTTCTTCAAATAAATTGTTCATGCTCGGGACTATGATAATGAGAGACTAAGTTCAAGGCGTAGACATTTTGTATCGAAGATCGATCCTTGACGAATAGAAGTAATAGAACGCAATGTAGCTCTGGTAATGCACGATGGTCTGTCAGCTGAAAAATAGTTTGGAATTGTATGAGAAATGTATGGGATTCGAACCGATTTAAGAAAGCAAATTTTGCTTCCAAATTCCCCCGAATATTTATACTTTTAAGTAAGTATTAATATTTTGATAAATGTTATTTGCAAAGCAAAATAAAATATTCTGAACATTTGTCGGTACTCTCTATAATGAATGTGGGGTTTCCTTCGAATTGTATATACAATTGGTATTGTAAATAGTATGTTTCGTATTTTCTTTAGAAGCAATGTAGAAACTACCATCTGTTAGACCAAAGAATTGCACGATTAGTAATTAATTTTTTCTGTAAGATATTTCATGAGCTAATAAAGTGTTTGTAAAATTTCTCTGATAATTCTGTGGCTTCAAAACTACTAATTAATGAAAAACAATGAATATAATAAACAAATGACTAAAACTATATGGATACATCATATATGTATACACATCTGCATATAAATATTACTTTTATTTTTTATAAATTGGTTTTAGAAGATGAAAATTAGTGTACTTTATATATTATGTACGTATTAGTCGTGTATATTTTCTAAAGTAGTTTATTATTTTTTTAAATTCAATGCATTTAAATATTAACGAATACATCACATTTTTATAGATGTTCTTACAATTTTTTTTATGTTGTATGCTTCATACTATCAATAGAGGTTACTAATATTTCTTCATATTTATGCGATATACTTTCTGAATAAATATTTAATAATTGTTCAGATCGTAGTTGCAATGAATTTTCTATTACGGCAAATTATTTAGTGTATTGTAAAGTAGATTGAATATCCCGCCATTTAAAATGTAGTTTGTATATTTGACTGAAGAGGGTGGATGGTCTTTAATGGACATTGTAAAATTCCTATCTATATAAACTTGCTAGTGATTTGCATCAGTTTTAACGAAGATTCAGAAAATGTATCTTTGTTCATGACTAGCGATAAACAGGAGAAATATCGCGAACCGTTCTCATTTTTCGTCAAGAACGTTTGCGTTACGAGTAGTTCGTTGCGCGTAACTGTGATAAGACATTGTGGTTTTGTTAAATGATTGTAATTTATAATACTAGTTATAAGTGTTGATTCGTTAATTCTGTTGTTTTGACTTATTAATGACTTTCGAACTTTAATATACAATCAAGAATAATGGGTGTTGGCCTCAAACCATTAGAGTTTACGGATTGCTTAACCGATAGCCCCTACTTTCGAGAAAATCTTCATTATCATGAACGTGAATTGGAAAAGAACAGCCAACAGATTAAACGGCTCGTCAAAGAGGTCAAAGATCTTTTGCTAGCTGCCACAAGTAAGTTAATTATTTTCCGTATGTGGTAAAAATATGTATTTCTATGTAACAGCTGCTGTCACATTCTATTTTTCCTTAATATTCTTTAACGACTATGTGTTTAATTTGCAACCTATCAATATTTAACAATCTATTAATTAACCGTGTATTGTTACTAACCTCATTACTCAGAACTTAGATCTCACGTGTTTATTTACACTTTTAATTGGTAATAAGTGAGTGTATCGGTTATTCGCATAATTCTACGTCACTAATGATGTACCTTAAAAATACAAAATTAATTTCTTTTTATCACATTTTTACTAATGTGGACACATTAATTTTATTCATTATTTTTATTCAAAATTATAAGGAATAAAATTTAACTTAAAAAAATGTTAACAAAATGTAATATATCGTTTGAGATCGATTTATATATTTCTTATATTTTCCATATCGTTCATTATAGAAGCTATTTATTGTCAAAATTTACTTGCGATTATAGAATAAACAAATTTTTTTTAGATTTGTCCAGAGCCCAAAGAGCATTTTCTAAAACATTGCAGAACTTTAGCTTTGAATGTATTGGGGAAACTCAAACTGAAGATGAAATTCACATATCACAGAGCCTAAAGGAATTTGGTAAACTTATTGCATCTATAGAGGATGAAAGGGATTGCATGGTATGTAATGTTTCTAGTATATACACAATAAGTTGTGTCTTCATTGAAAGAGGTTATAAAATAAATATAATTTACAATGGAATATTTGGAATATTTGTGAGTTATTGCATTCGAGTTTTATAATTATTCTATGTTAAAGTTATAATATAGTATATATCACTGTTACAGTGATAATGGAATAAAAGAGTTGTGATACAGTTATCTAATATTTATTATAACAGAAATCAAAAGAAATCATCTATAGTGTTACTTATAAAGTCAGTCTTATATATTTAAAGCATCAAAGCATATTTATATAATCAATAATACAAATATTCTTGCATTCCTATAAATCATTGTTAAATTTTATTTAATAATTATTACAACTATTTTTTATAAAGAATTGTTGATCGTTATTATGAAAACTTTGTTTTTATAGAAGGAGCTCTACCTGGTTATTTAATGGTATATTTTTTGTCATATTTTTAAACAAAATTCTTTGCACTATTTTGCATATATCGATTTAGGTTATACTGTCTCTATTTTTTATATAATGTACATATTCTCTTATGTTCTTGAATGCACACAAATATCTCTTATTCCTAAATTACATAAGAATATTCAGAATTTTCTTTATCATTCACCTTTTCAAGGACCAAACAGAAATTCAAAATACATAATTGCATGTAACCGTTACACATTGCAGCAAATTTGTATGAAATATTTAAATTAGAAAATTATTAATATTATTGATGTAAGAATAACATACTTTTAACTAAAAATTATATACTTGTTTATAGTTCCTTGGGTAAGCTACATGTTTAAATATATGTTATGCAACATAAGTCTCTTTCCAAATAGTGAAATGAAACTTGTCGTCTGCTTGTTTTATTATAGCAGTATCAGTGCATGTGTGTGTGGGCATAGGTCACATACATACATCTACATTCATTTATAAACGAGGAATGTATTTTAGTTATGTTAATAACCTTATAATTTCTTTTAACATTTAACATTTCAAATTATTTACAATATACTAATTTATTTTTGTGTGTTTACAAAAGTATATACTAAATAATTAAAACAATAGTATGTAAAGTTTGTTTAAAAAGCAAAGGCACAACATTATCTACTTTAGTTACTAGTGCTTAAGTTATGATAAGCTTATTAAGCAATGTGTGTTAATAGACCAATATATTTTTTCATATAATATACCGATGTCATTTTATACGTAAATTTTATTTCTTAAAAATATTGAATTTTCTGATAACGATATTATTTATAATCAATAGAGCATATTTTATTTTTTTACAGTGAATTCTTAGTTCAACTTTTATACGAATGAAAATGATAGAAATTAGAATTAATAGATGAAATTTCATATTATTTAAAAATACAAAATGTTGCTTTGTTTCAAAAGAATCTTAATCACCATCTCGGATTAGATGCATAGAAAATTTCTGTACATTGTACATATTTTTTTAGTTATTTAAATTAATATTTTAATTGCTTTTCATTGTGATTTTGATCAGATATTTTATATATTTGATTGTACATATGTACGCATCATTTTTATGTGTAAGTACATATTTTTTTTTTGTAGGTATTTATCTCAACGTTTGATGGCAACATCATTTATCAATTTTTATAGATTTAGATATCTTTTACAAATATTCTCCTTAATTTGGTAAATTTTGCTTCTAGCTTTCACGTGCTTGTGATCAAATTATACTCCCCCTGGAAAATTTTAGGAAAGAACGTATTGGAAACGTGAAGGTAACTAATTAATTTTTTTTATATATTTAATATATGAAAATAATGTATGTACCATACTTACAGGACGGAAAAAAGAAGTTTGAAAAACAAACTATTAAATTTTGTCAAAGCCAAGAACGCTACCTAAATCTGTCTACTAAAAAACAGGACAATGTACTTCAAGAGGTATGATAGAACAAAAGCATTTGTGTTATTTAAATTGATAGTTTTTATATTTTGAGGGAAGCTCATATCTAAAGAAGAAATGTAAAATAATTGTGTTATTTGAAATTACCAACAACTATGTTGTGTGGAATCAAGTAGGCATGTATGACCAATAACATTGATAATGTAGTATATATCATATTTAGGCCGACGCAACATTGGAAATGGCCGAAAGACATTTTTGTCAAGCTAGTTTAGAATACGTGTTCTTACTTCAAGAAGTACAAGAACGGAAAAAGTTTGAATTCGTTGAAACTGTAAGTTTCTTTCGCGTGTAATATAATTAATTAATTATTAAAGATTACAAATAACGATACAATTTTTGTTCAGCTACTGGGCTTCATGTTTGGTTGGTTGACGTTTTACCATCAAGGTCATGAGGTTGCAAAGGATTTTAAACCTTACATGACTGAGTTGCAATTAAAAATACAGAAGGTTGGTTTCTTTTATTACTACATGTACTTAATTGCTTAAAAATATATAAAAGGAGCATTAGTATTATGGAGGCACGATTCTAAAACTTATTTACTTACATTAGCACTATTCAGACGATTAAAAAAATTGCTTTATATATTGTAACATTGATTTACAAAATTATATTAAGTGTATTATGTATTGTTGTTTCACATTCTAACTTCTATGGATTGAAATTTATTGGTACATTATCCTTGTTGTCAGAAGAATGTGACGCAGCCATACTCCAAATATTTTTAAAGGATAACTTGGGTATTTTTAAAATCTTGTGTGGCACTTAAAAGTATTTTTTATCTTAGTAATTTTACATTTTTATAATCAAATTGGTCGTTAATGTTCAACTACTTGTAGAAATACTTAGATGTAACTTCTTACTAAAGTATTGTGTGGTGCAAATATTATTAGGATAACAGCATGACAAATAGCTTACTAATTTTTAATTTTATGTGTGTGTGTGTGTTTTACAAGACTAGAGAAAATTTCCTTGCTACCCGGGATAAAACAGAATCACTTATGAATAAAATGAAGGATATGAAAAAGGTATGTAATACATTTTCTTAAATATAAACATTTAATAATAAACATTTGTAATATGCTATAAGAAATATTCCATGATGATATAAAATTTAAAATTATATAAATAATCCCAGAAATTCGTAAATTTGTTGTATTTTATCGTTAGTTTTATATATGAAGATTGTATGTATTAAAGTTTCCCAAAAGTATTTCTTATTTTTAGTTCTATTATATTAATTTTAATATTACATTATGAAAGAATTAGTAATATTTTCATTTTATAGTCTGCTGTGGAAACTGGTGTCCACAAAATATGCACTCGTGAGGGATATCTATTTTTAATGGAAAAGAGTACGTGTATAGATTTTGTTATAACGAACGTTTATAATAAATTTCATCAATGATTTAATGCATTAATATATAATTGTGCTATACTATAAAAAGTATTTAATTTTACAGAAGCATTTGGCACAACATGGACGAAACAGTATTGCACATATCAAAAGGATAAAAAAGAATTTACAATGATACCTTACAATCAGCTTACAGGAAAATTTGTAAGTAAAATTTATAATTCGCGAAGTGTTTTGTATATTACATAATTTATCTATATTGTATTGTTAACAGAGTCGTAAAGAAATTTTGACATTGACATCTTGTGTACGTCGTACGTCGAACACAATTGAGAAACGGTTCTGCTTCGATATCACCACTGTTGATAAGTAAGTCCAATTTGATTACATTCTTGTATGATCATCTTGTACATTTTTAACAGTAAAATCTGGTACATGGTAGTTTAAATAATTTATCTAACCAGATACTATGTTTTATGTTTAAATGTCTATTCTTCAAAGTTTGATACGTTTTGCATTCTTGGGAGTATAAGGTAGGTGATAGATAACCTACTTTCAGCAATATTTCTACTATTTCAACTATATAATATTTCAACTACTGAAAATGTGGAAATCCATTTGAAAAAATTGTTTATTTTCCATATTAGTAATTTTGTAAAAAGTATTTCTCACGTAATCTGCCTTTATATCTTACAGTTCTTTTTTCATTTTTTCAGGCCTAATGTAATATATACATTCCAAGCACTTTCTGAAGAAGACAGGAAGTTATGGTTGGATGCCATGGATGGTAAAGAACCGGTGTGTATTTTAATGTTAATATTTCTGCTATTTCTGTTCGATTTTATAAAGAATAAATTATAAGTACAATATATTTTTATTTCAGAATTACCCTATAGTGGGTGTATCAACAAAATCCGAAGAAACTGTTTTGGATGAAACAGGATTTTTGTTTGTGTCAAAATGTATTGCAGCGCTTGAAGAAAGAGGTCAGTGCAGTCAATAGCGTATACAATATTTTTAAATATCTTTTTATAGTATTCGATTAAAAAAAAAGTTCCACCATGGTATATCTTTTTTCTAGGTCTTGAGGAACAAGGTCTATATAGAGTCGTTGGTGTTGCATCAAAAGTAAATAAACTTCTGGCAATGGGGTTAGATAGAAGGAAATTAGACAAGTTTAATATGGATGATCGTTTCGAATGGGAAAGTAAAACTATTACCAGTGCATTGAAAACTTATTTGAGGACATTATCTGAACCGTTAATGACCTTCCGATACTACAATAGTTTTATTTTAGCTGCGAGTGCGTATAGGTATTCTCTACAATATTGTTTTATTTGAAATACTCAAATTAAAACTATTACTTTTATCATATCGATTGCATTATATAGAGTAAATATTTATTATATACAAACTTCTTTCTTTTTTATTAACTTTGATGTTGCTTACATCAATTAGCTTATACTATAAGGATATTATTATTTTTCTTATTACTTCTGACAGAACAAGAAATGAAAGAAGCACGTGTAAATGATATTCACAACCTCGTTTACCGATTACCAAAAGCAAATTTCAATATGTTAATTCTTCTTATTAGACATCTATGTAGGTAAGGATACGCATTATATTATATTCATAATAAAATTAACTACGTTTAATATAATTAACAATGTAATATATATTTAACAAAACTTATTTAATTAAATTCTGTTTACAGCGTGGCAAAGAAAAGTGATAAGAATTTAATGACTATTGGTAACTTAGCTGTATGTTTCGGTCCGTCTTTACTACGGCCAGAAGAAGAAACGGTGGCTTCTATAATGGACATAAAATTTTATAATATCGTAGTTGAAATTTTAATTGAAAATTGCGAAAGAATAATTGCTGGCCCGTCGCAAGATATCATGCGGTCGACACAAATTACACAAAACACTGCTCCTTCTAAATCACAACGTGTCACTATAGAGGATGAGTCAACATCTTCTGGAAATGGAACTTCATTTGTAAGATATCCAATGCACACAAACATATCTTCGCCACATGCACATGTAAGTTATATATTTATTTATTTTGCATTTTAACCAGTGAATTTTCAGTGTTTATGCAATATATCAAAATTTATTTTTATAGCTCGTTACAAGATCATACTACGACGGTCCATTAGCAGTTGTTACTAAGTCGTCTTCTGTTGATGACCAAAAAAATGGTGATTTCGAAGAAACCGAACACACAAGCCATAGAATGCCAACATATTTAGATAGTCGAAGTGGAAGAAATGTTAAATTGACAAATCTTATGTACCATTCCGCAGATAAAGGTTGTTAAAATTATTTCTGAAAATATATTTTACTTATATGCGTGTTTTTATAGTTAATGACCGTTAATATTATATAAATTCAGTATTAACGAGTGGTAACACGAGTAGTTCAAGCGAGTCAATTGCATCTGAGCCACACTTATGTTTGTCCGACTTGCCGGTGAAACAAAAACGTGGTTCTGTGATGACTGTACATTACCCGTTAGGTTACGCTCAACGAAATAATCCATCAGTATCTGTGTAAGTTTCTATAATTGACAAATTAAACTATTAATTCTAATTTATATTTTTTTTTTTGCTTTACACGACTGAAGTATATGTATTTTCTCTATAGAATTAATACATTACCTAGTAGTGGACGTTCAAGTCCTGGGCAAGTACCTGGTATTTGGTAAATACATACTTTTTATTAATCGAATGAATGTATTTATGATGTTTATATCGTATCTTGTTTTCTATAGATTATTGCTATCGTATTCGTAATAAAAAATTTAACAATTATATTCTTAGGAGAGTCCGGACTTTGTATGCCTGTTTGGCAGAAAGCGATGGTGAATTATCATTTGAACCAAATCAAATTATTACAAATGGTATGAAAAATGTGTAACATACGCGTATCAAATACAGTTATACTAAAATTAATTTTCCAATTACAGTAAAGGCCTCTTTGGAGCCAGGATGGTTAGAAGGTACACTTAATGGCAAGACAGGACTGGTCCCAAAGAATTATGTTGAACAGTTACCTTGAATTTGGAAAAAACCAAAGAGTGCCTAAATTGTTTTTACATTCCATAATTGTAGTTTTTTTTAGTACTATTACCTACTGAAGCATATATTCATGAATGCTACGATGACGTACGCGGAACGCAATTTAAACGTTTTTCTATTTAAATTCCTTTGGGTACAATTTACATAGTCAATTATATATACATTCGTATGTACGCCTTTTATTTATTAGGAGCCTCTTTGCTCAAGAAGGTCTATATTGTATATAATCAATTGTAGAAAAATTTATATATATATATACGTATAAAAGCATATAACGTTAATATATTACACGATATTTAAATATATTTGTACTGAAAGATATTGCTCCAGTATGTAGTTTGTAGGAGATCTCATAGGCAATAATCATTTGTTTATATTGCAATAATATATACTATATAATATAAGAATGTGATACGGAATAAATAAATACCAAATATAATCGGAATTTTTAATAGAGTTTGAATATCTTCATTTTTTTTTAAATTTGGCGTAGCGATTTTAAATAAAATGATTGCGAAATCGGTTTAAAAGTGTTAATAGTGTACAATTTTTTTATAATATGAATTTATTTTAAAAATTAATTCTATTACATTCATTATTTTTCAATTTAATGAAATTCAATGCATTATTAAATATTTCATTAATATATTTTTCATAATTAAATTATTTTTAAATTTGTATAAATATAGTTAATGGAATGATATAGTATCGACATACAATTCTTTTTCAAAACGCTATCATAAATAAATCATAACACTAGTAAATTTCCGTATAATATTAATGTCATCGAGAATATTGTCAAATAATAAGTACACCATTGAAGTATTGAATTGATTAATTGGAAAAGCATTCAAAATTTGTTTGGCGCTCAACGTGCTAAATAATATTCAATAATATAATTATTGATTACAATTTTGTTGAATTGTTTATTTCTCTTAAAAATTCATAATGTTATACACTTAGATTAAAAAAGTAATTATGAATGTATTATTGCTACGATTAAATTGTACAATTTTATCATATATAAGTAGCTTACGATTCATTATTAATCGTTTAAAAAATGTAGCTTGATTATTGTCTTATAATAATATGATAGTGGAAATACTAATGTATAAAAATGCTAAAATTCATTGTATATGAAAATATATCTATTATGAATGAAAAATCGTTTGATTTTCTTGAATGAACAATTGAATAATGGAATAAAAATTTTTTAGTCAATTATGTACCCCGTTTCATATATGTATGTAATTTTATTTTTTACTTAAATTATTATTTAAATTTGTTAAATAAATATCCATTTCTAAGGACCCTGCTCTTAAAGCATTTTTTTCTACGCTATTCCATAGAGTACTCATGAACAAAGTATAACATAATATTGCAGTTAAAAATAAGCGTCCTATATTTAAGCCAATACTCGCACCCACAGTTTCAATGGAACAATCCAACCCCATAGACCAAACGAGTGGGACGCTTAATATAAAACCTGATAATAAATACCAAAATCGTTGACTGCGAATATTTTTCAACGAAGTTTCACAGATTTTTATAGCTTCTTTCAATACATCTTTAACATCTACATTCGCCTCTTGAGACTCACCTAAAAAAAACAAAGATTTCAAACGTATTTACAATTTACTCCACTTGACGCAACAAGACTACTCTTATTATTTACCAGGACTGAATTTGAAACTCGCCATAATAGCCTCATGATCAGAGTAACTAAAATCCTTGTAAGGTATACGATTTGGGAAAGGATGCTGAAAATTTGTTACTTCTATCTATAAATAATATTAGTATAAATAGTATTTAGTAGTAATTAGTGAATATTTGTTAAATAAATATAGTATTAAAATCGATATAAGTAATTTAACATACTTTATGATTTTTTGAACCCAAATACAAAATATGGTCTATGCGTTTTCCTTTGGGGAATGTTCTTGCAAGTTTTGAACTAGTATAACTATTATTGGCACACATATTGGTCCCTAAATTATTTGAACTATTTGAGCAAGCATCTGCTAAATCGGCAACACCACATATGAGCCTGTAAGCTAAATCTTGCGGCCCTGCATTAAGATCACCTCCTAATATCGCAAAATCAGTGCCACCACAAGTCATCCTAATAAACTGAGCAGTATCAAATGCTTGTAAAACTCTATGTGCTATATACTCGTCGTTGTGGCAATTATATTCTGCATGTAACTAAAATGTTGAACACATTATACACTTATTAACTCTTTAACCATTTGACTACCAAGCGACACGATCATGTATGGAGACATTTATTACATTTTGCACAAATGAAAAGATGACTGTCTTACCATGCGACACTATTCAACATGACATTTGAAACAATACCTGGCACACAAATGGTTAGAAGATATGTAAATAGAGTATGAAAGTTTCAATGAATAATCTTACATGTACAGTATAAACATTAACATTCATATCATGAATCTTAAGTCTACAAAGCCCAATGCCTTTCCCGCCAAACCAATCTCCATGATGTATCTTGTGCACATATCCATTCAAAGGCCATTTGTGAAACATTACATCCTGAATAGGATATCGTGATAACATACAAATTCCCGACCCAAGTACACCACTAAAATATATTAAAAACAATTTTTATGTAATTACGAATCCAATAGTATAATTTAATATTAGATATATAATTAATTCGGTATTGTATTATTGAAATATAACATACTTTTATGGTAATAACTATACACGAGAGTTACCTATGGAAATAGTGCGAATAAGGTAGCTGTTCTTGGATCTTAGTTTTTATCATCTTAAAATCTTCAACAGACCATACTTCTTGTAAACATATAATATCATAATTTTCAACAGTAAATTTCTCTGCGATTGCTTCTATACGGGCTTTCCTGTCTTTGGAAACATATGGTATACCCCTATAAATATATAATGTATTAAACAAACATATTGATCATATACAGAAAACATAGAAAAATATTTATGAATAATAATTAAATAGAAAATATATCAAATTAGTATATTGATAAAATAACAACTTACCAGCAATTTAGAGTTAAAACGTTTATTGACACTTCATCTGCCATCCTTTATAAGAAATTAACCAACGCGTAATGAGAAATCAATCAACGCGTATGATTTTTTGAAGAACTTGAATATGTTCAAATTATTAACAATTCAAGGGAAATTTCTTTAAAAAGTGAAACTTCTTAATGGTTTTTTTTTTTCATAAAAAGTTTGCTACGTTAGCTACCTACAAAACCATGTCAGTTATATTAGACACGGGCAGTGATACCACGTGATACCAAGTCGGAAGAACTTGAACTTTGTCCTCTTAGCGCCATCTAATATCAGCGATTCGAACTGCTAAAATCGTGCTAGGATAACAGAATGTTGGAGGAGGTATCCGGAGTACAGGTTCCCTCGCTCCTGCTACTCCTGTTACGACGTTGATTAAACGTTGATTATTCATTAATAACTCCTCTTCTGGTACAGTAGTACAGCCGTAAATGTTCCGACTTCCGGTATTCGTTAATAACGTCTTAAATACGGGCGGAACGGTTATAAAATCTATCCTTGAATCTAGCCAAGGGTCTATACTACATTCTCCGATTCTAAAAGTTCATATTTGAATCCCAGAAAAGGAGTTATCAATGAATAATCAAGGTACTGCGTAACAGGAGTGCCAAGAATGGGAGAACCTTTACTTCTTATACCTCCTATGACATTTTGTGATCCTGGTACGATTTTTCGAGTTCGAATCCCTGATATTAGATGGCGCCAGGTATTTCCTAATTTTTAGTATGATGATTAAAATATCTATCGCTGCCAATAATCATTTATAACTAATTAATTACATAAAATGTGTAGAATAATGGTCAAAGAAGGTTATAGTAGTGGATAACCATTAAAATTATTCATATTGAATTGGTACTATTTGGACAATTATCTTTTTTTTAAATTACTTATTTCACAGAAAACGTTATCTTCAATTGATCGATTAGTAGTAATTCTCAAATAATAAGATTAATTTTGGAACAGAATTTTCTGTAAAAATGAAAATGAAAATCAGGCAGAATACAGTGTATTTATGTACGTCAATGTACATACAAGTTAAAGTGTAGTCGCGGAACTGTTTGCATGTAGAGCCTAAGTATTGTTGATAGAATAATCAACTTGTTTTCTAGTAGGTGGGTGGAGTGTTAGAGTATCAATTTTATACATTAACAGCATAATGTTACATTATTGCGTCGCAATGTATTAATCACATTGTAAAGTATTTGAAAACTATTTTATTTTTTCGTAGAAAGATATAAGTTTCTAGTATATTCAAGTCCCTAGACACGTAACCTCCTTGGAGGTAAGTAATAAAAATTATAATTATCTTATATCACTCTATACATACAATTTTTAATTTCAACGATTATACATATTGGTTATACATATAAAAATTTGAAATTTAAGAAAATATTTCTTAACAATTGTAAATAATTAATATCATATGTTAAATTTTATTTGGATTTAAGTGTTAACAATGTATAAATAATTGTTTCTTTCATTCAGGTTTATATTTAAATTGAAATGGCTACTGATAAAGTAACTTTGAGCGATGCTTTATCCAATGTTGATGTGCTTGATGAATTTACATTACCAGATGAACAACCATGTATCGAAGCGCAACCATGTTCTGTAGTATATTTAGCCAATTTTGATACTAATTTTGAAGATAGAAATGGTTTTGTTACCGGGATTGCCAAGTACATTGAGGAAGCTACGGTTCATGCAAGTTTGGTAATTATGTGGAATACATTTGTACACATTGAAAGATAAATTTTTTATTTTTGTTGAACTTATATACGACAATAAATATATTACCTTGAATTATACATGTATGGAATTATGATTAACATTTACATTGTCTTTTGATATTATTATTGAAATATATAATTGTCGTTATTTTTAAAGAACGAATTGTTAGAGGAAGGTTTGAAACATGCTGTAATGTTATATACATGGAGATGTTGCTCGCGTGCAATTCCTCAACCAAAATCTAACGAACAACCAAATAGAGTAGAGATTTATGAAAAGACAGTAGAGGTATTAGCACCAGAAGTAAATAAGTTATTAAATTTTATGTACTTTCAAGTAAGTATGTAATTGTTTAATCATTTTAATCTTCTTGTATATCGGTACATGTATAAAATCAATAGAATATTTGTTTTTAGAGAAAGGCAATTGAAAGATTTTCGGGCGAAGTGAAACGCTTGTGTCATCACGAGAAAAGGAAAGACTTTGTTTCCGAAGCATATCTGCTTACTTTAGGAAAATTTATCAATATGTTCGCAGTTTTGGACGAACTGAAGAATATGAAATCTAGCGTGAAAAATGATTATTCTACCTATAGAAGGTAACTTTAATCTTATCGATTTACTATGTTTGGGTAACTTTATTCAGTTTTAACAAAATTTTTGACGAAATACAATTACTCTCTCGTTTCAGAGCTGCCCAATTTCTTAAAGTCATGTCTGATTCACAGACATTACAAGAATCACAAAACTTATCAATGTTTTTAGCTACACAGAATAAAATTCGTGATACTGTAAAAGAGAATTTAGAAAAAATTGCAGGATATGAAGAATTACTTGCAGATGTTGTCAATATATGTGTTCATATGTTCGAGACTAAGATGTATTTAACACCGAACGAAAAGCATATGTTGGTAAAAGTCATGGGATTTGGCCTATTTTTGATGGACAGTGAATTATGCAACATTAATAAACTAGATCAAAAAAAGAAACTAAAGTTAGATAGAATTGATAGAATTTTTAAAAACTTAGAGGTAGTGCCGTTGTTTGGTGATATGCAAATTGCACCCTTTAATTACATCAAACGGTCTAAACATTTTGATGCATCAAGGTGGCCATTGTCTTCGTCATCAAATAGTATAAGCCCGCAAGCGGATCTTATGGTACACCTTCCACAAATTAGGGAAGATCATGTAAAATACATTAGCGAATTAGCAAGGTAACTAGGCATATTATTAACAGTTTATAAATTAGTAAAAACATTAATTTACAACTCTGTAAAGAAAATATTACCTTTGTAATTACAATATAGATACAGTAATGAAGTGACTACAACATACAAAGAATGCGGGAGTGACACAGAAAATCGAGAAACTGCTGAATTAGCATTACGTGGATTGCAATTACTTTCTCAATGGACAAGCGTAGTAACGGAACTTTATAGTTGGAAACTTCTTCACCCCACCGACCATCATATGAATAAGGAGTGCCCACAAGAAGCTGAAGAATACGAAAGGGTATTTATTACTGTTAATTCTATTAATCATATAATATACATTGACACATTTTATTTTATTAGGCTACACGTTACAATTACACAGATGAAGAGAAATTTGCTTTGATAGAAGTTATAGCAATGATCAAGGGATTGCAAGTGCTAATGGCACGTATTGAAACTGTTTTTATTGATGCAATACGTAGAAATATATACGCGGAATTACAAGATTTCGTGCAACTTTCTCTACGAGAACCATTGCGTAAGGCAATAAAAAATAAAAAAGATCTAATTAGGAGGTTTGTATGTAATTAACGTACTTGTTATGAAAATTAAAAATCTTGTACAACTTAAACAGTTTACTGTTTTTTTTAGTATAATTGTATCCGTAAGAGAAACTTGCGCAGATTGGCATTTTGGAGTGGAGCCATTAGGGGATCCTGCACTGAAAGGAAAGAAAGATCCTGATAATGGGTTTGGTATAAAGGTACCACGGAGAAATGTTGGTAAGATCGAAGGACAGTTGAATTCTTTAACATCATAAATTTCCAATTTGTTTTTAAAAATATGTTTTCTTAGGGCCTTCTTCAACACAGCTTTATATGGTTCGTACTATGTTAGAATCATTAATTGCTGATAAGAGTGGCGGTAAGCGTACATTGAGAAAAGATATCGATGGTCAATACCTTGTACAAATTGATCAGTTTCATAAAACTAGTTTTTATTGGAGTTATCTCTTAAATTTTAGTGGTAAGTACAATCAGTTATAATTTATCATATTACAGTAGTTTTCTACTATACTCTGTTCCTTTTAGAATCATTACAAGACTGTTGTGATTTATCCCAATTATGGTACAGAGAATTTTACTTAGAAATGACCATGGGCCGAAAAATACAGGTAATTGAAAATTCACAGGTAGCCTACGTTTCGTATTATTATATTAAAAATATTATCAAAATAGCGTTTTGTGTGCTTCATTTCATGACTAGAAATGCCAAGTACGTCATCAACATAATGAGGAATGCAGCGACTTGATCACCATGGAGAAACGTATCCAGGTATTCTGTTAGACATATATGATCGTAACAATGTTATTTAAGCTTGTAATTTAAAGCTTATTAATACATCTTTCAGTTCCCTATTGAAATGTCTATGCCATGGATATTGACTGATCACATATTACGAAGTAAAGAACCATCAATGATGGAGTGAGTAAAATTATACTATAATCGTAATTTGGAAAATACGTTTTGAAATATCATATTTGTTTTTAGGTATGTTTTATATCCACTTGATCTGTACAATGATAGCGCACTGTATGCTCTAACAATATTTCGTAAACAATTTCTTTACGATGAAGTAGAAGCTGAGGTCAATTTATGTTTTGATCAATTTGTTTACAAACTTAGCGAACAAATTTTTGCTCATTACAAACAATTGGCTGCAAGTATATTGCTGGATAAAAGGTTCCGAGTTGAGTGCGTTGCTTTGGGGGCATATTTACTTCCATACCCACGTGCCAACAGATACGAAACTTTATTAAAACAAAGACACGTTCAGTTATTGGGACGAAGTATTGATTTGAACAAGTTAATTACGCAACGTATTAATGCTGATATGCAAAAATCATTGGATTTGGCAATTAGTAAATTTGAATCCGGTGATATTACTGGAGTCGTGGTGAGTTAAATAATTTAGTTTCATCTTTAATTCACAATAAAAATATATTTATCATAATTCATCTACTTCAGGAATTAGAAGGACTTTTGCAAGTTAATCGTCTTACTCACAAACTTTTAAGTAAATGGCTTGCCTTGGATGAATATGACGCAATGTTTAGAGAAGCAAATCATAATGTTCTAGCCCCGTATGGAAGAATCACGCTTCATGTATTTTGGGAACTAAATTATGACTTTTTACCAAATTATTGTTATAACGCAGCAACAAATAGGTAAAGCAATACTATAATTAAAAGTAAATAAAATAAAAGTTTGTGATTATATTGTAAATATGTGTAATAGGTTTGTAAAATGTCGTGGACTTCAATTTGTGCAACCAGTACATAGGGACAAGCCTCCACAAATGTCCCCCCACTACCTTTGGGGAAGTAAACATTTAAATTTAGCATATAGTACACAGTATGGGCAATATTCAGGATTTGTTGGTCCACAACACTTTCGTACAATGTGTAAACTTCTTGGGTATCAAGGTATCGCAGTAGTGATGGAAGAACTTTTGAAAATTGTGAAGTCTTTAATTCAAGGAAGCTTACATCAATTCACTAAGACTTTAATGGAAGCAATGCCAAAAGTCTGTAAGCTGCCAAGATACGATTATGGATCGCCGGGTGTTCTGGGATATTACCATGCTCAATTAAACGACATTGTGCAATATCCTGACGCAAAAACCGAGCTGTTTCATAATTTTCGCGAGTTCGGTAACACAATTTTATTTTGTCTCTTAATGGAACAAGCTTTATCGCAAGAAGAAGTTTGCGATTTATTACATGCAGCACCGTTTCAAAATATACTGCCTAGACCTTACTGCAAAGGTAACGATTCCAAACTATCAAAAATAAAAATTCTGCGTTTAAAAATATTGAAACAATTTTAATTCCAGAGGGTGAGAAACCGGAAACCAAGCAAAAGCGACTTGAAGCTAAATACGCAGCCTTACAAATTGTTCCAAATGTAGATAAACTAGGTACAGCTAAGGTAAACAGTAAAGAGTAATGTTATACAATGTCTGGAAATTGTTCAGAAATATTTTGTGCATACATTTTATAAATGTTTTAATTCTTTTTGTAGCAAGCAATGATTGCCAGGGAGGGCGATTTATTAACACGAGAACGGCTTTGTTGCGGTTTGTCGATATTTGATGTGGTACTCGGTAGATTGCGCAGTTTCTTAGATGACCCTATTTGGGTTGGCCCACCTCCTGCAAACGGAGTAATGAATGTCGATGAGTGCACAGAATTTCATAGATTATGGAGTGCACTACAATTCGTATATTGTATTCCTGTTGGTGAAACAGAATTTACTGTCGAGTTCGTGATATAATTATAATTTCATATCTAATTGAAGCAGAACAGTAAACTGCATAATATTATTCTTATTACAGGGAATTATTTGGCGAGGGCTTACATTGGGCTGGATGTGCTATGATAGTATTACTTGGTCAGCAGAGGCGATTTGAGGCTCTTGATTTTTGTTATCATATTCTGAGAGTACAACGTGTAGATGGTAAGGACGAAAATGTTAAAGGAATTGTAAGTATCCATATGTAAGTCATATTTGATCACACACACTTTCTTTTATTAATATATGTAAATAATGAATTTGTTTGAATAATATCGAATAGCATTTGAAAAGAATGGTGGATAGAATCAGAAGATTCCAAGTATTAAATTCGCAAATTTTTGCTGTATTAAATAAGTATTTGAAGAGCGGGGATGGCGATGCAACAAGCGTTGAACACGTCCGATGCTTTCCACCTCCTATTCATCCCTCGCTTGCTCATGCACAGCAGCAACATTATCATACGCCAGAATACTTGCGTCAAATGAATCATCAGTAAAGTAATATTAATAAACAGTCATATTTGTAATTCAACATAATAAAAGCTGAGTCTTACTTTTTAAATAACTCGTATTTCCGAGTAATAATTTAATGTAAAATATAATATTTTCAAATATTTATTTAATTTTTAAAAAAATAAATTTTGCACATCAATTAAATTGCATTCTATATTCTTATCAGTACTTTTTATATTAAAGTATTTTTAATTAATTAATGTTTGATAAATCGAACAATTTATTTGATCAAAACCACTCAGACCTCTTTTGCTGTTGTGAATATTTTGTTTGTTTGTGCATGGTATTATATTGCTACATAAAAAGTATCAGTAATATTTAATATATTTGAAATTAATCTATAAGAATGTTCATATCCTATGTTGAAGTTTCTGATGTATAACTTATATTTTAATACTTTCTTTATACATATACAAAAATGTATGTACTCATTATCTGGAGACTAATTGGAAAACATTTAAAATTAGGAATATTTATTTCTGCACTATTTCAGATCTTTTATATTAAGTGTTATGCAATATCAGTATTATTGATTATAACTTAATAATAAATATAATTTAAATCTCATGATGTATTGTGAGATATTTAATCACGAAATGTAAAGTACGAGAACTGTATGAAACGTTTGTAATCACAGTGATAAACATTCGGTGAATTTTCACTATTTAGAAAATGTTTTTTTGTAAACCTATATAATCCATACATAATAAACTAAAGGAATAAGAATAAAAAGAATTGTATGGTAAGTAACTTATTGTAAATTGCAATATGTACAACGCAATGGTTAATAATTAGCGTTTCAAAGCATGTTCTTTATAATATTTTTAGGGATATAGATAAACGATCAAATATTTAATTCTGTACTGCTTTTTTTCTTTTAGATAATTTTTATAACTATGCTTGTTAATTTAAATGTATAGAATATTCAGTTTATCGTACACTGTGAATGCACAAACTTACTGGTATTAAGTCAACCAAATAAACGAGTTCACTAAATAAAAGGAAGTATAAGATTTTTATATCTATTTATATAATGGAGTTAATTAAAAGAAAGATATTTGTTAAATCTGAAATAAAATTCAAAGATTGATTTGAAAACCAGTGTTTGTGCTCTCTTGTAACTAATTATAATTAAATAATTATATTTATGCAAAATGCAGTGTTCAACTTTTCAATATAAATGTACGATTAATAGATGTATAATAATTAAGTTATCAATTAAGAGGAAATTTGTATATGAAGGTATGTTATATCAGTATCATTTGTTCACTATCTTACGAACGGTACATTCAATAACTTCATCTATGTATTATTATATTTAAAATTATAATTTTTAATAATAAATATACAACATTTCACATAAATTATTATTTTTTTTATTTCTATATTAAAGGTCTGAAAAAAAGTTTGATGCATTATCGATTTTACTGCTTGGAAGATTATGCTTTAATTGTTTCTGTTTTCCCCCCTTTATACGTTCAGCGACATTTAATGTTTCAAAATACTGTACATTCCAAAATTTGATATCATTATTGTGCGAAGAAGATGCAATTAATGTACCATCATTATTGACATCAAGGGTTTCAATGGAAAAATTATGTTGTCCCACTATTCCAAGATGACGATGAGGAAACAAGCTATTCGACCTGCACAATAAATATAAATAAATACATATATATAAAAACGAGTGTCTCGTTTTGATGTCAAAGAAAATAATAGTTTATATCGGTAGATTATTTCATACCTAAGTATTCCATCTTCTCCTCCTGTTATTACAACATTTTCAGTAATTGGAACCATACAATTTATGGCCTTCTTAGTTACACTCGGAAACTCGTCCGAATGGAGACCAAATTCTCCCCAATTGTATACATACAGTTTTCCTTTACTGGTGCCCACCAAAAGTTTTGTTTCAGTTTTAAATATACCAAGGCAAGTTAACTCCTCTTCGTATTCCTCTGACTATTAAAATGTTTATTATAGAAACGTGCATAACAAAATAACTTACAGTAAACTATATATGTAGCTATTCACCTGTAGATGCATTTTCTTTCCTGGAATATTGAATGTAGTAAGAGAACCATCTCCACTAGCACATACTAAATACTTTGCATCGCTGTTTGTTACAATAGAACTCACATAATCTTCCATTTTCTTGAATGAAAATGTAGGTGTATTTCCTCTTATTCTAAGATCCCAAACTAAAAATATCTATACATGAATATAATCTAATACAAAGAGGAGAAAATAAATATAATTATTTACATTTTACAACACCATCATCATCCCCTGTTGCAAACATGTGTTCTCCAATTACAGTCATTGTGTATACTGGTTCTCTAGGATATAAATTAATTATCGATCGTATACTATAAAGGGTAAAAAAAGTATTTTTATACATACTCGTGTGCATTTTCATATAATCTTATTAACTTCTCTGTTTCTACATCGGTGAGCATTATAGATAAATCCTTGGCAGTCGAAAATAAAGTTGTACCACTTTCATTAAACTCTATATCACGACATGCTTTAAGATGTAATTCTAAAGTTGATAATAGTTCTGTTTCTGTATTGTTATACTTGTACCTAACATGTAAAAAAATATATGTATGTATTAAATTGTTATACACTGTTCCTTAAAATTAATGCATAATATCGTATAAATGTTAAATTACAAGTAAACATCTCCTACAATGCTAGCCACAGCAATCATATCCGAATTGGGATGGAAACATATATCCACCACATAATCTTCTATTGTAATAGGTGGAGGATGATTTCTATGAGCATCTTGTGATTTAATTATTGCTTTCACAACTTCATTTTCTTCCTCATCTTCGTTTAACAAAATTGCTTCTGCATCACTATCTTTAATAATGATAATAAATTTGTAAGCTTATAACTAATTAGAAATAAATATTATATTATTATCAACTTATGTAAAACATACTTTCATGAGTAGGAATCTGATTATTATTTGAAACGGAATCTTCTATATCGTCATTTTCTGAATCAGATTCATCTGTATTGCACGCAGTATCATCACTGTCCTCGCTGTCTTGACTATCATTACTGTCATCGCTGTCTTGAGTAAACTTATCTGTAACTACCATTAACATATTTAGTTGGATGTAGCAATACACAAATCATCTCATAATTTGTTATGAACTGTTCTGATGATATTGTCAATTTAATGTTTAATGTATTTAGTCCTTTATAGAAGAATATCTGGAAGCTGAATAGCAAATCTTGGAGCAGATGACGCATCTAAAAATCACTTTATCTAATACAGAAATTTTATTTTAAAGAAATAAATTGTTGCATTTTGTATTAAAGAAATCAACTTTTGTTGATTTCTGACAACGAATTAAAATTATATACATAATAATAGTGACATAAACCAAACATTTACTTTACAATAGTAATTTACAAAATAAAAATTATTCTTTATTAAACGAATGTACCTATTAATTTTTCTTCGTTTAAATGCATGTTTGAATAATGCAAAATACTTGTGGTTCCTAACTTCTCTTATTATACAGTGCTTTTAGAAGTTACGCGTTGCATACGCCACGTGAAAGCAGTTCAAATAAAAACGCCATGGCGGATCCTCATAATAACACTAATTTCTACAGGGTGATTCTGTGCGGCAGGCCTAAGAGCGCGTAACGTTTAAACAAGTTGTACTATAGGTGGCGGAATGGTACGATGCACTGTGCTCGCTATTCAGTTTTCCATCTAAACTGCAACAATTAGAATGATTAAAGTATGTAGCATGGTGGACCATGGCGCTACACAGTTCAAGAAAAATATATTTTCATAAATTGTAAAAACGATTCTTGTGTGTAGCCATTTATGCTTCAATACTTTTAACATGGAGTCTCGAACAAACGAGATTTTAACAACAGGCTCGATAGCAACGGTTAAAGAAGAACCACAAGACCAAACTGGCGCAAAGCAAGACTTGCAACAATCTCAAGTACAGGGCGTTTGCATTGAAGAAGAGTGCGAACAGCGTATCGAGTGCACTACCGAGAGCCAGGAGAATGAAACGCGTGCATTTTTATCAAAATGTGTGTTCTGTGGGAAAACATTTGCCTTTGGTGACGATCCGAAACTTTTAGAATGTTTACATGCAGCATGCTGTGCATGTGTCAACAGTAAATTGAGTGATCACAATACATCGGTCGACGTGGATGTTTTGTGTAAGTCTGTATTATATGTATACATATCTCTTTAACAGATTTCGTATCAAACAATATTCATCGAAGTAGTTTCTTATTTCAAAACAATTAAATAAATATCTTGTTTGTAACAAACAAAAGAAATGATTATATTTACTCTTTTACTTATTCAATTAAATTGATCACTTTAAGCAATTTACAGTGATGATTTATTTATAACTGAATTAGATATTTCTTTTTCCATGATAAAAATTCTTATAATAAATGTATGAAAGTTTAAGTTTTTTTTATAAATACATAGTATGATTCTATTCTGTACAATTTAATAGATATTGTATATCAATATAAAGTAATGTACGTCATATACATGTGTTTCTTCTAATATGTGATTTAAACTATATGAATTAAAGTTGACATAAATTATTACAGTGGAGAGCAATGTGGTTGCTTGTCAAATTTGTAATGTTACCACTCAAGCGGACAATTTAATCGAGAACAGATTTCTTTCAAAGTTTATAGAAGAAGATTGTAGTCCAGGTACCGATGACGAATCTAAAGAAACAGAAGAAGAAAAAAAGTGTACCAGCTGTCATGATAATGCTAATGCTACGAGCTGGTGCGTAGAATGCGAAGAATTTATCTGTCAGAACTGTGTTATGGTAATAAAACTATAATATTGTTATACATTTATAATGCATATGTCTCTGACAAGTGATTAGGAATTATTTTAAATTTAATGTTCTTTAAGGCACATCAAAGATTAAAAATAACAAAGGATCATACCATTAAACCAAAGGACGAAGTTGCCAATGATAGAGATAATGTTAAAAAGAACAACAAAAAGATACCTGGCTATTTATTTTGTACAATTCATTCGCATGAACAATTGTCTTTATTTTGTCAAACGTGTGATAAACTTACTTGTAGGGACTGTCAGTTAAGTGAACATAGAGATCATAAGTACAAATTCATTCATGAAATTGCTGCCGAAACACGTGCTTCTGTATCAACTTTACTTAAAGAAGTTAGGTAATTCTTTTACCATTTTATTTTATTCGTCATATTTTTACTTACTAAATATTGATACTATTATTTTATCCAAGAACTTCTATCGTCAATATTTATACTTATAATGTGTTTATGTATTTAGTTATAAACGAGTTTTACTGAAAAGCGCAATGAAAGTTATAGAGGATAGGCAAGTTCTTATTCTAGAAAAGAAAAAAAATTTAGTACAAGATATAACACAAATGGTGGTGCAGTAAGTTTTTATTATCCTTGTATACAATGTTATTTAAACAAAACGAAATTGTTCAGACCATGTAACTTTGATTCGCAGGTTAACAAATGCAATTAATACACGAGGGAAGCAATTAGTTATGCGTTTAAATGAAGTTTGTGATCAAAAGCAAAACACACTAAATGAAAAGAAAGTTGCTTTAGACCAATTATCAAAGCTTACAGATCATTGTATTCAATTTGTAGCTCATGCTTTAAAAAAGGGTACAGACATGGAATTACTTTACAGTAAAAAGTATATATAATATTTAGTTATTGTTATGGATAATGTGAATATTGTTGCGTTTATTCTACAACAGTGTATTTTCAGATCTGTTACAAGTCATTTGCAAAGAATAAAAAGCAGACGAGCTGACATTCCAAATCCAGAAATACCTGTTAGAATACATTTATCCTTGGAAAAAGTACCAGACTTGATAAAAGGTTAAATTAATATAAATAGGTGCTTAATTACGTTATTCAATATAGGAAGTTTATGGTATTCCTATGAATTAGAATTAGTTTATTCTTTCAATTATAATATCGCAGTAAAATGTTGTACAAAATTAAATGTTTCTGTTTAACTTTTAGTTGTTTCATCGATTGGAGCAATAGTCGTGGATGGTCGAGTATATCCTTCAATATCTCCTTTGGCCGGGATAAATACACCATCTATGTCATACAATGAATCTCAATCGGAGCAGAAACAAACAACTAATTTAACAAATACACCCATGGATGGCTCTCCTATAGCTGCACAATTACCTCCTACGACGCAGCAATCAAATAATATACAACAAAATTCCTATCAACAAGTGCCTCTTCATTTAACGCCTCAACAACAACAACAACAAATTGTGCCACAACTACAGCAGCCGCAGCAGCAGCAACAACAGCAATCGCAGCAGCAGCAACAACAGCAATCGCAGCAACAGCAACAAGCACAATCACAAAATTATATTCAACATTATAATATGACTAATATGCCACCTCGATCATCACCGCAAGCACATCAACCACGTGTGCCATATACAGTTAACTTTAATAACAGATTACAGCAACCACTAATGATGCAGCAACGTCCATTGGGGAGTTGTCACCAACAAGTAACATCATCTACACATCCTCATCAACAAGTTCACATAGATCAGCTTGGACAAAATACAAGTTTGCGTGGGCTTCTTGCACATAATCCTCCACCCTACCGTCCGTCTACAAATCATGTACCATATCGATTACCACCTTATAGGTATCCTTCAAATAATTCTCAACGACCGGCACCGCAACATACGTATCAGCCAACGAATACATCTATGGTATCTGGTGTAAGACTCCAACAATGTAATCCAACTTCACCATCCACGCAACATTTAAATTATTCTGTGCCGCAACCTGCTACAGCTCGTTGGCACATACCCCAAAATGTTAATCCCTGTCTTCCTTATTATCCATCCCGTCATCAAGTTACACCCCCAATGCCAGTTCCTATCAACGATACTTACAAAATAACATTAAAAAATCAACAATCAAACGTTAATCAAAAATATAATACACAAACAAGTACTGCTACTGATAATCAGCCTCAATCACAAAATTCGGTATCTGTTGGTCATACGGTCAGCTCGTCGGTACCTAAAACGCCTAGCCCTGTACCCCCTGGAAAATCAGATGAAACAGAAAAAAGTTTGGATAAGTTTTGCCAAAAATCTTTAAACGATTTAATGCTTACTATTGCAAAATTAGATAGTAATGGAATCATGGTGATACCAGAAGCCCAACGAAATCAATTGGATTCTGCTCAAGTAGATAGTTCAACTGATGAGGGAATGAATCCAATGGCTGAAAATTCATCAGGTACTTTAACATCTTAGATAAATAATTAGTGTCTAAACATTCTAAATTAAATTTGAAATAGAAATATGTAATTAATATTTGGAACATTTTTAGAAAAAACTATGATAAATAATGCTAAAGTGATAAATGCACGTACGTAATTATATGTTCAATAGATAATTCAAAAAATGCTGCAGCATCTATGACAAAGGATGATCCTAACGAAGACTGGTGTGCAGTATGCATGGATGGAGGTGATGCAGTACTATGTTGTGATAAATGCCCAAAAGTCTTCCACTTATATTGTCATATTCCTAGCTTAAAATCGTTTCCTGAGTAAGTATATAAATAGTACGGTTTATATACGCCGTGCTGTAAAATTGATGTCAAACACTTTTGTATGATCAGTGAAAGTGAAACCTGGCAATGTATGTTATGTACAAATGTACTTGATTGCTCGGATGAATCATCAGGAGAAAAAAGGCCAAACACGATGAATACGAAAGAGTTACGAATTGCACAAAGAATTGTGCTGGAACTTTATTGTCAATATGAGCAAAGTTTACCCTTCCGTGAAGTTGTTTCTAATGAGGTAAATTTAACATACAAAAATTGATTTGTTAAGAAGTTAAAGAATACGAGAGTAATTAATTCTTTAATTTGTCATTAACAGATAGTTGATTATCATCGTATTATAAAGAAACCAATTGCATTAGACGTAATTAGAGATAAATTAAAACCTGATCACCCAAATTATTACACGGATTTAAGGCAAGTTATGGCAGACATCAGATTAATGTTCAAGAATGCTTTTACATACAACCCTGTAAGTTCTATTATAAAATTCATAATTATGTTGAAAAATTATTTACCATTTTTAAATAATTCTATTTCATTTAGGTTGAATCACAAGTGTATCAAGAAGCTCGCAATTTAGAAGAATTTTTTGAGAAACTGTTACTGAAATGGGCGCCAAATTATGCTTACGATGATCCTTTTCTTTCAGCTGATAAAGACGAAGACGAGGAAGTATTCCCACCTAATAGAAAATACCGACGCATAGTGACTGATTAATTTTCATTTCTCATAATTGAACACTTGAAAGAGTGTGCTATTTTTAAAACGCGTAGCAGAATTATATTTCAAAGCAGTCCATGGATATTTCTTATTTACATTAAATATGGCTTCTCGTGTTTAATAAATTGATATAGCACATTATAGTTATTTTAAAAATACTAACAAAGCAATTGAACTCAATACAGACATTTATAATTGTAGCATAATATTGTTCGAGTTTTTTTAATTTAATAAGACAAATTTTACATCCTACTGTATGAATTTATAAATTAACGGTGAATGTGTTTTTATTGACAATTTTTGTTCATGAAATATTTGAATGTTTGTTATTATTTGTGAGATCATCACGAAGTCAATTTTTGAAATACTTATCATTGAGTTGTACAATTCAGTGATTTATTAAAAAATAATTATATTAATTCTACAATGAAGTATTTCAGTAAATACACGAGTATATTTTTTATAAAGTATTACGACTATATATATACATACTATCATTCTACTAAAATTAAATTCTATAGTCTAAACGTTATATTACTTGTTGATAGAATGTTGAACTTGTTGAAATCATTTTTTTCAGTAATACTCTGCATATAATATGCGTGGTATATAATAATTGAGAAAATGTTTGGTTTTTACGAAATTTTGTATTGAGACGGACTATATTAGTGTTCCGATTTTGTAATTACTTTCCTCTTTTACACTCACAGTTTGATTTCAATTAAGATAATTTAATCTTACCGCATTTACTTAATAGCGCTCAAACGTAGAGAAATTCTTGTCAGTTGCATTGGATTAAGTATACATACACATTATGTAAGAAGAAAGTTTCACGTAGATATGTTAACTAAAGTTATTAAGATCTTTTCGCTTTCTACTCGATTGTAATTTGTAATAAAAATTGTATAAGATGAATTAGTTGCGTCACTTTTTACATAATAAAAAAGATATTAATGTTTTAAAATGTTATTGTGTCATAAATAAAAAAACTATCACATATCAAAAAATAAATTTGTAATAAAATTAATTTGATAACAATTTTATGAAGTTAACGAATTTATGTAATATTGGAAATATAATGGATTATACTTTTAGAAATTTTAATAAAGTTACACATTTTACAAGACGTTGAAAAAACAAAAGTTAATTAGTGATTATATATAAAGTGATTCACCTAATTTAACAACCATAAATAACTTGTACAATGTAAGAAAAATATTTTGAGTTGTATTTATTCCAGCATCTTATTTTTAATTTTATTTAAATAATATATAGCGATTTCAAACAATTAAGTCATTTTAATATTTTTTAAAATATATAAACTGTAACATTTTTTTGTTCCATAGTTTTTCATAATATAAATTTTCAAATATCAGTTTTTGAAATATATAACCTTGCTTTTTTGAATTTAACGGATAACCATGCGTTTCTGTGAAATGCTGTGATTGGTTGGTGTTTTTATAAGTAACCAATCGACGTATTGTTTCCAGTCAGATTTAACTAGATAGATAGCATGCAATGGAGATATATATATAATTTTTGAACTGTCAAACGGTTTAATAGAACAAGTGTCTCGTGTGATAATATGAAAATATAGAAACTACTTTAACAAATTTGATTTGAGACGTGTTTTTCATTTGTTTGTGACATCTGTTTTTATTTGAAACAGTATATACATATCTGCTAAACAATTAAAATACCTTATAAGTCAATTTGTAAACTGTAACCATTGACTTTAAATGTATGTTTCAAATGAATTTTAATACTTAATACATTGCGTGTAATAAAGAAAAAGAATATTTTAACACGAGTTAAAAAGTTAATAAAATTAGTTGTGGAAGGTATTTATAAAACTATATACTTAATAATGTTACAGTATATTTACATTCATATTTTGATGTATGTGTACATTTATATGTATATGCAGATTAGTTTTCAAAGCATAAATAACTTTTAATCATTATTTGCACATACATTTTACTCGATTCAATACTATATGCATTAAGTTTATTATATGTAACATATTATTAAAAAAATGGATTTAGAAGCAACTATAGTTGAACGTTTGCACAAATTAAAACAATGGCAATTGGAGCAACAAGAACGACTATTAAAACAGCAACAAATGCAAAGAGAGATATTAACTCAGAAACAAGATTCTGTGTATAAAGTACTTGAAATATCATTACAAGAACTTAATCTTGATGAAAGTATGCAACATACTAATAATTCAAATAAAATTGAAGTTAATAGTGAAACTGACGATGAAGTATTAGTTATGGTGCATAATGAATCACAGAACAAAGAAAATTGTGCAGAAATGTTACATAGTAATGAATCATATACTAGTCAAGATGGAAATAATTTTGACAATTCGATTTTTCAACGACAGTTATCTAATGAAAAATTATTAAAAAAAAGCATGCCAATATCTGATACAAAAATTATTGAAAGCTCAACAATACTTTCACCAAAACATAAGAAAGAAATAGAACAATTTATTATAGATGGAGTAATACCATTGCCATGTAATAGAACATCAATTAGTAATATTTGCATCGACGATATACCAGTCCCTTCTCCCAAAAAAGATTTCCATACATTACTAGAAGAAAGATTAAAAGACTGTGAAAATGTACCTTACGAAAGACCTAATAATAATTCAGCATATAAAGTAAAAAGACCATTTTTAAGGAAAGGAGAAGGTTTGTCCAGGTTTAAATCAAATCAAGAAACACAATTACCTAAGATAAGAAATAGATCACGCAGTGCATCATTTTCTGCTGGTATACAATCTGATTCTAAACACTCTAAGAACAAAACTAAATCTAATAATATTAAACAAACTTCCAAAAATGTACAATTAACAAAAAATACGAGGTGTACAAATTCATCGCAAAAACATTTGTGCTTAAAAAATGTTCCACTGCCAAAGAAGAAAATTCGCAGCAAGTCTGAATCTAATACTTCGTGTATTCGATCGGACAATCGTATTAATAAAGTTGGGAATAATGTTGAATTAAATACTTCAGATTTTCATTCAAGAACACAAAAAGAAATGGAGGAAGTTAGAATTTTTGAATTGTTAGAAGAAAAAGCTGAGAATTCTAGCTTCTGTTCTACATCTAGTACAGTTGTTGCATTTCTACAACAATCAACACCATTTAAAAAGAAAAGAGGATGTATTAATCCAGATAACCACAAGGTTAATATAAAACAACACACTAGTCCAATAATTAAAAATCTTAAGGATTTGCCAGTTCAGAAGCCTAATGCTTACATATGTACAACTACTAATAAAAGTGATAATTCTTATTGCGATTTAAAACCTCTTGTGAACCAAAATGAGTTACATTCATCCTTAATGAAACATAATATGCATAAAAGTATAAATCCTTTGCAAAATGGTAAAGAAAACAATAAAATAGATAGAAGTATAAACGGACATGCTCCTTTAAAAAACCAAGTTCAATCGACACACAATGTACAAAACTTTTATGACATTCCTAATGTTGAGGGTGATGTGGACGTTAGTCTTCATGTTAGATTTTCTGAATATAACGAGTACAAAACTATTGGATTAACAGACACATCTACTATATCAACCGAATCAGTGACGATACAAAATTTCTGTGATGAAAATGTATGGAACGATGACCGTTCAACTCCGGAAATGTCCGATACCGAAACGATACGAATACCATTTGAAGTATCACAGTCATCTGCAATGATGCAAGATAAAACACAAAATAATAATCTCAAATTTGCGCTCGAGCAATGCAACATACAAGAATTAAATTATAAGGTAAAAAATATTGGTAGTATGAAACAAAAGGATGATTTTAATTATAACAAAGATATACATCAACATGTTTATCATAACAATGATTCAGAATTCTCAGACACTACTGATCAGTTCCTTGACAATGATAATGAACAAAGTATTTTAAATGAACATAATACAAAAAATGTAACGTCACAGGGCACTAATAATTCTCATAATACTGAAGAATTAGAGAAATGTATAGAAAAACATAATAGTAGAAAAATAGAAAATTGTGTAGATAGTTATAATAATGTATCTATAATCGAAGATCAGAAAATTGAAGAAAATTTACAAAAAATGAATGAAACCATATTCAAGTCAGAACTTTTAAAAAATCGTCTTCTGGAGCTTGAACAAGAGATTAATATATTTCGTAAAGAAAATACAGCTTTATCTATTCAACGAAAAAAATTACAAGAAGATCAGAGATCTTTACATAAGGAATATGCAGAAAAGGAAAAATATTTTGAAGATAATAAAAAACAAGCGGAAGATCGTTTACAAGAAGAAAGAAAAAAATTAGTTCGGGAAAAAACTGCATTAGAAAATAGAATGCGAGATGCACAAGAGAAAGCTCAACAAAGTAAAATAGAAAGGCAAGAAATGCAAAATTTGAAACAAGAATTGGAAAAATTAAGGGACGAAATACATCTAAAAGAAAGTAGATGGAATGCTGCACAATCCAGACATAAGTGTCAAGTGAGAATATTAAAAATGGAAAATTCAAAATTGAAACAAGAAATTGAGAAACTACAAAATTCGAAGAAAGGAAATATTAGATATAAGGGGAAATCTGGAACTTTCTCAAATACAAAGTCAATTCATCAAATTAATAAACAACTTAATATGCAATTTAAAGAAAGTAAAAAGGATAATAATTCGTTGTCGGACGACAGTGATCATAAATTGGTAAAGTCAATGATGAATAACATAACTGATACGATTGATACTCAAAATGTAAAACAAGATGAATATAATTGCAACAGTAATAAGAATGTTATGAATGAAAATGTAGAGAAATGTCGGACAAGCATGGAAAATGTTAAAAAACGTAATTTGTATGAAAATTTAATTAAAGAAGCAACATCTGATTTAACAGACATTCAAGAACAACCTTGTACTTCAGAAAATTTAAATGAATCTATGCCTGATTTAAGTAATGAGTTAAAAAAATTAAGCAGAACAATAAATTGTATTGAAGATGATTCTAAAAAATCAAGTACAGACACTAATGTTGCACTTTTTACAGATCATATCAGTCCAAATAACAATGTTCAAATACATGTACAAAATGAAAATGTACATTTAATATCCCCTACTAAAGTGTCTCATGAAAACCATGATCAAAAATTAATGCCAACACCATCTGATAAAATATCATCAAGCGCATATATGAAAACTGTGCCTTCATCTTGCCAAAGTAACTCTAACATTGATAAACAAGGTATAAGACAAATTCAACATCCGGATGGACGTGTTGAGTACTGGTATCCAAATGGAAATGTAAAAAAAATCTTTCCCGATCAAGGTTTAACTAAGTTGATATATTATAATGGAGATGTTCGCGAAACTAATAAAAATGGAGAAGTAAAATATTTCTATGCATCAACTCGTACATGGCATATAACAATGCCAGATGGCTTAGAGATTTTAGAATTCGCCGAGTAAGTTATTGCATTTAATTTCATATGTATCGTAATTTCTGATATTTAATTATCTATAAAATAACATTTTTGTTATTATACAGTGGTCAAGTAGAAAGACGTTCGCATAGTGGTATGATAGAAGTATCTTTTCCAGATGGTTCAATACGAGTTTTAGAATCCAATGGTACTGAAAACTGGACATTACCAAATGGAACATTAATTCAAACTTTTACTAATGGAGAAAAAATTCTTACTTTACCAAATGGACAACGCGAAATACATACTAAAGATCATAAGGTAATAAATAATAACATGTAGACGTAATAACTTTAAATAGGAAATAAACAATTCAGTCGTTTTATTAAAATTTATTTGAATTATTTGTAATTAAGGACCATTCTATATGTACATTTGTATAACTGATCTTTTCTATTTTAGAGGCGAGAATATCCTGATGGTACTGTTAAATTCATCTACCCTGATGGTACTCAAGAAACACAATATTCTAATGGCAGATTACGCCTTAAAGACAAAGATGGTAATCTTTTACGAGATACATATCAATAAAAACTGCAAATGTTGTGATAGATGTAATGTATGATTAAAAGTAACATCTCGTAGGGAAGACAGAATTCTATTTGAAATCATGCATATGATATACTATATTTTAAGTAAGTCCTGTACACATGTTAAAATATAATTAGACATACTATTTAAAATAATAGTTATTAATAAATTAAAATAAATGAAGACTGGATTTCATATTACCATAGCATTATGATATAAAAGTTTCAATACTAAACATTTAATAATAGTTAATCCATAAAATGAGTGTAGTTGCAAAAATGAAGATTTTAGTAAATTTTTCCATATTGTTCTGTTCTATTTTATTTCTTATCTTACCTTTTTTTATAATCAATTTAAACTTTAAATTTTGTATATGATTTCTTAATGTCTGCAGTATTATGGTAGAATATAATTACTGATACTACTGTTCCCCAATGTATAAAAAATGTATGTATCAGTTATCCCTAAAGTAGACTAACTTAAAATACCAACTATATAATACAAAATTTTTGCCGTGAGGGGGAAAGTTGTCGGGAACATCAACTATAAAATATATGATATCTTGCTTATATTTGCTTTTACAGCATTTAATTCGGTTGTCAACGGTCTTTTAATTGTTTGTTGCGTTATTTTGTATTTTGGTTCATTGAGCGTTACATCTATAATCCCTGGCTAAAATAATGTGTCGTTGTAGTGAACCAATAGAATTTCGATCACGTGACGATTTGTTATTTATATCCACTTAGTCTTAAACTGAATTTAAGTAAATAACCATAAATTTGTACAATACGGAGAATTTTAGAATATTTTAATAATTAAATATAAATTAAAATATGACATTGAAATAATCTAGAATTCTGCTTGACAATGAAATTGTAACGTAATGATAAAGGAGAACCAAACATTGAAGTACTAGGGAACTTGTTTAAATTCATTGATATGAAAAATCACAGTATTTGAATTATAACAGTATTGTTTAAGCGTGGTAACGATGTCTGCAAGTTCAATTTTAAAAAAATGGGCTACAGGGTTGAGCGTGTTAGGTGGTGGAACATTATTTTATTGGAATGTTTATGGTAACAAAGAATATTTACAGGTGCACAATTCCTGGACGACAAATGTAACCCCTTCGGTCAAGTGGGATCATAATTGGGATAGGTTATACACTTTACCATTATTATTGATAAAAACTTAGAGTGTCTTTATAATTTAGTATTGACACGAAATCAAGACTCATAATTATAAATAATCATGAATGAAACATTTTTATATTACCTTTTTTTTTCAAGTAAATTTCTGCTGAAAATTTTAAGATTTTTATGTCAGTTTTCACATTAAATGGGAAATAATAACTTCATGTTAATATATGAGAATATTTAATATAAAATTATTGTCTACGCGAATGAAATCGTTAAATAAAAATTGTTTGTACATGAGAATATTAATTTTATCAACATATTTGTAAATACATTTATACGTACTTAGTATGTATTTTTCATTCCCCTACTCATACATAATTGTATATTTATATATCATTATTTTTAAATTTTTAAGTTTGCTTATAACTGTATTTATAGACGAGATCCAAGAAGCTTAGTGAAGCCAATGAAAGGAAATAGCGTTTCAGATGAAAATGCGTACAACCAAGAATTGTCAGTGAAAAAAGCAAAAGTAATTCGGCATATACTTTTAATTCGTCATGGGCAATATAATATCGAAGGCAAAACAGATTGTGATAGAACACTTACAGACCGTGGTTAGTGTTTCATATATACATATACATGTGTATGTGTCTGATATCTACCTCGATTTGCTAATAACTATAGATGTATATAAAAGCTAGTAGAACTTAATTCTTATCTATTGATAAGAGTGGAATTTTAAATAGGAAATAAATTTAAAGTCAATAGAAGTTGTTAAAATTAAAAATTTTCATGACACAAAGGTAGACGGCAGGCTGAAGCAACAGGAAGAAGATTGCAAGAGTTAGGTTTACCGTATACTCAGATTATACGATCTACAATGACCCGAGCTCAAGAAACTGCTAAAATTATAGAAGAAAATATTAAGAATTTAGCTGTAAAAGATGATGTATTTCTTGTCGAAGGTGCACCTATACCACCTGAGCCACCAATAGGTCATTGGAAGTCAGAAATCTATGTAGGTGTATTACATAAAACCTCTTGCTATTTAAAAATTTTGATATTACATAAATTAATATATTTTAGTTTTATGAAGATGGACCTAGGATAGAAGCTGCATTTAGGAAATATTTTCATCGTGCAGATCCCAGTCAAGAAAAAGATTCTTACACTATCATTGTCTGTCATGCAAATGTTATTAGATATTTTGTATGCCGGTAAATTACTTTTCTGTATCCTATTTATATACTGATGCAAAGATATGTTTCTTTAAATTTTTTATTTATTTCAGAGCATTGCAATTTCCACCCGAAGGTTGGATGCGCATGGGTTTAAATCATGCAAGTATTACATGGATCACTGTTTATCCTAGTGGCAGAGTAACATTATTAACTTATGGTGATACTGGACACATGGAGCCAAAATTAATTTCATCTAGCTAAATTTAAAATTTATATAACAAAGAACATTTATATTGTTTAGATTTAATATTATCTAGGGATTATAAATTATATAAAAACAGTATACTTTTATTTATTTATTTTACTTGCAAAAACAATAGCGTTATAATATTTTTATAGAAAATTTTGTAAGCATTTTGAACGTAACGATTCCTTTTGTATAATCAAAATTTCTTTACAGTACTTAAAATAGTTCAAACTGATAAAAAGTATTTATATTTGTATGAAGTTTTATCGGTATATAGATACCAATGTTATGGAAAGCAATCACGCATGCTATAGAAGATATAATGGTCTAACATCAAATTATGTTTATTGTAATTTTCAATTTATAAAATTACAAAGTTTCATCTACATTGATTATGGACATTTGTACAGAATGTATTGTATTAATACAATTCATTGACATGTTAATACTAAGTTTTGTACGTATTTTTTAATTTGTACAGTATGATTATAATTAAAAAAAATGTATACCCAATAATTTAAATACAGTTTTCTAAAAAACTAATAGCAAAATTAATTAGAAAACATTTTAAATACGTTTGTACAAATTATAACTGGCTATGTAGTAGATAATTTCATACATTTTCTTGCATAGTATCGTTGTACTGCTGCTTCAAATACAGGTCCAACGGTTCTTTTCTCCCAAATTTTAAATCTTTCTTTCTTTTCTGCCTCTATTTTTGCTTTCGCAGTTATTTTAGGTGCATCTTCTTTATCATCATTCTCGCCATTTTTTGACACATCTTCATCATCTTTTCTATTTAAGGTATTTTCTGTTGTAATTTTATCTTGTGTTTTACTATGTTCAGCATCTTCAATTTGTTGCTTTGGTCTGTCATTGTCAGACTCTGCTACATTTTCCATTTCAACATCCTTATGATTTTCAGATAAAGAAGTATTTGTTTTATTTTCTACCATCTGTGATGTTTCAGTATCTGTATCACTTTCTTCTTCCACTATTCTCTGTCTGTATTGTCTGCTCCTTTTTATATTTTTATTTATAATTTGTTCTGTATTTGATGTTATCGTACTTGTTTCCTTATTTACACTTTCTACTGTACTATCTACACTAGTTTTATCTTTGTCTATATTATTCGTAATTTCAGATTCTTCTGAACTTTTAACAGTCTGTTCATATAAATGTCTATAGAACCCTGACATATCTTGCTGTTTTCTAACATCTCCAATAGCCTCCAGTCGATCCATCCTAGATTCTTCTTCTTCGAGTTTTTTAAATTCTTCTAATTTTGCCCTATATGCAGAAGTAACAAAACTTTCTTTGTCTGCGAACAATGCTCCTTCCGCTTCTCGTTCCTTTTGTACCATTCTTTCTATTCTGTGTTCTTGCTCTCGTTTTCTTCGTTCTGCTGCCTTCAAAAGGTTTTCAATATATTTTGGTTTCTTCTTCTCGTCCTTGGTTTCTTTTATCTGGCTTTTTGTACGTTCCATGTCATCGTATACTTCATCATATTGATATATTGTTGGGTTTTCCTTTAAGGCTTTCTGCATATTTAACCTGGTTTGTTTTTTAATTTTATTTTTTGCCTCTTCTGCTTTAAGAACTTTTTTAATCCAATCGGGGGCATCTTCTTCATCCGACTCATTGTCATCTGCAAATATATTGCTGGCCTTTGGCGCCACAGGTTGTTGTTTTTTAGATAAAATTAAACCATACCTAAAATTGTTTATAACAGTAGTTTTATATAAACAATGCTATTATAATTTTTCCATCATTTATTGCATAAAGATTGAACGTTTAATGTTAATGGTGCAAACTTACTGTTTTTCCTCTTTGTTGTTAGACATATTTACAAGAAATCTTTAAACAAAAATTGATAACTTTAATAAATACATGTAGCATCAAATTGCATAATTTTACGTTAAGTGAACACGTAAGCACACGTCTGAATCCAAAAACAAACAGTATTACGTATCTTTTGCAATCTTTTTAACAGTAAATTCGAATAAATGTATCAAAGAAATGAATAACAAAGTTATGAGTTATGACGACATAATCAAAAGATTAATGGAGGAATACCAACAATAATATAACAAAAATTTACTAGATTTTCTTTATTTTATATGACATATATATAATTTTATTTAATTATTTTCTTAAACTACAAAGTGTTGAATATTTTCAATCAATTTAGTTTTGCCATGTAATAATGTTGGATGCAGAAATTCACTCGTCGCCATCGAATGAAACTTCTGTATATTTAGTATTCTATGCTTTTGCTAACTTCAGATCAAGACAGTATCTGCTATCAGTGCTATCTCAGTTAATATTTTGGCGCCTAGAATGCAAAGGATGAAGCAGTGTTTACAAGAAAATTATGTAAAATTGATTAAAATAGTACATCATTTTACATAATTAAGACATTGTATTTTGGTGCTCTGTATAATTTGCATCCGAAAGTAACGAATCGAATTATATCGTATATTTTGATAAACACGTTCTGTTGCAAAAGATGTACCCTTGGAAAATCGTTAATTACCTTGTTCGATCATCGTACATTGTGTTCAGTGTTATATTCTAATTTTTTATTTATAATGTATTTTTAAGATTAACAATTACTTTAATGATTGCTAAAATTTCAATAAAATGCCGAAGAAAGTTCCGCTTAGTCGAAATGAAATACAACCTACATTTAAAGGATTTCTTGAAAGATTTAAAAGTAAACGTAACATACAAACCAGGTACGAAAAATATCTACATAATATATTCTATTAATAATTCATTTATTCAGGCTTTGTTAGATATTTTCAAGATATACTTTGAAAAATAAAATAAATAACATTTTATTGTTTCAGTACATCATCAGATATAAATTCACAGTTAAATGAAAAAACATCTAACAATTATGAATCTCATACTACCGACAAATTGGAAACAACTTCTAGAATGTCCATTATATCTATCGTAAGAAAATTTCTTATTATCTATAAAAAAAATATATTATAGAATCTAATGCGATGCAATGAACATGTTTTAGGATAGTTCTGAGGATTCGTTACTGAAAACTCCTGCAAAGATAAGCAATAACAATTTGAAAGTATCGCTTGAAGATTTCATGGAAGAGAAAACATTGGCGGTTGATGAATACATACCAAAACTTTCAATGTTTAAAAATGTACAAAAACCAAAAATTAAATTTATTTTATCATCGGATAGTGAAGATAACGAAGAAGTAAAACCATGTTTGAGTTTAAATAGAAAGAATATGAAGATAACAATTAATGATAGTATTGAAGAATCTGTATCCGGTTATTGTTCTTCGTCTGTTAACAAAAAAGATAATGTAGTTACTAATACATCTTTGCTAACATCTCCCGAAAGTGATGTCTTAAAAGCGGAAATTGAAAATAATACAATAGAAAGTGATTGTCCAAGAACTCCGAAAAAGTATATGAGGACTAAAAGAAAAGAAAATATTGTGATATCTGATTCTGATAGTCATAGTCCAGATTTTAAGAAAAGTCCCCAAATAACTCCTAAAAAAGAATGGGTTGGACCGGACTTTAAGTTAAATTTAAAACCTTTAGGTTTGGGAAAACAGTTGGACCCTTGGATACAATCTGCAAAAGAGAGATCTATAATGTCTTCAGTACCTGTAAGTATTCCAATACTCGTGAGGGACAGTGTATATAATCAATGACATTTATCGTTAGTGTATCAATTATATGCAACATAATTAAATTTTTTGTAGGTCACGAAAGATAAATTAGAAGACAGATACGAGCATTTAAAAGATTTTCAAATAGAAATTCTAGAAAAGTGTTATAACGCTTTAAACGAAATTCCATTACCTGTCTTAGAAAAGTTTCCAAATTTCAATGCGCGTACATTTCAAGATTTAAAAATTTTATATCAGCATGTTAAAGCAAAAATACGTTTGATCAAGACGAAATTAATGCATGTACAAGCGAATGAAAATCAAATGCCTGTTAACGAAAAGTTATGTGAAATTACGAATAGCTCAACATTATCTAAAATAACAGAAAATTTAAATCAACAATCAATTTTAAGTATATCGGATGACAGTTTTAGTATGTCTACCATTAATTCCACCAATGTAGAAACAAACTTTGATAACATAGTAGAACAGAATTGCACACTTTCGCCAATAATAAAAGAATCTTGTCCACCCTTGCAAAATAAGAATGGATTCCAAGAAAAGGAACAGAAATACAATAGAAATTTACATTGTTCTCCCATTCAGACTAAATCAAACGATTCTGTAGTTCAAAGTAAAAAAGGTACATTTCAGTTGAAGAGGCCTATTAAAGCAACTTTAGATACAGAAGTTTCTAAGCGGATAGGAGAACTGTGGAAGAAAGAAGAAAAATCTAGAGCCATCAATGCTGAAGAGACAATTCCTAGTTCTAATGCACACACAACTGTTAATAGTCTATATAAATCGGAAAGAATTGAAAGTAATGAAAATACATGCGCTGTACAGGAAAGAAAGGAAAACTATCAAATCAGTGACAAGTTCAAATATGGAAACACTCAAAATAATTGGAGCAATACCTTAGGTGTTCATGGTAAACCGTTTAATAATGTATGGCTATTATTGAATAATTTATGCGCCATAACATTTTATTATGTAATTATAAAATTATTATAGATGATAACTCATATTCTGAAGACATAGTTGACTGTTTAACACAAGAACTTGAACAGTTTCCAGCATTAAACAAAGATTGTAACATAAAGCCGAGTTTGAATTCATCTGGTAAATTTTAATTGCGATGTGAATTTATTTTTCTTATTTATGTGTTTATTATTATATAATTTTAATTTAATTTTGTAGGAATTGAAACAATGATGATCCAAGACACTAAGAGTATTAATAACAAGGATGACAAAGAACAAAAAAAATCTAATACAAATACTCAAATAGGAGTTTTTACTGGAGATTATAAAAATGATGGTATCAGTGGTGAATTTGACAGTTTAACATATCCTCATTCACGGGAAATGTTAAAGGTAAAACATTTTACTTTTTTTTTTTTTAAGCACCTTTTCATAATAGAACGTTTTCGACTCACAGTTTAAATCTTTATGTACCAATTGTTAATAAATTATTGTGAATATTACAAATGTATTCTCCGATTGTTTAGGTTTTCAGACAAATATTTGGATTGTATTCATTCAGGCCAAATCAGTTGCAAGCAATTAACGCTGCACTATTGGGATTTGACTGTTTTGTTTTAATGCCAACCGGAGGAGGAAAATCCTTATGCTATCAGCTACCAGCACTTTTATTGCCTGGTGTAACGCTTGTAATTTCCCCATTGAAAAGCCTTATTCTTGATCAGGTTCAAAAGCTCACATCTCTCGATGTAAGATTTTTCAAATACTACTATTTTATGTTTCTGTACATTACGACTCAATTCTAATTCAGGAACAAATTTTCTATAGGTTCCAGCAGCACATATGTCTAGCGCATTAAGTGACAATCAAGCAGAGGGGATATATAGAGAACTTTCAAAAAAAGAACCTGCTCTTAAATTATTGTACGTAACACCGGAAAAAATATCTGCATCTCAGAAATTGTGCAATTTTTTAACTACTTTATACGAAAGAGAATTATTGGCAAGGTTTGTTATTGACGAAGCACACTGTGTAAGTCAATGGGGTCATGATTTTCGACCCGATTATAAAAAATTAAAATGTCTCAGAGAAAATTATCCTAAAGTGCCGACAATTGCTCTAACAGCAACAGCTACTCCGAGAGTTAGAACCGACATACTGCATCAATTAGGTCTTACCATGCCAAAATGGTATGTAACTATATAAATATTAATATTATCGGTTGCAATAAAAGATTTGTTTCCCAGGTTCATGTCAAGCTTTAACAGGCCCAATTTAAGGTACAGTATAATTGCAAAGAAGGGGAAAAATTGTTCAGACGAAGTTATAGCTATGATAAAAACGAAGTATAAACATGATTGCGGTATTGTTTATTGTCTATCCCGTAAAGATTGTGACCAATATGCAATGCAAATGAAGAAAAATGGTATCCGAGCATTAAGTTATCATGCTGGGCTAACAGATAGTAATAGAAGCGATACCCAAAGTCGTTGGATTTCAGAAGAAGTATGCAAATTTTTTAAATTAAATAGCTTACGTTCATATTTGTTTAGAATATACATGTTTATATAGTACAACAAATTCTAGATTAAAGTTGTCTGCGCGACAATAGCATTTGGAATGGGTATTGATAAACCAAATGTGCGTTTTGTAATACACGCTGCTCTTCCGAAATCCATTGAAGGTTATTATCAAGAAAGTGGCCGCGCTGGTCGCGATGGAGAGAATGCAGACTGCATCTTGTTTTATAATTACGCTGATATGCATAGAATAAGGAAACTGTTTGAGATAGATAACAACGCAACCCCTGCTGTACTGAAAACTCATATGGATAATTTGTTTAAAATGGTATCATTTTGTGAAAATAAAACAGATTGTCGTAGAACATTGCAACTGAATTATTTTGGTGAAGTGTTCAGTCGAGAACAATGCATTGCTAATAAAGCAACATCGTGCGATAACTGTAGAAATAAAGTGAGTGAAATTTAAAATCACATATTGATTACAGTTGTTTTGTATTTGAATATTTTATAAAATTATATAAAACTTTTTAGGATGATTTCACTATGCTAGACGCAACAGATCATGCGAAACAAATTATGAAAGCTGTACGTGATATTAATCAAACGAAACAATGCAATCTTACATTAGTATTTCTTACAGATATTTTTAAAGGATGCGACCTCAAGAAAATTAGGGATTCAGGTATAAGATACAATTTTGTATATAACTTTTATACAATGCGGAATATAATTACTAAATATTTATATAGGCCTTACTAAGCATCCTTTGTATGGTCTTGGAAGATCGTGGAACAGAGGCGATATAGAACGTCTACTGCATTACATGGTACTTAAAGACTATTTAAAAGAACAAATGTATATCAATAACGACATTGCTTGCGCCTATCTAAAAATTGGTCCAAATGGTGGTGAACTTATGACCAAACAGGATGTAAAGGTAAAAACGATATACGTATAAACAATTGATTTTGCTTAATGAAAGTAAAATATATGTACAGTACTATGAATTGTGCTTACAATAGGTTTTGATTCCTATGAGGTCGTCAAATAGCAATTCTGCTGCAGTGGCAACGGTGTCCACAGTTACAAAGAAAATTGATAAAGTTGTTTTGGAATTACAAAATCGTTGTTACAAGGAGTTAATGGAAATAATAAAAGGGATTGCCGGGGCGCTCGATATTTCAACATCCTCCGTTATGAATATGATAGCAATCAGAGCTATGAGTCAAAAACTTCCAGACAGTGAGGAAGCTATGTTACAAATACCACATGTTACCAAAGCAAACTTTGAAAAGTATGGAAAAGCTCTGTTGGATATAACGCAAAAATATGCCGCAGAAAAATATGGTAAAATACCATTACATTATAATATAATAGTATTTTGTTTATATTGCATATGAAACATTTTTCTGGAAAAGAATAAAGAGAAATGATTTCGTGCATTAATTAAAATGGAATACTCTGCATTTATTAATATTTTTAATATCATTATTTGCAGTACTACTAAGCGAGGAAAAATCTGATAGTAACGATGATGACGATGACGATACGTGGAATAACAGTGCTATTTATTCCGATAAATCTACTAGATCCGGTGGTAGGAAGCGCAAAGGTAAAGGCAATTACCGAAATAGTACTAAAAAGTTCAAGCGGGCTACATCAAGGTAAGATACAGATATACAATGATTCACAAAAGCATCTGTACATATATCAGGATTAAATTTATTCAACTTATTCTTATTAACATTACATTGTTTTTATATTTTTGTTACATTGACAGTACATGGGGGAAAAAAGCTGCTACAACAAAAGCAGCTACAACAAAAGCAAAAGGCACAACTTCAAGTAAAGGGCCAGGACTTGTAAATTTTACCCAAAACAAAGAATATCTGTCGAATCCACATAGATATGTGCAGTTTAGTTAATACACCCATTTGTATTATATATTTGTGTTTACAGGCGTGTTGGCAAGATTGTGACTGTTCTATGTAAATCGGAATATAAACCAGGATTTTAAAAGTCAAAATAATACAACAGTATCATGTATCATTTTTGTAACAAGTATTCGAAGAACATGTATAAATACGGAGTTTTGTAATAAAATGATTTATTTTTAAAAATGGGTTTAAAAAATTATGTGTGGATTTAAATGCGCACAAAAATATTAGAAAATAATTTTCACATTTTTTATCAATCAATATACTTGTATATAGATTTGGGTCGTATTTATGATAAATTTTAAATATATGTATACATATTCTCAAAAGAAGTATTCGCTATTTAAACGAATAAATAATACTTTATTACACTAATGTAATTTTTTTAATAAAGCTACGAATTAAAATGTAAATTTAAAATTAAAACATCAACAATTTTTCTACTAAATAGTATACTATTTATAATGCTGGTTGCATTATTCTTGACTGACGGTCTTCATTTTTTATATGTTTTTTTAATAAATCCATAATTTCGTTGTCAAATTCAGGCGGAGTAGGCTTTGCACCTGTAGCCCAGTAAAATATATCCCAATCGTTTGATGGTAAATTTATGAGACGATCATATAATTGTAATTGTTCGTCGTTAAATTTAGATAAATATTTCTTGGCAAACGTACTTAAAAGAAGACCATTTTCCAACATACCACGTTTACGCGATTGATATATTAGCCTGTAAAAAGAAATAACTAAAGTATTTCGAAATTATAATTTCATGTTAATTGATAGTTTTGTTATTACCTAGCTTTCTTAACGTCTATATTCTCTGCATTACGTTCAACGTACGGCGGTATATTTGGTTCATGACCTAGCGGATGAACTATGTCTTCTACTTCATCTTTATATCTCGCACAACTTGTCGAAATACTTTTTACAAAGTATTCAGGTTTAACCTTAAATTATTGATTAGTTGATTTAATAATAATAACATAACTATTGTTTAATATGATGTATATTTTCGCTTACTATTGACGTAAGAGATTTCACGAAAATATTCATTCTCGTTACTTTACTTCTTATGTTCAAGAACGAAGTTTATTGTACTTTGTACGATTATGTTAAAACAGTTACGTCCTCATAATATATTGTACAAGGATCAACTGATTTCATTACATATACATATAACTATCTATGTTGGATATATTGTTATTAGTTATTTGTTAATTTGTATTCGCGAATTTCAAACCGATATTTTGTTTACATCTATAAATTTACATATTATAAATGATTTTTATGAAACTCGTGTTACTAACCTAATACATCTTCAAAATATACACAACTTTGTTAAATAAACTTAAATTCAATCGTTTAGTTTAACCGGTTGTAAATAAAATGGATAAATATATATATAATATACAGTTTTCATAATGAAAACAATAACGTAATGATATTTTCATTTTGAAATGTGTATTTGCGTGTTTCGAATTATTATTTATTTACGTAATTGGCAATAATCGAAAAAATTTTTCTGATTATTGATCACGCGGATCACTTCTGTTTATGTTGAATACTAATTAATTTATAAATAATAATCATGTATAAAGAAATAAACAAAAACAAAAGTTTCAAATCAGAATATGAAAACTTTACTGCATCGTCGTTACAAGCTATTGATTCAATTCTTCCTATGGATGATACAATATTAAACAATATTGAAAATGACGAGAGTTTAAATAATCTTGCTCATGAATGGACCAAGTACGATACGTTTGAATTTCATGAAAATTCCAAGAAGTCACCATCTATTATCAATAATAAAGGAGACGAGAGAACAGAAATTATAAAGGAAGATGCCTTGTATACAACTTGTAATGTATCGAGCAAAAAAAATAATCTATGGCAAGACGAAACATTTATAAATAAAGTATGTACGCAATTTGTTTCTTCCGATGAAAGAGGCAGTACCTTGGAATGTCCCACTCAGGTTATTTATTTTTTAATAATAATAACTTGTATATATTTTATATATTTTAATTACTTTACTTTTCATTTGTTATAATTTTAAAATAGATATTTACAAAAAAATGTGAAAATTGTACAGAGAAAGAAAGTTGCACACCAAACATAAATTCAATAAATAAGCAACAGAATGTAAATTTATTAAAGAGAAATACGATTGACCACAGCAATGATATACCATATAAAGTGCATTGTTCGGAGGATATGGAAACAAATGAATGCTATGTAAACAATGATTACCTAGATTCAACAAAACATTGTGCATTTTATGGTTTACCGGATACAGTAAAGAAGCTTTTTTTACAAATTAGGGGCATTGATAAACTCTATAGTAAGTATTTCATTTGTCAGGATTAATAAAATTCTCGTTATTCGTTGTATTCACAATAATTATTTATTTCTTTTAGAATGGCAAGATGAATGTTTAAATCTAGATGCAGTAAAACATAGAAAGAATTTAATTTATGCTCTTCCAACAAGTGGAGGTAAAACATTAGTTGCAGAAATATTGATGTTAAAAGAACTTATATGTAATAAAAAAAATGCAATGTTTATACTGCCATTTGTTGCTATAGTACAAGAAAAGGTAGGTATTAATAGATAATTAATTTAGGAAGGACTTATCTTTATTTATAATATACAGGTTCAAGCAATGGCTCCATTCGCATTACAATTGGATTTTCTAATCGAGGAATATGCAGCATCGAAAGGAATTTATCCACCAAAAAAGCGTCGTAGAAAAAACAGTATATACATATGTACTATAGAGAAGGCATTAGGTTTAATAAACAGTTTAATAGAAGCAAATCGTTTCGATGAGGTAAGAAAACATATATTTTAAAAATAATAACACTGTATATTTTGCTTCAAACACACTTGGAGAAATAGAATTTAGTCCAGTTTTTGAAAAATACAAGTTTTATTGCAAATTCATGCTGTGCAATTTTAAATATATTAGATTGGTACTATAGCTGTGGATGAAATACATCTGCTTGGCGAAGGTGGAGGAAGAGGTGCTACATTAGAAGTTCTTTTGACAACGGCATTATATGTTAATGGTAAGGAAAATGTAAAACTATTGCAAACATTTCTTAAATAACATATTTTTCTGAACAATTAATTTCTATTTTAGAGAATATTCACATTGTTGGAATGAGTGCAACAATAGGCAATTTAGAGGAAATAGCAGAATTTTTAAACGCGGATTTATACACTGGAAATTTTCGGCCTGTTGAAATTAAAGAGTATATCAAATGCGATGATAATATTTGGTTGCTTGATATGAGAACAGAAGAATTATTGACGGATTTAAAAAAAATTAATTATCGCGTAAGTTCACGTATATTATTCAATTGTATAATTAAAAAGTATTCGATAATCGTCATTATTGATTGTTTAATTAGTATTCGAGTGATGCGGCAGTCATAGATCCAGACAGAATTGGAGGTTTGGTAATGGATGTAGTACCAGGAGATTCGTGCCTTATATTTTGCTCAAATCGTAAAAATTGTGAAAATGTTGCTTTGTTGTTAACGAAAGTTCTGTTCACGTAAGATATTTTTTTCTGTAAATTAATTATTTTTTAGTAGTCATACATTTGATGTGCATAAATATTTTTAGATCGTTGAAAAATTGTAAAAAGGACGAGAAGCAGAAGTTAGTGAGTGCACTTGAAACAGAAGAAGGCCTTTGTCCAATTTTACGTAGAACTATACAATTTGGCGTAGCGTATCATCATTCTGGTCTCACATCCGAGGAAAGGCGGTTATTGGAAGATGCTTTTAGAGTAGGAACTCTTTGTGTAATATGTTGTACATCGACATTAGCAGCTGGAGTAAACTTGCCAGCAAGAAGGGTACTCTATTTATTACCCATTCTTTATAGCATGATTAATTATTTTTTTTAATAACGAAAAATATAACAGGTGATATTAAGAAGTCCATATATTGGTGCCGAGTTTTTGAGTTTGAGTAAATACAGACAAATGATAGGAAGAGCCGGTCGTGCTGGTATGGGCAATATCGGAGAAAGTATACTTCTATGTAAAAACAACGAATTACTCAAAGTAATAATAAATTATTCTGCTAGAATACGTTATATAAGTAGAAAATGCAATAATTGTGTATTAATACTTATTGTATAGGTAAAAGAACTTTTACTATCGAAAATGGATGATTCTTTAAGTACATTACACCTAAACAAAGACAGAGGTATAAATAACTTAATTCTGAGTGCTACATTGTTTTCTATAGCAACAAGTAGATCTGAATTGCATAAAATAGTAAAAAGAACGTTACTCAATATTCAGCAAAAACGTTTAAATGTAAATGTTACGCAAATCGTGGACGAAGTGATAATTGCATTCTTAAAAAGTGGTGTAATAAAAGTGAAGAGTATAGAAAATAATATTGATGAGTTTAAACCAAATTTAAGTGTTGCTATTCCATCGCAAGGTATATGTTTCAACGATAAAAGTATAGAAATAAAAGGGAAAAAGAGAGTAGCGCTAACAAGTGAAACTAAATTAGAACTTTGTGACCTGGGACGAGCAGCTATAAAAGGCAGGATTAATTTCTTTAACAATAAAATTAAATGAACACATTTTCAGTTTTCATTACTTTGAATTTGTTTTCTCATTATAGGTAGTATAGACATGCAGTGTGCATACACATTATATCAGGATTTAAAGAGAGCACAAGAACATTTAATTCTTCTTGACTATTTACATTTGTTGTATATTCTTACTCCATATGGGGTGGTATCTCAATTACAACCAGTTGGATCAATTTATTATGATGTGGTAATTATATTATAGCTATAATTAAGGTTTATCCTTGTTAAATGATAACATTTATTTTATATTTGTATAATATTTTTAGGTAATTAATTTATCAGAAACACAAATGAAAACAGCAAGACTTCTTGGGATAAATGAAACAACTATTAGTAAAATTCGCAATGGTTTAATACCTAAAGTAAGTGTATAAGTTTTTGTTCGCTTGTATTAAATTTATTTTTATATTTGAATTATTTTGTACGTAACAGAATTTAGAATCAAGAGTGGTTCAAAGATTTTATGTGACATTAATATTGTATGATTTATGGACACACCATGCAGTTTACACAATAGCGGACAAGTATCAAGTAAATAGAGGTATTATACAAAATCTTTTGTCCGCTGTATCATCCTTTGCATCTTCTGTGGTTCGATTTTGCCAGGTTGGTTAATAAGCGGAATTACTTTTATATTTCAGTATTTTGTAAAATTTTATAATTGCTTCAGGAGTTGGATGAATTTTGGGCGTTCAGAGATTTGTTAAATGTGTTCAGTAAAAGATTATCTTATTGTTGTCCTTCGGAGTTGGAGGCATTGATGGAGTTGCCGCTAGTGAAGATTGTAAGGAAATTGATCTAATCGTGTTTATTACTAAAAAATATTTAATAAACTTAAATTGCAATAATGTTTCATTTATCAGGGTAGAGCGCGCCAATTGTACAAAGCAGGTTATAGAACAGTACAGTGTATAGCTAAAGCAAAGCCAATGGATTTACAAGAAAGTATTTCATATTTAAGTAAAAACGCCGCAAACAAAATAATTGAAGTTGCCAAAGTAATTATTTTCGACGCTAAGTTTATAGTATTTTCGGTATTCGTATTATTATTTTTAGCTTTATTTTGGTTACATTTTACAGCTGTTAATATTGGAAAAGATAGAAGATTTAAAAGACGAAGCAGACGACGTTTTAGATGGTATACATATGGATAGTTTGAAAATGTTTGATTCGTTGATTGTGTAATAAGTTATTTATATAATATGATAATGTTTAATTATTATTTTTTTTATTATTTGTATTTGTTAGAGACATTTTCGTTTATTGAATTGTACAAACTGTAATGAATTTTACACGACATTTAAATAAAACGTCGTTGAGTCGTCGACGGCGCAGGCGCTGTCTTGGGCATCTCTCCCCCCAGATACCTCGAGTGCCATTGGTCGAGCAGCTCTGGTTTTGGTGGGGGGGGGGATGCCGAGAGTTCGTGCGACACAGCTGATCCATAACTCATCAGTCTTGTTTCGACCAGTGGTCTGAGCGTCTCTCTCTCTGTGTTTGATCTTATCGTTACATCGATCCTTACATACAGAATACGTTTGGCAAATTTCCGATCACGGGAATCCCAAAGTATTTAAAGCAGTATTATTACATACAAACAAACTGTCCCATTTAAGTTTCCAAGTATGATCGCAAACTTTCACTCAATTTAATAAATTGAATAAAATCAATTTTCTTGTACTATGTATTTATTGCAATTTGTGCCAAACAGATCAATGTGTTTTAAGAATAGCACATTGTTTAAGCAGGCACATACATTAAGTGTCCAAAATGTGTTTGATGTCATTTTAAGGAAATGCGAATATTAAAACATTATGGAACACAATATATATTACACAATATGTAATATATACTTATGTACAAATATAGTTATTTTATACAGACAATGTGAATAAAAAAACAAAAAGTAATAATTTTATTAACAATACATCGTAATAGTATATGCAGTCAATAGCGCTTGGATATGATTTCTTGATTTCTATCTTTTTTTGTAGAAACATGGTTTTAAGGTAATAGGAATTAATTTACTTTTCTTGCCACTTATATCTTTCTCTTTTTTGAAATCTAAAAAGTAGAATAAATTATGGGACAAATCTTTCCAGGTACATTTGAAACCATAATCGTCTAATATTTTTATAAAATCTTCTACTCGCTCGAAGCGACTTTCAACCTCAGCTATTTTTAAAATACCACTGAAATGTATTTTGTAGATAAATTTTCATTATAGTAAGACAAACATTATATTAACATTTAAGCTTAATATTCATGTTGTATTGGATTTTATTAACACTTACCCTTTCTTAAGAACCCTATTTGCTTCTACGATGTAATCTTTAAGATTGGTTCCCATAAGAGACAAACAAAAGACAACAACATTTATTCCATTTGTTAATAAAGGAGTGTGTGCAATATCGCAAACTGTTACATTCTCGTTCAAAGAAACAAAGTCAAAGGAATGGACTTTATGGTTAACGGAAGAAGCAAGCCTGGCTTCTCCGCATCCAAAGTCAGCAATAATGTATTCCTTTGGCCTGTAACACGAAACAAGTAGTTAGTGATTTGTAAAAGTGATTAAAAATGAATCTATGCTGTACAAAATTTTATATTAACATTTTCTTAATCGACGATATAATAATGTCAAGAGGATTCAAGGGCCATTGTTCAACTTGTTGTTTATATCCCTCGTGATACGCCTTAAATGCATCTGGATCATCTTTGAAGTACTTTTTAGATTCAGAACTTTCATTATTGTAAAGCGTTTCGTTTAAATACCTAAATCTAGATGCCCTTAATTTAGCCATCATTTTTTCCCTTAGGGATAACGGTTTTGTATTTTCTGATTTTTTCTTGCTTTCTTTCTTTTTTACATCGAGCATTTCTTTTAGTCGTGTAATGTCTAATTTATGAGATCCTGCAACTAGTTTAGGGCTATTGCTTTCTTCTTCTGCAAAAGATTGCATCTTTTTCTTATGTTTTTTTACTACCTTTGCATCGGTAAAATGAACAAAATTATCCGGTGTATGACTTTTTCCATCCTTATGTGCTTGCTTCAATTTCCTTTTAATTTTCTGTGTGTTCTTTTTAAGTTTGCTATTAGAAATTAAATTTTTATGTTTAGAAATAATAGATTTACGTTTATTTTTGAAATGTTCCTTTTGTTTTTTCTTCTGAAATAAATATAGGACAATCTACACTTAAAAACAATGTAAGTATGAATGATAATATGTACGGAAATACTGCACAATTTACCTTGAAAATATTTCTACCGCCATTCTTTGTACCGGAAGTATTATTTTTTATTTTTTTGCTCATTCCCTTTATAAACGATAATGAATTATTTACCTTTAATAACAAACTTTCTTAACCTTTATTTCACGCGATCTAATATGTAAACAGTAGTGTAACAATCGTGCCGCCATCTAGCGGCGAATGTGTAATATATTCGTCCACCATTTTAATAAATCAGTGCCTCTAATGAACCACTGCTCGATAATTAACCGATTACGCTTTTCCTGGGATTAATTTATGAACTTTTAGAGTTTAATAACATAGCTGAGACCCTTGACAATATCGAAGGATACCTGTCGCAGCCACTTCGTACCTTATTAAATAGTCATTAACCAATATCGGAAGTCGGCACACTGTTTCGGAACTTCTGACCTAACGATTAGAGAACTATCGCTAATAACTAATTAATTAGAGCGAGGACCGTTGCAAAATCGGTCCTCGAATGTTGCCAGGGATGTCTACTCGGTTCTCTAACAGCGGAAATATCTGTGTTATTGTAGAAAAGTTGATAATTCATCGATTAAAGCAGACGGTAATAGAGCCGTAAATGTTCCGACTTCCGATATTCGTTAATAACTTGCCAATTACGGGCGGAATGGTTGTAAAAAGTATCCTTGAATCTAGCCAAGGGTCTATACTACGTTCTTCAGTTCTAAAGGGTCATATTTGAATCCCAGGGAAGGAGTTATTAATGAATAATCAAGGTACTGCGTAACAGGGGTAGCAGGAGTGGGGGAACCTGTGCTCCGGATACCTCCTATAACATTCTGTGATCCTGGCACGATTTTAGCAGTTCGAATCCCTGATATTAGATGGCGATACTGTTTCACGGCACTTTTTACCGCAATAATTAAAATAATTTTCGCTTTCCAGCAGTAGTCGTCCGTAACTAATTAGACGAAAAAAAATGTATAGAAAAATGGTGGAAGAATTTGATTAGATTCGAATAATATTTCCAGTAGTTATAAGAGATTATAAAACTGTAGGATTTATTAAAATTAAGAAATTGATGGGAAAGGTAGTGGAGAATGTAAACAAAACATTCTGTTCAAAATAAAAATTCATTTTGTGCTTCTCCATTTAGAATTAAATGATCATGATGCGACTTGAATTTAGCTCCAGGACGGAATGTTCGAAACGAACATTTTCATTTGTCTGTTTGCTAGAAACCGTGACGCGATATAAACAATTACAATTACTTGTCGGTTGATTTCCGCGTTTCTTTGATACAGATCATTGAAATGTCAGTTTATTCGACGGATTCCTTAGAGAATAGGAATGAAATTTCGCCGAGGGAGCAGGAATCATTGCACGAATTCAGCAATGATTTAAACCTATCGTCGATTAAAGTTTCGACCGATTTATCACAGGATGTACCATTTTGTTTAGAACCGACCAGTGCATTATTAACTCGGGGGCAAGGTAAGCTTGGAAGTACTTGCATACAATTATAATTTCTACGCTTTACGTTTAAATCTGTTTACGAACTATATTTTCGAAAGGGAGTAACGGATGGTTGGAAATGACTTTTTTCCCGTAAACGTTTCAGATGCCGGATCTAATGAAACCGCGAGGAGGACAGCAGCCAGTAAGAATGCGATAATTGCGAGCGAAGGAATCGCAGACACGTCGAAGCGACGTCCGCCCCGGCGCCCGGCGTCTTCGAAGAACAGGAAACGAGACGTCACGAATCGTGTCACAGCGCGAGTATACACGCATAATCGAAAACAGTTTGATAACTATTAAATCGGAGAAAAATAAAAGGAACTATGTATTTGTTATATTTTCGAAGGTGAATGGTTTAAAAGGGGAAGAAGGAAAGGTTAGGGTGGGATCAGGCTGTCGGAAAGGTTCCTCGAAGACGTTCTCGGCGAAACGAAGTTGCTGTTCGAAAGGAAACCCGATGATACCCGCGAAGCCGAACAAAAAGCTTGGCAACGTGCTCGCCCCGAGGATGATTCAGCAAGCGAGGAAGCCGCCGCGCTCCTATTTGGAGCTTTATCGCCAGAGATTCAGTTAGTCCGAAACGAGATGACGAGTTCTTCGCGAAACCTTTGGGGAAACGCCGGGATCAAGGGCGGGGGAGGGAACCGCGTTTACGCTTTAAACGGCAACGGAACGATGCAATTTTATCCAAGGACGTTTACTTTGCTCGTGATTAGATGTCGTTTCCACCCGGGCGATATACGTGTACACGCGTACACACTCGCACGAGGGTAGCCTTCTTGTTTGTTCGTTTGTTTCTTTACTCCCCACGATCTCCTGCTTTATTGTTATTTGGACGCGTTTAATTGTTCCGTAACCCGAAGAGGGAGAAATTTTATTGCCGCGAGGGCTCGATCGTAATAAACCGGTCGCCAAAAGTCTTTCTCCACTTCCGAACGAAACGTTATTTATCGTAAGTCGCGGTTATGGTCATATCACAGATAATTTTTCGGTTCCTGGTCGGTTCGTAATCGATTTTAACCGTGTATATTGCGCGTGTGTGTGTTTTTGTCAGGTGGAGCACGGTACAACCGATCCCCGGAGGGATCCACCTTGTCGGTTTACGGAGACAGCCAACAAGAGCAGCTCACAGACGACGATACGTGTTTACCGGCTACCCCGAGGGACGATCGCAGCGAGTTAAGTTTTTACCGTGGTCTAATCGAGGGATCCACCAGCGCAGCAGGATCTTCCGAAACCGTACATCGAGACGCGTTGGAAGACACGAAAAGGTTCCGTGGTCGCTTGGAACGCAACGCGATGGCCGACGATAAATCCAAGAGTCCCGGCTACCGGCCTTACACCATCGACGAGTACAAGACTTTGCCAATACCAAAGCTCGATCGATCTCTTGGGCCCGATAAAGTTGAAATGCAAGCGAAGGTACATAGGTGGTCTATCGCGATTTACTATTTAAGCGATACAATGATCTTGAAAATATCAAGCATCTGTTAGCGACTGCTTAGTTTTAAGGGACGTCGAGGGCAATTAGCTCAACGATTCATGATAGGGACTTAGCCTGCGTGGGACCCAAGAGGGTTGCAAGGACACAATACAGATGCCTGTCGATGGCTGGTGACTCGAAGTCACTCAGCTATCGGGTGTCATAGAATTGCTTGTTGAAAGAAAACGTAGGTATGTTAGAATAAGGCAAGCGACCCGCCGTTGTCTTGCTTTAAAGAATAGGAACTCTGTTCCTCGAGGATCTGGGGAAGGCAAGGGTGCCTTCTGGTAAGAGGACTAAGCTTGACCTCTTGCCACTTACCCCAGAACCGGGACTGAGTAGAGTTGTTGCAAAATATCTAACACATCCTTCTCTGGGCAATACATAGTCAGGTAATTCTTACAAAGCGTGGAAAGTATGCACCATTAGCCTTGGAAATTAGGAAAACGCTCGAAAGTTTAAGGGTCTTGAAAGGAGAATTAACCCTTTGCACTCCGAATTATATTCCAATTTTGTTACCAGCGGCTTGCGATGCTTATAAGAGTTTTATTTGAAATTTACCTGTTAAAATAAGTGTTTTGTTTACACTGTTGTATCTTGCAATTTTCAAGTGTACGATATCTGTTTGGTTTGGACTTGAAAAAATGTCGAGTGGGACTTGACGAAGGAGCTCCTGAGATAAAAATTCACGTTAAATCACACTCGACATAGGAGTGCAAAGGGTTAAAAGAAAATTCATTAGATACGCCAAGAGCCAGTAGTAGTAGAATCGTCAGCTTTCTCGAGGTTTACTTTATTTTCGAACGGTTCGCGTCACGCGTCACTTACGTACCATTCGTAAAAGAGGAATTGCATTTTTGACGAGGACGCGACTATACGGACGAAACTCGAGTTAGCAGAACTTGGAACAGAGACATCTTGCAATCTTGTTTTCTTGTCCCACCGGAAGTTAACCTGCCGGAGTCGAGAAAGCCAAGTAGAAGAAACTTGGGGTTCCGTCGACCCATCGCAGTTTACAATTTCACGGGAGACGTAAAGCGAGTTAGCTTGTCGGCCGTCTTCGTAACTTCAATCTAATAAACATGCGGCCGTTTCCTCGCAGCTACCTCATCATTCGTTCGTTACATACTCGTTTCACCGAATTCGCCTGAAAAATTCTCGATTCGAATACATCGAGTAGGAGACAATAGTCTCTTATTAGGTAAAGACGCTACGAAAGGTAGTAAATTGATCGAAAACGCCTTAATTTTATCGCTCTACCATTCTCGTCCCAGAAGATGAACTCGCAATACACAAACACACACACGTACAGACCATCACTGTACTAATCGGTAACGTTGAATATCCTCGATATGTACGGTACATAGGCGTGCTTCGAGCTCGAACTACGTTGTAACAGAGGAACGAATTGTTTTGGGAAAGTCGGCCGAAATGCCGTTCTTTCGAGACAGCATTCTAGGCAGCGTGCCGTTGTAGGTTCGGTAGTCGCGCGCAGACACACTAAATTCCAGAAGCCTTTGAACTAAATACTCCAGACCCGTGGAGACGGCCTGTACATTTTTCAGAGCTGGGTTAGGTTGTTCCTGGACTCGCGAGCATCATCCCCGTAGACACGTATCCGCGTTCCTGCTGGATTCCAAGGGAACCGGAATTCCATCGACTCGCGATCGCGCGAATCCTTATCGCGGAAAACGAGTTTACCGGACTGGAAATTAACCCTTTGCGCTCGGCTGTCCCCTCTGAAGGGTCATCCAGCTAAGAATTTGAATGTACACTCCAAGGAAACACAACGATATTATTGTTTTAAACTGATTATATAAAAAGAAATGCGTTTGCTTGGATATTTACTATTATATTTCGTAAGAAAGTGTGCGTTGAGTTAGTAGTAGGTGGTGCAAAGGGTTAACATTTCATACGACAGTTTGTCTATTAAGGTATGATTCCACTGAGGCAACACTATGCGACTTGTAACATGCCACATGTCGTTCGGTAACACTATGCGACCTGTAGCATGCTACTGTCCTCCGCTCACTTGAAGTCCCGCGGAAGGAATGCGGGAGAAGTAGAAGGGGCACACGTATTCCCACGCACACATTGGTCTCTAGCTCGCTATTCGTCGCGGCAGTTACACACACATGTGGACTGCCTGAGAGCAAGGGAGCGAGACAGATAAATGGGCGGTCCGACTCCCCTTGCCCCTGTGCCGTCTCGCGGGACTTCAAGTCAGCGGACCACTGTACATGTCATTAACTGACAACATTGCTCGACATGTTCAAGCTACATGTTGCCTCAGTGGAATCACGCCTTTACGCTCGTAATAGAAAGAAACGTATAGGCTCTTTAGATCTAATAGAAAATCGTAACTATTCGCCTAGGTACACGTTGCAAGTTTGCGACACGAGTTTTTCGGGCGCGATTCCCGATTCGAAAGATAAGGAATTTATCAAAGCTTGTTTCTTCGCACATTTCTCGTCCATTGTCTCGCTATTATCCAGGATCAGCGAGTAAGTTGGTAGGAGCGCGTCGCACCGATATACGGGAATAAATTTGTTCCCGGTGGACGCGCCGTCGAGGACAGTTTAAACGAAACGTCGGGTGAGGAGGCTGGGAACGAGGGTAGGCACACCATAATGCCCATAATTATACTGACTCCTGAGAGGTTGTATTAATATTGCCCGCGGTTTAACTCGCCACGATGTTAACGTGCACGCTAACGGTGCGGTTTCGCGGCAGAGTGACAGAATGCCTACTATACAGAGATAAGGGAAAGAAACACGAAACGGGATGACAGAGAATCAAAATTAAACTGTGTTCGATCGTTTAATTTTTAAGGATAGCATCGAACCTCCTCCCTTCTTTTCTTACTCCTTTCCATCTCTCCACCCACTCAACCTTTTCTCTCGTTCCCTTTGCGTCCTCCTCTTTCCACGAGCATTTGCATAATCTAGTTTGCGCCGGATTCCAGGAGGGGGGAGGGGGAGTGTCGGCACTCGACGATTTTCGGTGTAGCTCGATCGATCGATCTTACTAGAGTTTTAACGGGAGAACCAGCTCCGGATGGAGAAGCGTATCCGTATGTGTGTGTGTGTGTGTCTGTCAGACGATTGTGACGCGCGTGCTCGCAAAACTTGCAGCTAGTCGCGCGGGAGGTTTCGTAAAAAGTAAATAAAGCCCGCGGCATCGCCGCGCGGCGAGCCCTGCGGCGAGTTTAGTCTGCGGAACTTTCATCGAACCGATGCCAGGCGAGCTTCAGGGATTGTTTCTTGTTGCAGAGAGAGTGGCTGACGCGGCAAAGGTCATACGGGAACTCGGTTAGCGCGCATAATCGCCACCGGATACTGATGCAGGCGCAAAAGCTCAAGGTATCTACCACGCGTCAAGCGCACGTTCATCTATGCGTACACGTCGCCAATGATCGCTCATCGTTTGAAAATTTTCAATCGATTTTCAAACCAGAACACCAAACCGAACCAAACAGTGCCAAAACAGAATGTCGAGGCGCGAAAAATCCGATGCAGCCACGGAATGCAATTTCGACCCGTAACAGCTTCGCATAACGCGAAATGAATTCTTCGCGATCGCGAATTCTTTTAAACACGGATAAGATAATCGTTTCTGTATGAAAGTCAACAAACCGTCATACCCGGCTACGTATAATGTAACAACGCAGGGAAAAAGTGATAGCCGAGACGCGACAGGACGATGAATTAACGTCGTTCGGGTACTCGGTCGTGTTACGATCGATACTTAATTGCCAATTAGAGGATGCAGAAATGCATTGTGACGAAAAGTGGTTCGTTTTACTCGTTCGTTGCGCGAAACTCGAGCCACGGTAATGGTTCGCTGGAAGATTTATAAATGAAATTAATTACCTACCTACCACTTCTGTGTTAACAATGCCTCGCGTCGTCTTTTTTTTTCCATTCGCCACTCCGTTTCGTCTTTCCTCGTTGACGCGCGTCTCTTGCTCTCTCGTTCCAAGATCGTCAACGTTCGCAGCATCCTATCGTCGAATACTAAATTTATTTTCCCGCGAATACGAGCTTGTACAATTCGTTCTGAATTAAAAATGATCAGATTTTTTCAATAACAATCCGAAAGCTGAGTCGTTTCATCGCAGTTTGCTAATTCGACTCCTGTTATCACGTACTCGTCCGTAGCCCCGTGGTATGCAAAATTAGCCCTTAACCGTCAGGTTGTATTAGATCTAATCGTAAGATGCGAATGGCGTGGAACGCGCTGGAAAAGGACCAAGGCCGGCCCGGCAGAGACCCGGTATCCGAACCTAAATCCAATTATATGCACAAAGCGAGGACTGCAGGCCGCAACTACCACAAGGACAGGGGAGGAACCGACGCGAGGGCACGACGAGGGCGAGAGAAGGCACAGAAATTCTCTACACGTGGATATAAACCTACGTTGCGTCTATGGAAAGGGGGAGCCTAACCCGTGACTCGCCTACCGCCACCAGAATTACATTTTCCTTACTTTCGTCCTTGCGAGAGTGGCCTCCGCTTGTATCCTCGTCTGTCTGCTCCCTCGCTATCGGTAATCGCGGCCTGAATTTCAACCAGTCACGCCCTTTATGCATATTTGCCCGGAACTTTCTCTGTTCGGTGGTTGCGTCAATATACACCGCTCACCGCAAAACAATTTACAAAGGAATTCGGTAACGGCTTGCTTTCGCCGAACCTCGACAACCTGACATTTCAGGGGTAAACTATTTCAAAATATTCTCCCGCTCGAGCCTCGTGTCGCTTAGTACTTTTAAGAATGCAACTGTTCGTACACCATTTTAGCGGAGCAAAGAGGACGGCACAGAGAGGAGACCTGTAACGCTAGCAGACAAAACATTTTACTTTCTAACACTTTTATCACGTTCATTTGATACGTTTTTAACAACAATTTTCTCTTATATCACCGTATCATCGCATCACGAGGAGGAATAACCAATTAACACGACTTTTTACACACGAATAATCTCTATTTCATTGATACATATATATTTTTTTAAATACCAATTCTATCAATGTTGTATTTTGTTTCGATGTCTAACGAAAAGGCTTCTAAACGATCCATTTCTTTGTGTGTTCGCAGTCGAAGCACGACATCGCTCAGAAGTGCTTTTTGCCTCCTTTGAAGGATCAGGATGCCGATGTAAAGGTAAATCAAGAGTTCTTACTCTTACGTGAACGCTACATGATCATCCTATTCTTTGTATCTCCTTGTACGATTGTCCGACAACTGGATCTTTCATATACTTTCCAGAATGCTTTCAACTATCGTGTCATTCTCAATGCTTTATTCTCTTTCAAACGTTGTCGAGTTGCTAATGATTGTCAAACAGGACAAAAATTTCATATCCCGCTCTTCTATCAGACACTTTTTACTTTCGTTACATTTTTTTATACATTCTTCGTTGCATTTTATTCCAAATTCTAATTAATTTCCGACGCTGGTTATATGTTTCAATAATTATTTTCACGAGTGAAATTTATATTGTTGCAGACGCAATGCGAGTCTATCTGTTCAACGACATTCGAACAAGACCAAGAAACTACTGTTTCCAAGAATACTATCGCGAATTCTAGTAAACATTCCAAGAAAAATGTCCACGTCCGTAAAGTATCCTCGTTGAGCGAGTCGAAAAAAGTCGAGCGTACGTCGAGTCTAATTGAAGATCCATATTTGGAGTCCCTGAGGCAACGTCATTTTTACGAGATGGAGAAGGTGGATCGTATTATAAATCGAGCGCTGTGCCTTTGATTATATTGAAAATTACGGCATGTGTTACGTTTCTTCCAAATGGGTTCTTAAATCGTCGTGAACGTTGATCGAGTACAGATCCACGCCGTATCTATCGTAAAATTGATCGATTGTAAAATATAGAATTTGTACTATCAATTATTTCAACCGCATTTCCGCTCTATAGGGAACATTTTCAGAAAAAACTCCCGTATTTAAATCAAGTTGCCGAAGCATTTGCATAAATCGACTTCTGTCCACTTATCCTTACGTTTGCCAGTCACTATCTTTTTCCAGCTGTTCCTCATCCGAGATTCTCCTACCGAATTCTCGAGATTTAATCATTTTTCTCGGCTCTCGACTATCGAAACTGGTAGAATATTGGGCATAAAAGTATGAAGAGAAAAAATTACGGAGACCCTGTGTACTACAGATTTGGGATATTTTTCCAAGAGGCAACTATTAAGCTTTTGCGAATAAATTACGTAGCGGCGGGAATCCGGAAAATTATAGATGGTTGATGAAACATTTAAACCTCGTTTCATCGAGATAACTTATTTATTCGAATGTTATCTTGGGATTCTCCTGGTAGAGTCGGGTCACACGGCTGACCAGCCACACAGTACCGCGTATACTTTTACATCGTTACGGACAAGTTGACTGTATGGCACACTAGGGAATGCATAGACCCAGCCAGTAAGTCTCGGTGAATTCCGAAATTATTCAACGGTTTTTGACATGTCGAGCTGCCATGGGCTTCGAGTCGCGTCGAGGCTCCACGAGGTGAACCTAACCGACGGGGACCGTTTTTATCCGCGATCATCCGCGGGATTATCCGCGAGGAATGAACTTCAAGGGCCGGGAGATCAAGAACTCCGAGCCCTTCCACCCTTCCACATTTTTCCTAGCCTTGTATCGCGACCGGTCGGTCTCATGAATAGGTAAACACGCGCACGTAGCTCCGTTATTATAAAAACAATTTTACCCCGAGAAAACAGGTCTGGGTGTTAGAACTGAACTTGAGGCAATTATCTTCCGCAATAATCTCGTGAAATTTTTGGAGTGTCGCGCGAGCAGAGCGGGCAAACCACCGTCGGAAAGTTGGATTCTGGATGCGGCTATTTAATTTCCGCGAGGCGAGGCGCGTCGGAGTGTTGTTATCGAGTTCTAGTTTTAACGCGTTATCTTAAGGATACCGGAACGGTGCTCGCGCAAATACGATAACACCTGTCCACCGTTATCCGGTGCTTTAAATGCTACGTTGCTCGTTTGTGCAGCCGGTTCAATGGATTCCGTTGAAATTCACTCGAGGGACAGAGAAAACGAGGATCCGTTCGAAAGTACCGATAATTAATTTAGACGGAGTAATACAGTTCGCTGGAATCAAATTTCAAACATCGCTTTTCATGTCGAGTGTTTTGTTTAATTGGACATTCCAGAACGAAGGGAAATGGCGGTGCGATCCGGATTATGCGATGAATGTTTCATCAACAGTTTATAATGCGGATCAATATATGTACGTATAGAGAAATGGAATCATTTACCGAGGAATATAATTGACCAAGGTAGGACATTCGGGTGGAAAATCAACTACAAGTCATTTATTATCGGGTTGAAAAGAATGTAAACTGTAAAAAAAAAGTTTAAATAATTTTGTTCGACCAATCGATCTGAATATGGTAGTCTCGTTGATTATTTAGGATCGCGCGGGGAACAGCCCTGCGCACCTGCGCACCTGTGCTGAACAAAGTGCTGACAAACGTTGCCGGCTACACTGAATCCGCTATGCAGAAATTAGCGACGTATCTCGAGTAAATTTATCGCCGGTGGATTAAGATTGACCGTAGAAGAGTGTCGGGGAATCATCGATTTTCAACGGTGGCCGCGTCTGCGCGCCGGTAAACGCTCGCAGCACCTCTGGCGACGGCTGCCCGTACTTCTCCGGACTGTCATCAATTCGACATAGGCGTAAACAAACGCGCGTAATTTTTTCTTCTCACGAGGCAACGTTCCCGTTGTGAGCAAAGGTACCGTGGCGCGTGGGCGTGGTCGTGTCAACGACGCGAACAGTTATCACGTGCGTGCGTGCAAAGGGGTGTTGTGCGCTACCTGATGCTGAATGTACGGGCCGCGAGGCCAACGACAAAGGTTGGCACAGACTGACTTCGCCATCAGACTGCCACCAAGAGGGGAGGTCTGTCTCGCGTGTCAATACACATCAATGGTTCAGGTGAGCGACGATCGCCGTTTTTTACTTTGCGAATCATTTCTACTTTGTTCACCATTATCCCGTGCATGGAACATTTTCAACCGTTTCCAACGATTTCACGTGAACGTGAACGTGAACTTTCTCGATGAATATTGTCCTGCATCGGTCGCGCAAATAAACGAGCATCGCGTGCGAGATGTCGCCACTCGAGGGTCGCACGGGGGATGATGGTGTCACCACGCTCACGTGGTTTTCATTCTCGCACCCCCTGTGCGTGACCTTGTTTCTACGATGCACGGTGGTTCCAATCGAGAAAAACTCCGGCTAACTTACTAGTCTTAAAAAACGAGAAATACATATAGAAAATTGTAAGCTAGCTTTATGTAACAATCTGAAACAATTGAGGGATAAACACAAGTTCGGAAATTTTCCTCTTCTATGATATAAACACGTTTTGTTTACATAAAAAACTCGAATGAGTAACTGTTGCAAGTATAATTACGAGTGTATCGTCGAGATTTATTTCTGTCAGAAGTGAATGATAAAGTAGAGCATGTCATCCTCAGGTAGAAGACAGCGTGCATTGTGTTATCAGGATGACTTATTAGAATCTCTGTCAGCGGATTTTATCGACGATGCGTAGAGGAGAAGAGGTTAACCTTGAATAAAAATAGCGTTGTCTTCGAATCAAGGGACTATTAATCCAGCGAGAGTCTCGGAAATTCTCGTAGGTTAAGCGAGCAATGTAAACCCTTAGCCGGGTCGTTGTGGCCCTTTATGTAAATGGATAATGGGTCTCCCCAGCACTTGGTCGGGGTTCCTAGACGACCAGTACCTACGTACATTGCAACGCCGAAGGGCAGTTCATTAACTGCCGGACTCTGGTTCGATGAGAGCTACGGGAGAGCCGAATGGCTTTGAAGTGGCGGACGCCTCGAGGGCGTCCACTGCTCAACAATGAGAATTATCTTGTCTTTCTCTCTCTCTCTCTCTCTCTCCCTTTCACCCAACCTGCCTATCCCTCTTCCTTCTTTATCTTCACCCTTTCCCTTCCCGTCTCCATATTCGTCTCTTTTGATACGTCCGCGTGTGCGTGTACATACGTGTCAGCGCAGCCTGACGCCGTTAATTGAGCCGCTCCGGGCGAGGAAACAATCATTGCGGGATTGCCATATATGAAAGCGATCTTAATGAATGGATGGATGAGGAGTATCGAAGTGTGTGGACCTGGTGCTAGCTACCAATTATTGTGGTCGGCGAGCGAAACGGAATGGTCGACCGTCGTCGGTACAGCTGCATAATTACGATCAGTAACGAAGCGCAAATGTCATCCCGAACTCGCCACAATAACGGGTAGATTGAAAATTGCTCGCGTTGTTCGAGAACGGGGGATGGAAATTGTCTTGTTGCTAGCGCAGAGTTCTTGCGCCCCTCCGTTTGCTCAACGATCGTTGACACAATGCACGGGCACATCGTTGATCATGCTCCTCCGTGCATTTTCGTATCGAATCGAACCCGTGAATACCGCGAATAGTCGTTAGAGCGTAACGCTGAAAATTTACGTTTGAATTTTATTCCGATCCCATGGTTGTTTGTGTAACGCGAGGTCGCGTTTAAATGTGCAAGCTGATACGGGCGCAGAACGTGTGTGCTTTAGACCGATTTTACGAAACCGTACACAGAACTGTATTTAAAACTCCGAAGGCTCGTTTTGGATGTTGGCTTTCCACGAGACCGTATATTTCAACGCGTAAAAAATATTTCCTGACAAAACATTCGGGACGGATAATGCTCGTAAAAAAAAAAGAAGCGGTTTTATAAAGGAAAACGAATCTAGAAGTCCTGTTAGTAAACGCGAGTTTGTAAATCATCCTTTTCAGAGATACAACCCCCCTTAAATCGAATAAAAGCTTGGCGTTGTTTCGCGTGAAATACGACGTCTGTGCGCGCGATCGAGGCGGACGCCGGAATTTCTTGCCGGAATTGAATATTTTTATCCGAAAGGTATTCAGGACTTTTTAATGCAATATATAACTTGCCTGGTAAATAAATATTAGAAAGCTTAAATCGTCGAGAATCATCGTTAACGCGTGTGTGCCTTTTATGCATTCCTTTTTTAGATACTATCGGAACGTTAATTTATTCCGTGTCATAAACGTTTCTAATTAATCTAATTGCTTCGTACATTACGTACTGTACACATGCACACGAATATACTTGCTACAGCCTCACGAGAAGGAAGAGTGGCAGCTTGTAGCTCCATGCGTGACTTCCACTGCTTGTAGGAGTTTCGTATCAGATTATGGTTATGGCAGCTTACCTAATGGCTCGCTATCAAAATAATTGTCGGCAACGTAATAACAGCTCGCGGTGCATAAATAGGGTTCCCTAAACGCTAAATGGTACCTAGTGATTTTACGAGCATTTGCATTTTTCCTTTCTAATTGAGCTACTTGCATACATTTTGTACCACCTGTATTAACAATACCAAATTCGTTGAAAGAAAATCTGTATAGATAAAATTATAACTTTTACTATAATTACAGTGCTTTTTCAATGATTTTTATCGCAATTTTTCTGTCGGTGCTCGGTGATTAATTATGCGTTTATTGGATTTGTAAATAAACGTACGAGTGCATGCAACATCCCGCTGTCTATACGCGTAGTTTCGTTCTTATCAATGGCTTGCACAACACTTTGTTGAGAATATCGATGCAGTCTGATACGCCCGCTTATAAATCACGAGTATCCAATATATTGGATGTGTCACGCGTGATCATGGAAAAGAGAACACCGTATCTCAATATGTAGTGCACAGCTTCTGCGAAACGTGTCCATATTTTCTGTTACATTTAGACAAATCTATACGCCTACTATCATATATTGTTGAAAAAGAAACAACGAAAGAGTAACTGTAGATTCCGAACGGCATGTAAAAATGTTTCATCGATTCGATTGGCAAGTTTTTTCCATCGAGTTCGTCTCTAAGGGTTGAGGTTTATTTTTTTTTCGTAAAAAAAATAATCGTTGAAATTCGACCATCGATGTTGCACAGCTGATGATCGAACATTGACCGGCGACAAACTACCGGTTAGTTTGCGACGAGGAATACGGAACGTTTGACGAGTCCCTATCGCCTTCGATACGTGCAATTTATCCGCCTCGTAGATAGTATTTCTCGGCAGGTGCGTGTACCCGAAATGATTCGTTCGATCCGATACGCGCGTCGATGGCGGCGAGGGGGTGGTAGCCGCGATAGATAGATTTCTCTTGTTCGTCCGGTAACTTGTTTGATTTCAATCATTTTCAAGTGTTTTCAATACATTTTCCAGGTGTTTTCGACTGTTGGCCTGGGTATATTGTTTTATCGTTCCCGAACGTTTTCAATGGGGTCGACGCGACGGATATACAAATCGAGAACGTCGAATTACACCCCCGAGCCCCCCCGAACGTCGTCTGATGTTCCACGCGCTCGTCGAATCATTTTCCCGACGATTTCACGCTTCCGTCGCGCGAATTTGTTTATTTCGCCGCGCGTTCAATCTGATACAATGTTTTTAATCGAACGCAACCGACGATGAATTTTCTACGGCACGCGGTGCCATTCGGGTTCATTGTGCGCGTGTTTTTTTTTTCTTCTTTTTTCTAGTCACAGGTTAACAATACGTTGAATTTTATGGGGGTGGTTGTTTGGTCTAAATTTCCCAATGGAATACCCAACATGGCTGTCCAAATTATGGAACAACGCATGCAAGGTATTCCTCGTTGAAGGATTTGAGAAAGAAAGAGCCGCTTTGACTGTTCTTAAATTGGAAGCACTTCGTTTAATTTCTCGTACATCGGAGAACGGTTAATTACGTTTGCCTTTCATTGGACCGACAGTATGGAAACAGAATTTGTTGTCATCTGGAAATGCACTTTTGTCAGCTAATTGGCCGTAGAATTAAGAGATGTGTTCGCAAATACGTTATGCATATATTTTTAATTAGTCGGAGTGCATTTTCCTAATAGCTATTATTAGAATTATTTCCTTTCGATCGAAGGAGAACGGGGGCGTAGCGTGTCAAAGTCATAACCAACGTAGTTAAAGGAATAAATAAAAAAAGAAAAAAGGAGGATAATTTAAATTGTCCTGCATGTCGCGTTTTTGCAACGCTTCGTAGATTCCACTGTGAAATGTGCAGTTCTTTATGCATCCGAAGTAAAACGTTGCCGTGCAACTGTTTCTTCTGCATTCTTCCGCGGGACGCTGTCCGCTACTTAGTTTCCGTGTACGACAAAGCCCGCTAATTACTCGACGAGGAAGCACGCGCGACGTCTCTTGACACGATTTACACTTCCCGAAAAGAGAAAGAGAAAGAGGATACGGGGGGCAGGGGTTCAGCGCGGGCGCGTGTTTCCGCGACGGTCGGAGGGGGGTGGTAACCTTCTTCTTTTCCCTCGGTTCTTCCTGTTCCCAGCGTGTCTGTTCGTGGCACATCTGAGAATCGCGGCTTGTTTAATTATCTCGGTAGTTATGCAAACCAAATACGTGCACCGGGGGGTAAAATTGAAGAGCTGCTAATTATCGCGTAAAGACATAAGAAAGAGAACAGGAAGCGAAAGAATAAGAGGAAGAAGAGGGACGAAGAAGAACTGGGGTAAAAACGTGGCGGAACAAGGGGGTGGGGCGTAAGTGGGGAGGAAGAGGGCCAGTCGTTTAATTGCAGCGGTTCACCACTCGACAAAAGTGGCTTCCGTACTTTCCGGACTACGACAGTTATGCCTGACCCCCAGCTATGCAAAGAAATTCCTTTTTCAGATTTCATCGAGGCTGGCTAATTATTTTTTCTTCTTTGTACATCCGGAACCGAGCGTTTGCAATTAGCGTACCGATGGGGGGAGCTTCTAACCGTGGACATAAATATTTTTCAATATTTTTCGATATATTATAAATTTTAGGTTAGATCGGACGTCCGACGTCGCGTCTCGCGAAATCTCCTAGCAGCCCGAGGTGTTTTTCCGCGAGTTCGATAATACGC